ATAATAGAGTTAGGGAAGAGATGCAGAGGGAAAAATCTTTATGAGGATCCACCAATAAGGAAGGGGAGGGAAGTCAAAGGGGATTTTTTGTTTTTATTTGATGGCGTATCTTCTTTCCTTTGTTTATTCTATATAAACTTGAAAATGCAAAAATAAAAATTTAAAAAACAAAAGCAAATGCAACAACCTCCTTTGTAGGGACGTTGCTCCTGCTCCCTTTTTTAAACCTTTCCTGCACCGTTTTCCAGCTCTGCTGCGATATCCTTTTTAAAATGGGGCAATCAGAACTGCACATAATTCCAGATCACGTTGCAACATAGATTCATATCGGAGCGTTGTTAAACCAGTCACTTATTTCTTTGAAGAAACCTGCTCATTCCCAGCTGTATCATTTGCAGCAGCTTTTCTCATTCGATTTTCTCTCAACCATTCCTCTTCGAGCTGTTCCTTAATTCTGAGATGCTTCTTCCACTGTTTTATCCATTCTCTGCTGAAGAATCTGCAACAGTTTGCTCCTCCTCGCCTTGAAATCTTTCAGTTCCAGTTGGTCATTACAAAACATTTTGTAACTATGAGATAGTGAGTTTGCTTCTTCCCTCCTCCCTCCCATTGCCTTTTCCTTTTGTGTTGTGTCTTAAGATTGCAAGATTGAGGGCATGAACTGTGTTATCATGGACATTTGTAAACCACGCGGGGAGCCTTTTTTAAAGTGGGGGATGAGCAGAGAGATAAAATGAATTAAGCAAACCATGAATGACATAATTAAGTTCTGGAACTCATTCCCACAGAAAGCAGTGATAGATAGCTCTGAAAACTAACTTTACAGAGTCATGGAGGAGTCAGGTCTATCAGCAGCTGCCATCCCAGAATACCAGTTGCTGGAAACCACAGGAGGAAGGTTTCCCACAGGCATTTATTTGGCCATTGAGAGAACAGGATGCTGGACTACTAGATGGACCTTTGGTCTGATCCAGCTGCCTCTTCTGATAATCTTACGCCCAATGCTTTTTTTCTTTAAAGATGTTTAAGGGTGCCCTCATTTTGACTCAAGAAAATCACCATTTTATAGTTCAAATCAGGAAAAATATAGTAAATTGACAAAAGTACAAAGATTCACAAAATGTTTAGAAAAAAGCACTGCTTACACTTAATGGAAACCTTCATTTTACAAGCCTTTTTCTTCAAGCCTGTATAGGATTTGAAAAATTTTGCTATGCATTTTTATTATTGCATCACTTCGGGAGCTTTTTATGGGATGCGATTAGTTAAATGATTAAATAATTTAATTGCCACCATCTCTGAAACAGATGCAAGGAAAGCTGTACCTTTCCATGTCGCATGGAACATTTTTATATCCCTCTTAAGAATGTAGTCCCTCTGGACTTGCAGGATCAGATCAATACACACAAGGGAAAACAATTGGGCTGTAAAAACTGGACAAAACCTGGATGCTGGCCCTGAAGAAAAGAATCACAGAGCCAGCAAGAGGCTACCTTTATCTGGCATAATCTGGGTTTCTACTCAGGGTTGTTACCTTATTCTCTCAGTCCAACCTGTAATGCGGGGACAGAATAGAAAGGAAACTTGCAGTAGTTGGGTCTAATACCTTCAGTAAACACCGCAGAGGTGCTGCTAAGTCACTGACTCCCGGCCACAGCTCCTGCTATACACTAAAATGTCACACATTAAAAACTTCCTTGAACAGGGCTGCCTTAAAATGTCTTCTGAATGTGAGGTAGTTGTTTATCGCTTTGACATCTGATGGGAGGGCATTCCACAGGGCGGGCGCCACTACCGAGAAGGCCCTCTGCCTGGTTCCCTGTAGCTTTGCTTCTCACAATGAGGGAACTGCCAGAAGGCCCTCGGTGCTGGACCTGTGTCTGGGCTGAACGATGGGGATGGAGATGTTCCTTCAGGTATACTGGGACAAGGCTGTTTAGGGCTTCAAAGGTCAGCACCAACACTTTGAAATGTGCTCAGAAACGTACTTGGAGCCAATGCAGATCTCTCAGGACTGGTGTTATGTGGTCTCGACTGCTGCTCCCAGCCACCAGTCTGGCTTCTGCATTCTGGATTAGTTGCAGTTTCCAGGTCACCTTCAAAGGTAGCCCCACGCAGAGCGCATTGCAGTAGTCCAAGCGGGAGATAACCAGAGCATTCTCCACTCTGGCGAGACAGTCCGCGGGCAGATAGGGTCTCAGCCTGAGTACCAGATGGAGCTGGGAGACAGCTGCCCTGGACAAAGAATTGACCTGCGCCTCCATGTACAGCTGTGAGTCCAAAGTGACTCCCAGGCTGCGCACGTTTTAGAGGCATTTTCTGGTGGGACAGACATAGTGGTACTCGATCCCAGCTACGTTAAAATATCTTGGTTTCTTCAATGACCTTTTCTGTCCCTGGGAACGTTTTGAGGTAGATTCTCAATGAGGATGAGGAAGTGATCCATCCGGAGAATAAGGCTGCCCCTACACTTTTAATGTCTATGTGCATTAGGGCAGCCTGTTCCCTTACCTTACCTCCTGCTTTTCAGTCCACCTCCCTGTCAAAAGTCAGTATACCACACTCGGTTGCTTCAAGCTCCCATTTTTTGTATCTCTGCATACTTTTGACATTTCCCCCCATCCCGCCCATCTGCCACTCCCCCAGATATATGGGAGTTACTGTTCTAGTTACCGAAAGTCAGCCTCTTTTCTCAACAGTGGAAACGGAAACTAAAGACAGGATTCAGAAGCTGCCATGGCTGGATGATCCTGGCAGAACGATTTCAGATTTTATAAGGTCATGAAACGCAGCGCCAGCTTACATTTTAGAAGAAAGAACCAAGTCAACCCTTTTCGGCTTCTAGACTGGATGTCCCCAAAAGTGGCACTGGGTACTAATAGCAACCAGCCCACATCCCAGGGCGAAAGTTCTTATCACGTGTGATGAACAGCACCAAATGTCGTGCTTGTCCCAAGTCTGTATCCCAAAAGATGAAAAACTGGTGGCAATTGTGTAGTTTTGTGTGTAAATAATAGTTTGTATTCATCTGTCCAGGGGAAGTCATGCTATGTCTCAAGGTGACTAGACAAAGGTCACCCACTTTTGCTTCTGACACTGCCTACTGCTGACAGGTGGCCGTCATACCCACTGAACTGGTCAGAGGGTCCATAAGTGTGTCTCTCTTTTTTTTAATGTCTGAGTTTATTGAAGAATGAACTAATGTTGTTTTATGTATGCTCCCTTTTTCCTTTTCTTTCTTTTTCTTTTCAAGATTTAAATGTGCTTACGAGAGGCATATATTTAGATCTCTTACTTCTTTCTTCCTTTCTGGAGTTTCTGCTTTTATTCTTTTCTTTTTTGCTCTCTCTACATAAGCATTTGTATTTTCTTCTTCTTTTGTTTAAGTTTGTGCATTTTGATTTGTGTGCATGTGCAATACAATCAATAAAAAAACAAAAAAAAAACCATGTGCAAGCTGCCTAAATGTACCTGTTAGAAAAAGAGGAGCACGTGACCATGTCTGCAAATCAGACAGGATGTTCAGAGAATGGCAAACATCCAGCTAAGGAACCTCTAGCTTTTGAATATATTATTTTTTGGGGAGGGGGGGAAGGGAAGCAAATATGTGGCTGGGGAAACCCAGCCAGTTGGGCAGGGTATAAATATTATTATTATTATTATTATTATTATTATTATTATTATTATTTGCTCAGGACAAAGAAACAGCACAATCCTAAGCCAGTCTACTCAGATGTAAGTCCCACTGAGTCCAGTGTATGCTAGATCACTGTGGGAGGCTCTCTGCCTCTGAATACTAGTTGCTGGGAACTGCAGATGAGCCGAGTGCTGCTGTGTTCAGATCCTGTTTGCTGGCTTCCCACAGTCAGGGGTCACCCTGAGAGCAGGATGCTGAACTCAATGGGCCACCGGCTTGATCCAACAGGCTGTTCTCAACTCACAGCTAAGGGAGTTCAGAACTGCAGCACAAACTTATCTTTCGACTACTGGAATTCCGAGCTTTCTGGTGAAACAAAAAAAATATGTATTTTTTTGCGGGGTGTGTGTGATTTTTATTACCAGGATGGCACAAAGACTAAATTAGAATTACACATATAGTGTTCTGGTAAGAAAGTTGCATTCTCTAAATAAAAGCATTTGCAACCTGGCAACACATTATGGGTTTCTCTCATCCCCTTTCAGAATACTCAGCAATAGTTAAATACAGCAAAACTGAATCAATTTAATGTCTTATTATCTACCACAAAAAATTAAAACCACCTAGGAATTCCTCCAGGTGCTCAGTCTTAATTCAGACATTTGCAAATTAAATTCATTTTCTTCCTGAACATCACCCATGTGCTTTTATAGACTGTACATTTTACGAAATTAAAGAATGAGAAAGAACTCTTGAGTTAGGGAAATTTCCTTCTGAGATCCGGCTTTCTTTCGGGAGAGGCAACACAGCATTTATGCAGCTTTGTCTTCCATTCCGACACTGGAAACATGACACCAAAGAAAACCATGGAGGCGGTGATTCTGTTCTTTGTCATATCCTGTCCCTATACTCAGCAAGCAGCTCCTGTCACCAAAGATGTGCTGGTCTTTAAGGTGATACAAGGCTGTTTTTGTTGCAACAGACTAAAACTGTCACTACATTAGCCCTGAGCAACAGTGATTCTCTACATCTTCTGGATTCAGACAGGAGACATCTGTCAGCAACACAAAGTCTGGCTTTTCAACACACCAGAACAAGCAGCGTTGAGCTGATAAAAAACAAACGCCGTGTACATCTGTGCCGGCAGCACAGTAGGAACATTTATTCGAACCCATCCAGCATCACTGCAAACAGCAACCCAGAGCCACCGCACTATTCAGATCAGTCCACCTATACTGAATAAACTATATACAACATGTATACCACATGGAAATCTTCAAAGGAACAAAAGGAAACATGAACACGATACACAGAACTGACTGGACCCTAAGTGAAGTTTGGGGAGGCTCTTCCTGTCTTCGTATCACCTCGAGCTCTGCTCCTCGGCTTCCCCGTCACCCTCCTTTTTCTTTTCCTCCGCTGTACTCTTGATCATGAATTTCTGCAGAGAAACACAGAAACAAACGCTTTTGCAGCGACTGAGAACTTCTCAGGTTTTTGAGGGGAACGCTTTTATTGTTGAATTTATTGCCGTTGCTCAGGTGACATTCCACTCCCCTGGTTGCTGGCTTTGAGGGTGTTCATTTAGGAGAGGGGCAAAGCCCCGAGGGTGGGGGTGGGCAGCCTGCCAAACGCTAGCCTGGCTCTAGAAAGTTCAAAATGATGTCTGCACTGGCTCTGGACCCATGCGTGTGACTGCACAGAGAAGACTGGCCAGTATGCTAGGACACTCTAGCCTTGGGAATCTGGGTGTTAGGAGACTGGGTAGCAAGTGGGCAGGACCTTCAGCTTCTAAAATGTCACAGACCCCCAAATCAGATTTATTATTTATTTAACATACCTATATATCACTTTCTCCCTAAGCAGGGCTCAAAGCTGCTTGCAACATTAAAAAGTAAACTTGTTGGAAACAAGTTAAAATGCATTTAAAACCGGCATTAAAGTATACTTTAAAAGGTAAATGGTAAAGGGACCCCTGACCATTAGGTCCAGTCGTGACTGACTCTGGGGTTGCGGCACTCATCTCACTTTATTGGCCGAGGGAGCCGGCGTACAGCTTCCGGGTCATGTGGCCAGCATGGCTAAGCCGCTTCTGGCGAACCAGAGCAGCGCACGGAAACGCCGTTTACCTTCCCGCCGGAGCGGTACCTATTTATCTACTTGCACTTTGACGTGCTTTCGAACTGCTAGGTTGGAAGGAGCAGGGACCGAGCAACAGGAGCTCACCCCATCGTGGGGATTTGAACCGCCGACCTTCTGATCAGCAAGTCCTAGGCTTTGTGGTTTAACCCACACTGCCACCCGCGTCCCTAAAGTATAGTTTGCCCTGAGATTAATGAGCCCCTCATAGCGCACTGCTGCTAGGGTCAGTTGCACTCTTTTATATGCATGTGTGCATATGTACAGAGAATCTGGAGATAATGACCACATATAAGTAAGATTGACCTCCTGGGACAGAAACATGGCATGTTTTTTGCAGAAGCCTGGGACAGCTCACTTGGTAGAGCATAACTCTTTTCCCAACTCAGGGCTGTGGGTTCGAGCCTCGCGCTGGGAAAAGATTCCTGCATTGCAGGGGGTTGGACTAGATGACCCTTGTGGTCCCTTCCAACTTCACAATTATCTGATTTACAAAGGCCCCCGGTGCCTTCCTAGTGCCTGAGACGTCACACTCCAGGAGAAATGGACTTCCATTTTTCAGTAAAAACATTTCATTCACTAGAAGGAAGCACAAAACAAAACAAGTAAGTATTACCTCCATATTTTCCTGGTGGAGCTGAGATTGGCAATGGGTTTTCATAGATGCTTCATCCACACAGAAACAGGAACAGATCTGACAGAAAAAGCCAGCCTTTGGAACAAGGAAATCCAAATCTTAAAAGAGAAAGGACACACACATTAACAAGTGCAAATCCAAGTCATCCTTTTATTTTGCCCAGATAGGGGAAGAGGAAAAAGGACACAAAAGGCCACAACAACCAGAAGACTCCCTTTACAAATGCAAAAGTTATCTATTTCCTTTTGTGACAATGATTCAGAAAGCACTGAGGCTTAAGACAGTTTTCATAACTACTATACCTATAAACCATAATTTCAGATGACCTAGCATTGCCATGTAGTTATAATACTTAGCTTATTTGTGCTATGTTACCTCTGTATGTAGCTTAAGCGGTTTATACTGTTTTTTGTATTTACGTTGCTTTGTTAATTATGCTATTTAGGTCTGGTTATTTATGCTACTTGGGCTGTTTAAGCTTTTTAAAATTGATTTATGCTAGTTCTGTATTAGAGAGATATAGAGGCACTTCAGGAGATGGATAGGCTCTGTATCCATGACAGGTATTTAGGAAGCAGTTGGATAAACTGCTAATTTTATCACAGGTAACAAACTGTAAGATTCATGTCACTGTTAATATTGTCATGCAAAACACAGAAAGAAGTCCTCAGGTCACTTCCACAGGATACCACATGTGGATGCAGGACCACACATCTTATACTAGAGCAAAACCAAGACAAAAAAACCTGCTTCATTTGCTTAAAGAGCAACAGCAACAGCAACTCCCAACTCTGTTACATCCCAAATGTGGGGACAGATCAAAAGATTCACCACAAATTACCGCTGAATTAGTAAAGAGTTAAATAGGAAGCAGGTGATAAGAATGTTGAAGCGCTTTTTATTGTAGAACGTAACACGATCTTACCTTTCAACTGGCTTGGAGCCTTGGATTTCTCTGAAGTATCTGTTTTTCTCCGTTTAGACTCTGGTTCCTCGCATTCTGAGTCAGTTAAATCTATAAGAGCAACATTTTAATTAGCATACATATTTCCCCCCCTAGGAGATGCAGTATAGTAACAACGCCATGTTCACATATAAAAATAAACTACGGAGAAGCATGAATAAGAGACTGTGTTGGTACACAGCAGGAATACAGCAGCTGCTTTGCCCCCCGCCCCCCGCTCCCAGGAGCTAAACCATGATTATGTGCAACCCTAGGCAAACCCTGATTTGTCTCCCCAGGTTTGCGCAAAACACTAAGCAAAGCTTTCACTTTGTAGGGAAAGGCAGCAGCAGCAGGAGAGGAGGAGAGGCAAAACAGCTTTGTTTCTCGCTCCATGCACCAGCATGCCTACAGATTCAAGCTAAGCCAGAATCTGGTTTTAATGTTACATGCAAACCAGACCACTGTAATAATAATAATAATAATAATAATAATAATTTATTATTTCTACCTCCACCCATCCGGCTGGGTTTCCCCAGCCATTGTGGGCAGCTCCCAACAGATTAAAAACAGAATAAAACATCAAACATTAAAAACTTCCCAAAACAGGGCTGCCTTCAGCAATAAGTCCTCAGTGTCAGGACACCCCTATTTGACACTGACTCAATGGTGGGTATTACTGAAAAGGCCCTTTCCCCTCTTAGCCACCAGCTACGCCACACCAGGTGAGGATGCTCAGAGAAGGGTCTCCAATGATGCCTACGTGGCTTGGCTCATTAGATTTCTTGTCTGCCTGCTTCACCTGAACCCCTTCATAACCTCAACCTAATCCTAGCTCTAATCTCTCTTTTTAAATTTTCGATCCACTGGGGCTCGCATTTAGCTTCGCTTTCAAATTGCAGACCATTTTCCACGATGCATGGGAATCAGAGGGCAATTTCCAACATATTAAAAACACACAGGAATCATCTGAAGCAGGCACCCCCAAACTTGGCCCTCCAGATGTTTTGAAACTACAGTTCCCATCATGCCTGACCACTGGTCCTGTTAGCTAGGGGTGATGGGAGTTGTAGTCCCAAAACATCTGGAGGGCCAAGTTTGGGGGTGCCTGATCTGAAGTATACAGCAGGGCTGAGGATACAGCATTTCTTTCAGCCTTAACAGCAAGTACTAAAACCAAGTAAGAGGCATTCAGTAATTTATTCCAAATGCCTGGGAGAACATTGTCTTTACTTGCTGGTGGAAACCCATCAGAGTTACTGCCCTCCATGCCTCCAGAGGAAGAAAGACCTACAATCGGGGGGGGGGGGCGGCAGGGAGGAGGCCGACAGAGAATGTTCTCTCTTGCATCAGCACGCAGCTGAGCTTGCTGGTGGGATGATGAGATAAGCACCCCTTGCTGACTTCAGGATCCAAGATGGCTGATACGGTCCCATGCAATGGATGGCTTCACAAGTTAATACGGAGAACTTATCTGGATCTGGTAGCATATAGCCATGTACAGACGCAGTGGTTAGCAACTTTGCAGCAGCTTCTTACATGAGCTCTATTCCTCAAGGACAGGCCAGCACACTACCAGGGCGAGGCTATCCCAATCGAAGCATAGCTGCAGTAATAGGCTCTTGTGGAGTGATGTCAAGGAGCATTGCTTTTCCTACCTCCATTGTGCCTCCCTACTCCTAGGTGGAATGTGAAAGAGCTCAGCAAACACAAGCAGAGAGGCACTGACGGGTTACTTTGCCAATATCTCTTAAAGCAATCCATTAGACAGCTGGTTTTGAACTGGGAGCTTTACCGCCTGCTCACTGCATCTGAAGCAACAATTTGCTCTCCACTTGCAAATACAGATACTCAAAATTGGCTTGCACTGACTGCAATACCATTACGACAAATAACAGCAATGATGTTGCAGTGCTTACAATTTTATAAGGCAAGTCAGTATTATTGTTCCCATACTGTGGCTGGGAGGATGAAGGCGAAGGGTGTGGCTTACCAAAGGCCCCTTAGTGAGTTCAAGGTAGATTAAAAAAGTGAGCCATGGCCTTCCTGAGTCATAGCTCCGTCTCTTAGCCACACAGATGCACCATGCCTGAGGTGCTGAACGGTTTGGAGAGACTACCTGATAGAAACAACTGCAAGCATCTGTTGGGCTGTTCTGTCAGCTTTCACCTAACTCAAACCAAGAACATAAAAACTACAAAACTGCTTTCTGGCTCCTACCTTTTTCAGGCTTCTCAGAAGGTTGTGAAGACGTCACCTCACTGCAGCTCTCATCCTTCAATTCTGCACCGGAAACCTTGTCTTGAGGTTCAGATTTTGTGTCCAGTTCTGCTGTGGCCGTGGCCTGACTGTCTGCCATAGAAACACTCACATCTGAGGAAGGTATCTGCACATTTTCTCCTGCTTTCTCCTCACTGGCAGTGGATGCAGAGCTTTCTTCAACTTCCGTATCAGCTTCTCTGCCAACAGCACCCTCTCCAAGACTATCCGGCTCTAGTTCAGCATAAATGTCAGACAGCTCAGTTACTCTTCCTCAGATCTTGAGGAACTAACAACAGTTTGGAGTTGCATTATCAGTAAGGACTAATAATCATTGCCAAACATAAGCAGTTTAAGAGCTTCATCTTTTTAATTCATGCAATACTGTGATCTTCAAAATGCAGACTTCCCTTCTTTTCGTTTTGACAAACATTTCTCAAAATTCTGCATCCAGACAACCAAACCCATTCAGAGAATCGTAAAAGAGAATCATGCAAAGTACGTTTCCGGACAAAAGCCTTGTGGGCCCGCAGGCTGGATGTCCCCCAGCACTAACATGTCTAAAACCTTTGTGACACTATGAGTGTACAAGGCAACTTCAGGGACCATAAATGGGACATAGAGACTAAGGCATGCAGGGCCCAAGCTGCAAGGAATTTCATGAGTCCTGCCTGGAACTCCAAATTTGCCTAGTGTGGACCTCTTGGTAATATGTTTCTAATAGGCCATCTCTCTCAAGAGAGCCTATGTTCAGTGGCACCTAGAGACTCTTAAAGGAGTTTGCATGAGCTCAGATTAGTGGAAAGAGAAACAACAGAGTTCCTTTCTTGCAACACGCCTAACTGCGAGGTACATCACGCAGGAACTCGTCTTTGCATGAGCCTCCAGTGTGGCAAGTGTGTCGGACTCTGAGCTAGAGGAGGGTTCAAATCCCCATGAAGCTCTTTAGGGGAGCTTGGGCCAGTCAAGTCTCTCAGCCTGAAGCTACCTCACAGGATCAAAATGGGGAGAGAAGCAACTTGCCTGCCCTCTTGAGCTCCTGGAAGGAAAAGCAGGAGAGACATGCAAGACTCAAGTAAATAAATCTCACCAGGTGGTGGCTGGTCCTCCCTTGTACTGCTCTCGCTATCTGGCATTTCTGCCTGGTTCAATATTGGTTCTGCAAGTAGAAGGTTGCATATATAATTCCGACACTTTTGCTCAGGTGGCTTTCACCTCTTCCATGGGGTTGAGCCCTGTTAAGACATAATTCCATTCCTACCTGCCACTGGCTGCTCACACCCTGTGTCAGCTTCAGGCGTCCGGCTTGTTTCTTCATCTCTTCCTTCATCCATTTTTGTGTCTATTAAGGCAGCTGGCTTGTCAACTGTGGCGGCCACAGAAATGCAGGTCTCCTCTTGAGGCTCCTCTGCCTGAGCCTCAGTTCCTTCAAGTTGTTCCTTTGAGGCCTGCTCTCTCTCCTCGGCCAGAGATTCACCTGGAGCTCCAGCTTCTTCTGGCTTGGCCACATCCTCTTCTGGTTCAGCTACTGCCATGACAACCTCTCCTCCCGATATACTTCCAGCAACTGACTCTTTCACTTCTGCGGGGGGAGGAGAGTCACTTTTCCCCTCTTCCTCATCCTCGCTTCCAACCTCGTCTACAGTAACAAAGTTAAGATCTTCTTTCAAGCGATTGAAGTCCGCCAGGAAGTCTTCGTCATCTTCCGCCACTTCATCCAAAGTCACCAGATGCTGATCATCGATGTCCTCGTGGATCTCGTCCACGGTAACTAGAGTGCTGGGATCTTCTGGGATCTGAGAAGAAAGGAAATCTCCAGGATCCTCTCCAGGATCCTCAACAACCTGCTTCTCACCCTCCCTGGATTTTATGGCCTCGCCAACCTTGAAATGTGACAGCTCACTTAGCGGCATCTCTTCCACTTCTCCAATTTCATCCACGGTGACTAAGGGCTCTGCTTTAAGGTCCGACTCATTATCCCCTAAAGCGAACGCATCCTTAGGGTCTTCTTGCTCTGATATCTCATCTAAAGTAACAAGTGACTGTGGATCTTTGATCACTTCATCAATCAACTCCTCCTCGTCGTTCACTTCATCCACCGTGACCAAAGTCTGGGAATCTGGCACGGCTTCCAAGTTCAGAAGCTCAGCCTGCAACATTCCACCTTCATCTTCTCCAATCTCATCCAGAGTAACAAAGGAAAGCTCATTCTCATCAACGTGCGCAGAGCTCTTGCCCTTCCTTTTCTTGGAACTCGGCTCAGAAGGAAGGCTTTTCTTGGTGTGATCCTTCCTTTTGCCCCGTACGGGGTTTCTCCTGGGCTGAGTGGGAGAGTCCACTTCCTCTAGAACTTCATCCATGGTCACAAACTCATCCAAGTTAAATGGAGAAAGCTCTTCTTCCTACAAAAGAAAAACAAAGCCCAGCTATAGCGAGCAAGAGAAATCAGCAGAGGTATGGTGACAATGATTCCCAGTAAGGGCAGTTCAAAACCAAAGAGGTGAATATAGAAACAGAAATTTACCATGGCCATACAAACACAGGATTTGTGTCTTTAACTACTGTTTATAGAAGCTGCTATCTGGAGGGGCTTTGCCCTAAAATGGGGGTGTAAGTAAAGGCTTTTGAGCTTAGCATGACTAAAGAACATAGACCAGGTATTTTGCGGTTTATATATTGCAATTTTATGTTGTGAACCGCCCTGAGATCTATGGATGAAGGGGTGCATACAAATTTTATAAACAAACAAACCAAACCAAACCAAACCAAAAACCAAACCAAACCCTAGATCAAGGCAAAGGCCCCTCCAGTCCAGATTCCTGTTCCCACAGCAGCCAACCAGGCACCATGGGGAAGCTCACAAGCAAGTCATGTGTGCAACAACTACACCCTCCCTGCAACTGGTATTGAGAGGCCTCCTGCCTGACGGGAGAGGTGGAACATAGCTGCCGTGAGCAACCGTAGATGAGCATCTTTTCCTCTGTGAATGTGTCTCATCTGCTTGGATGGTCCTCCAAGCTGGTGACCGCCATTACATCTTGTGGAAGGGAATTCTGTAATTTAAATGCAGCAACTTTTTACCCTTTACCCACCAAAGTTCCTAGGAACCCAAACTTTGAAGAAGAAGAAATGTGGCAACCTTTTTTTAAAAAAAGGAAAAGGAAAAACTGGGGTATTATTGTTACTGCTATGAAGCAATTGCCGTGTTTGTAGAAAAAACTCAGAACCTGCCCCACCTCACACTTTCCCTCTCTCATCTCTCGAATCACACCAACGGCATAGGCTGGTTTTCGCCCCCTGCTCCAGGGCAGGAAACACAACCCATGTAATCCAAATCCAAAATTTAAGTGGAACCGTGTTCAGTTCCATCAGTTGTTCAAACAAAAGGTCAGAATAGGTCAGAAAAATGACCCTCACCTTGTTTCATCATCATCATCATCATCATCATCATCCAGTGCCCATCTTTCTTAAGGAAATCTAGAGTCTTAAGTTCTGAGCCATAGCAGCTTTCTCCGGTTGTGGTATTATATGACCATGAGAATTAAAATAATTTTTTAGTCGACAGGAAAGTGGTAAGAAAAAATACCCCTTCAAAAACTCACTGCAGAGACCTTATTTCAGGTGCTTCTTGAAATGATTGTAATTCTAATGCTGTCACTTGCTTTGTTTCTTTCCTTACCTCTTTTGGTTTTGTGCAGCTTTTAGAACTTCTAGCAGTTCTCCCAGCAGACACCTGAAGAAAATTTAGAAAGGGGAACAAGAATCAAAACAACAGAATTGCAAGCTCACCGATACACGACTTCCCCCTTTAAACTTGGATGAAATTCATTACACGCTAAGAAAGTTAAGACCGTGCCAATCATTTTTAAGATCCGGGTATTGAGCGCACCAACCACCTCATGAATAAGTGGTCCGTTCTCAGCAGCCAGCATGTGCAAAACCGTCAGGATTCGACACAGAAAGCCTCACCTCACGACAGAGGAGACAGCGCAGCAAGGGAAAGAATGAACAATACTTGCCGCCCATTCAGAACTGCACCGTGAAGAGCTGGTGCTCTACCCTCAGGTTTACCCAGAAGTTGTTCCCGTCCACCGAGTGCTTCCGAGTGAACCGCTTTCAAGCTGTGCGTGCCATGAATCTAGAGACGGCAGGACCCCCGCCTGCCTGTTTGCCCCGCTTAATGCAACCGCTTAGAGGAAAGGGAAGGGAACTGGGCCCAGGCTACCACTGCACTGGTTCAGGATCTGGAAGAAGCGTCAACGTTAGTTACCAGCCAGTCACAAGGAGCCAGCACTTTAGCCCTTCTCACCTTATTGCTGCCGCTGTCTCGCTTCACACTGGATGATCTACTCTCTCGCTCCGGGGTCTGCTTTGAGCTACCCTTAGTTTCCACTGGGGAGTCCTTGTCTGGCAGCGACGAACTCTTCCCAATGCCTAACTTAACAACAAGAGAACGTACGTTGGTCTTAGACTTGCCGCCATCTGTCACGTTTGACCTGCCGCTCGGAGGTCTTTGCTGACTCGCTTCTTTTGACACCATTTTCTTTTCAGTGACTGTGCGGCTCCTGGTTGCCGGCTTCGCAGGAGGCTTCTGCTCCTCTTTTCTCAGAGTCGGAGCTTTCGTCTTGGATACATTTGGGACAGACATCGGAGCCTTTAGCATACTTTCACTAACAGAAGTAGTCTCCGCACTGGATGCTGATTCTGATGCAAGACTGACGGATTCAACCGCTTGTCCCGGTCCTTTACTGGGCTGTGCCTTGGGTAGAATTTGTTCAGGACTCTTGTCGTCTGTAATCTTTTCAGGTTTCTCCTCCTTGGTTGGTCCATCATTTGATACCAGCCTTTCAGGTTGCTTCTCTAAAGTTGTCTCCGTCTTGACTACATGTTCAGGTTTGACTAATTCAGGTTTCTCCTCTGTGACTTCCACAGCTTCCAGCACCGCTGCCTCAGATTCCACCACTGTATTAGCTTCAGCTGCGGAACAGGGGATTTCAGATTCCTTGTCTATCACCCCCCCAATCACCTGATATGTAGGTATTTCTGATGTATTAAGTAATGCTTCAGTACTATCTGCCTCTTGGGTTACTGGCTTGTTATCTGACTGTACATTGCCACTTGACACTTCCTCCACGGCAACTTCTGCAGAGTCCACTGGAAATGTCTCAGAGGTGGCAGCAACTGTGTCTTCTCCTTCCACAGTTGTGACAGAGTCTACTCCTATGCTCTCCGCTTCAGTCGTGCTGGATAATTCTTCCGGTGATTTACCAACAGGAGTGGCTAATTCTTCAGTTTTGTTTTCTCCAGCAGCTGCAGGTGCATTTTCCAGAAATTCTTCATTAGAGGTGTCTGTAATTTTTTCTTCCTTCTCCAAATTGGATGGCAAAGTAAGAAGAACTCCTTCAGATTTTACTTCAGATGATCCTAAATCAACTGGTGTAGTAGGTGTGGTTGTTGCTCCAATTCCAGAATCCTCTTCTGATCCTTCTGTCTTTGATGGTTCTGATGCCACTTCACATACCACTTTCTCAACGGGTCTTGAGTCTTCTTCAGTCTTCTCTTCTGGAATCCTAGGCTTCTGATCAGAACTTGGTTCTTCCTTGGCCTCAGGAGGCTTTGGTGAAGGAACAGCAGCTGGGTGCACCCCTCCTGATCCTTCGGGAAATGCGTTCAAGTCAGGGCTAAATATATTTAAAAAAACAGAAGAAATCAAGCTATGTTGAGAACTCCACAGTAATCAATAACCCCTCGACGCCAACGGTTGGGATTTCCTGATGCAACAGAGCTTAGCATTAGGAAATCTGGCCTAACAACCAAACTGGTTTTCACAATGAGCCAAATTCTAGTTTACCTCTCTCTTAAGTTGCTTCAGCATGGCAGGCATCTTAGCATTTCTCTAATGGTACTAGTCAGTATGCATGTGTGCTCTGTGTACCTTGGAGCTGACAGGTCAGGTTTAAGTTTAGGTAGGGAGAAAGACAGACAGAACACAGGGACGCATAGCTCTGGCTGTGGATATAAACCAATTTAAAGTTAGAATAGGAAATCCTCCTGATCTGTTATCCACCTTCCTGCAGTTCCGCTCCAGAAATATGGGTGCTAAATGGGGTGTTACCTAGAGAACTGAAATGAGACAGACAAGAGTGGAAATGTCCACACATACACACTCGCTGAGCCTTTAGTCCATTTTCAGCTTTCTGATAGATTCCAAAATAACCAAATTCAAGGCGACAATGTACAGTATTCCAGAAAACTTCCACTTACAAGTACATAATTATTAGGAATGTAAAAACGGTCCTGCTGCAATCAGATCAAGGCTCTATTTGGTCCATCGAGCTTCCAGCAACAGCCAAACTGGTGCCTCCTGAAAGCCCATTCTAGTGTATCTCTAGAATAATCTCCACCTGGAGGTGAATGATTTCAAAGCTGGGGTAATGGCAATTCTGCTTTGATGACCTAGGAAAGGATGCTAAGATATCACATATTACAACTGAAAGATGATCACACACCAAACTGGGTGCTCTACATGTTATGTGAAGTGAGTCAGGCGCCCTCAGAAAGAGGGCAAAATAAAAGCTCCATAACAACCTCCCCCCACAAAAGCACAACTGGCAGGGTTTAGTGTGCTGTATTCTGCAGAACCAAATGAAAAGGGGAGGCGTGTAAACTGTGCAGGCAATTGATGGGAGAAGAACTGCCACTATCACAATCGATTAAGGGGGGGGGGAGTGTCTTGCCCAAGCAGGAGCAATTCCAAAAGGAAACATCAAACCTCAAAAAATAGGACTACAAAGCAGTAAAATATATGCAAAAATAATGTTCTCATTGATAATTTTAATATTTCTTGCAAACCACTTTGAGGTTTTACATCAATCAATCAGTATATAAATTTTGCTAAGTAACAGAAATAAAAATTTGAGATCACTAAATTTGAGAAGATCTCAGGAACCTACCTGGACCCTGAGATCATCTTCTGAGGCCCTTCTTCTTATGCCTCCTCCTCGAGAGGACCGGAGGGTGGCAACAAGAGAACAGGGCCATTTCTGTGGTGGCTTCCCATTTGTGGAATGTTCTCCCCAGGGAGGTTTGGCTGGCACCTTCATTATACACCTTTAGGTGCCAGGCGAAAACGTTCCTCTTCAACCATGCCTTGGGCTGACTGATTGTGTTGTGGAAGGCTGGATTATTGGGTTATCTTTGTTTTATTATTATTATTATTATTAATTTTCTCCTTTTTCATATTTCGATTTTATGCTGCTAATCGCCCGAGATTCTACAGGTATAAGGTGGTAAACAAATTGAATAAATAATAATAAATAATAATAATAAATGGTCAAGCACAAAAGGCATGGATTTTGAGACTTGCAAAGGGGATGCTGATGCGTATTTGAGTAAATAAAACTAGGAGAGTAAGGAGTGCAAGGCACACTATAATGAAGCACAGCAAACAGGATCCAGAACCGAACCAAGCAAAAACAGTATGGTTCCTCCAACTTTTGGCAAATAAAGATGGGACCTTCCAGCTGGGATTGGTGATGTGACGCAGCTCAACTTCATGGCATTAGTGAATTTACAGAACTCCAGGGGGAAACAAAAAAGTTCCTGAGTAATACACATCTGTATGGCTTGGATAGACAGCTGCATGAATTCAGAGGTAAACTGCAAAGAACATGTTTCTAAATTGTGAAGATATCCAACCGAGATTGGCTTAACACATATATCCCCTTCTCTTTGGGCTTTCAACAACACAGCTTGCACATGTGACTCTTTTCAGGTGAATCTAAACAGGAAAATTCCCAGATAGGTTGGTCATACTACTCAACCAAAAGGGAGCCTTTCTTGAAGAAGAGAAGCTACTCACACAATGATTCAGTCCTTAAAAAATTGTTTTTTAGGTGCAGGAAGTGAACTTTAGCAATTCATTTGGGAGATTAAGAGTTCCAGGACCTTCTGTCAGACAAGAAAAGCACAGACCAAAAAAAAAAAAAAAAAGGAGAATTCACAGCCAAGAATAAAATCCTGCCAAAGAGATGGAGCTTTCAGGAATGATAGAGTTGTGACATCAAGATTCTATCAACAGGGTGCAATAATTTAAACAAGTCAAGGAAGCACCAGACACACAACCCCACTTGCTGTTGCAGTCTCGCACCCTTGAGGAAGCTAATGGAAAGGACAACCCATAAAAAGCATGCCACACGTGAGTGAGGCAAAAGAGCCACACACAGCTGTTCTTCATCTGAAGCTCAGTTCATCTTCAGCCACCTCCACCTGGTTCTGGGAAAAAACTGTTTGCCGAAAACATGCCATCATGGGAGGAGGTATCGAAGTACATTCAGAACAAGCAGGTCCATCAACTCATCCAGAAGATGAAGTGACAGCCATTGTGAAGAAGTGACACACAGTTTATTAATCAAGATTTCATCTATTACATCCGATCAACCATAAAAACATATGGCGTCCATTTGTTCCCCAACAGAGTAAGGTCAGGGGAGCAAGTAAAAAGAAAAATCTGCCTTCTTTCTGTACTCCACAATTTAATTTTTTTTCTTCTGGCCGTATTCCATCATGAGCGCAAACGATTCAGTGAAGAACAAGCTTTATGTCTACTAGCCATGCTGCTGGTTTCCTTGGAACAGAGAACAGGGTGTGTGGTTGGTTTGTTTTGGGGGGGTTTTTTTGAGCAAAAAGCCAGCAGATAAAACTGTCTCAGGTGTGACCCATGCAAAGTCACTCTGTTACATGGGCTTCCTCAACAGCGGTTATGTTAAAATGCTTCCTTCAGATGCAGTATCTCAGGACCCAACGTTTACACTCAAGTAAGGAGACAATGAGTTACCAAATGAGCCTGGTGTTCTGCATGTACCAAGTGTATGTATACCGGATTAGAAATGTGTGTTATACTTCCATTGCAGGTGCATATCATCAACAACTAAGCAGGCTGCACGTGTGTAGATGAGAGCTTTGGGGAAAAACACAGTATTATTAGACGTGAAATCGGGTACATAGCAGCATTATGATGTAACAAACACCCCGGGTGTTAATTTTCAAATGTACTTGCTAGCCAGAGTACAATTATTTTAACTACATCTGTAGGCTATAAAGTTGTGCATGCATCTCCCTTTTAAGAAGAATCTAGGAAGATAATTTGAGGTGCAGAAGTCATTTTGAAAACAAAAATGTTCTTTTTTCCACCTACAGAAAAAAACCCTTGTTACTTTAACCTATTCTCTTTGATGCAAATTAATTATAAATACAGTCATTAAAATTCTGTGTATCTCATCCATAATTTTATATTGTGTGAACACTTGACAGGATGCACTATGCATTTAGCACATGGTTCTTGGGATACTTTAAACTGCTAATGGTCTTTTCTATTACACTTAAATAGCGTGACATGATAGACCAGCTTCAGGGTCAACTGTAGACTCCTTGAAAAAATGAATTGCACAGCAAAATATCTTTATATACTTGGAAAGAGCTTGAAAGCACTGATTCAAAAACACCGGCTTGTCACACAGAATTGCACGCACTGCTGCAGCTGGTTAATTCCAATGTCATTTTTCTGTAGTCATCTGAATTGCAAATACTGTGTATGGTTCAGGCCACACCCCACTAAAGTCAATGGTAAAGTTCCATGGATATTAATGGAAATGAACTGTACGCACACATTCCAGGCACGCTTGCTGACTTCAGCAGCTACGACTGCACGACAAGTCCAAAACTTGACAGAGGGGTGAGAGGGATACACAGAGAACAAGTTGTTTCACATAAGAAGTGACAACCCTAAATAAATCAGAATACTGGGCTTACCACGGAAAGGTGAGGTGGATAATCAGTCTACTTTATTCAATCACAAATCTTAAAAGCCACACATGCATGCATGCATACTCTCTCTCTCTCTCTCTCTCTCACACACACACACGCACACACACACACACACACACACACACACACACAACATTTAAATATTTAAAAAACAAACCTTTCGTTGCCTGGTTCTTGTTTCTTCTCCTCCTTTCTTGTGACTTCAGCCTGTTGAAAAACAATGTCCAGTTCTGAGCTCTTGAAGCAATTAACAAGAAACCGTGTGAAATACTTCGGCCCACAGATACACAATAGAATTTTAAGAGCAATGAAAAAGAGGCTCTTCAATTGGCTCTTTTCTGCAGGTGTCCAAAACTAAATACTTTTGCGTAAAACAACCAAAAAAGAAATGAGAGTGAAAAAATGGAAACAGGGCAACTCGTATGTCATGACTCTGCTCTTTTAATCGCACGATTTTTACTTCCCAGGAATCAGTCTTAACTATAAGCTTTGCCCATTACACCTGACTCCATGCTAATGCCCAATTTTAAGCCCTGTCAAGGAATAAGACTGGACCGTATACCTAGCTGGCAACTTGATGAGTCTACAAAAGCAACAGGGAAAGAGGGAGTGTTGGAGTGTAACTGAGCATCAGCTGATTGTCAGTTCTTGCAAAGTGCAGGGCTTTGCAGGAGACACCCATTGTTGGTGCCTTCCTTCGCAAGGCAGTGCTTACAAAGAGTCAGGAGCTGCCAATCAGCTGGCTGGCAGCGCCAGCAAACTCCAAATCTGTCCCATCCTCGTCTTTACTTGCTCCACACACCATGTCATAAATGACATTATATGGGTAGGGCAGGTGGGTCTGGCTTGGCCAAAACTGCCTGGTCCACCACATTGGGCTGCCTCAAGCTTCCCCACAACTGTTACATAGTTTAGCCATTGGGTGGCACTAGACTTAGTTGTGAGTGGGCAGAGTCAGGGTTTTCCTGCACTTGCTGTGTCCTTGCTAGAGACAAGCAAGCTCTTGTCCAGTTTCCCAACCACTGCGTAGCTTTCAAACCTTCCGTGCCAGGGGGCAAGAACAGCCCAGCAGCATTAACAGCAAACATCCACATCCAGGCTGAGTCTTCAGAACCCACCACGGATGCACACAAGCTGGAAAACTGAGACGTGTTTAAAGAAAGGAAGCTCACTTACCGGCGACGGTTCAATCTGTGGTGAGCGTGAGAATGTCAACCGTGATTCTCCAAGGTTGTGTGGATACCTTTTCAGGAAGCGGCACATGGATGCAGCTGACTCAGCACTATCCAACTGGAGAATGGCCTTAGAAGTTAAGATATGCATAACGTTAACATTAAAGTATACCCTTTGTGCAGTCAGTACAGGGATACACATGTAAATATTACTTATTAGCCAGATGGAGCTTTTCTTCCTGAAAGACATTATTTCTAGGAGTTTGTTGCTGTCCTTTAAGGCAGCTGGGGAGGGGGTGGGGGAGAACCTTCCTGTGCCACTGGGTTCCTGTGCCACAATAGTAAACTGTGTCATGGTGCTCTGGGGAGAGTGCATCAAGTAACAGGTCTGCTTAAAAAAGAAGTTTCCAAAACAAGAACAGCCACCTTGTTCTTATTTGCTATCACCATGTAGTGATCTACGCGTCCAAATCGAAGTCCAACACAAAGTATTTCGAGTTCTGAATATCCCTTATCTGGCAGGTTGCCCAAATGCACAAACTGTGAATGGATATTTTCTGTGTTCACCTAGTTAAAGAAAACGCAGGCATCAATTTTATCTATTTACAGTACCCCATTTCCTGCCCCACCCTTCACCATAAAGTCCCACGTTAAGCAGTGACTGCAGAGCAGATGGTTTCTATTTGGAGTTTGACTTTTTCTTTCACCAGGTCTGCTAGGCCAGTGAGCCTGGCTGTTTCCTGCCTTCTCTGGCAGCACGAGGTTTGGATTCATTTCCTTAAGCCATCTATTCTGTGGAGACCACAGAACAGTATTTCAGCTACTCACACCTGCTCTTCACTTGGGACATTCTGAGGCTTGCCGCCAGCATGATGGGGATCAAAATGATTATCAGGAAAAGCACTACATAACAATTCGTAACGCTTCTGCTACTTACCTTTGGATTGACATCTTTAATCATAGAAACAAATATAGCTTCCTAAAGAAAAAGGGATCAAAAATATTTATTTAAGAAAACTAAAGGTGTCTGCGGATTTACAGATTATACATAAATCACAGCCATTTTCACTGGGTCTCATTTTGATTTGTGTTCAGCACCGCAACCCTCTTAAAACATTCAGCCTTGGCTCCACTTGGCAAACACATCCCCCCCCCGCCACCCCATTCTCATGGTGAATATATACCTATCCCCCCAGGAATACCACTCCATGCCCCTAGCAAAAGGGGGCTCTGGCTCATGAACGAACACACACTCGTTTTTCATAGCTGTTTTCCAGCACCGCTTTCATTAGTCTTCCAACTCCAGGGAGTTGTTAATTCATGATTATTTACTGGATTAAACAGGCAGACGAATACTTTGCACATCATGGTAAGCCATGGTTTAGCACTATGTGGGTGAGCTGAAACAAGCCTAACAAATTCTCAGGTTTACATGCTCCCTCCCTCTTCCGTAGAGGAGCAAGAAGGATTTCGCTAGCATATACTTTCATTTTCACAGAATCCCATCTTGGCATTGGGCACAAACCAGAGAATGTGGTTCAGACCAAAAACTGGCCAGATTCTAAACAAATCTCCACACCTTGAGTTATGAAGCTGGCTTGCTTAACTAACCAGGGATTGAGTTAAACCATGACTCTCTAGTTCATGTGTAATGCTGAGCCAGGATCCTATGAAACAGAACAGAAACCCTAGCAAAGTCCTTCTCCCAGCTGGGTGGCAGTGGGAGCAGAAGAGCATGTGGACCCAGATACTTGGCTCAGCTCCTGCACACAGCACTGAGCCATGCAAACCAGCCCAGACACACCAAGCACAGAACCTCAGATCATCCTAATTGGCACCGCTGCCTCTGCAGTCTAGGTATCAAGCAAGTTGTTTATAGAAAGAAAGGCCCGAGGGCAGGGTTTGAAACAGGTCCTGCAACACATTTGCCTAAATAAAAAGTGAAACACAACTAAATCAAATGTGAGGAAGCAGAGGACAGCAGCTCCTAGCAGACCATTTGCTGATGATCAAAGATGTGACTGCATTAATTGGTTGTAGCACAGGCAACTCCGAATTTACACAGGGGTTACGTTCCAAGGCACCGTGCGTTTAAGTGAAACTGCATAGCATAGAATCTTAAGAGTTGGAAGGGACCCAAGGGCCATCGAGTCCAACCCCCTGCAATGCAGGAATCTCAGCTAATGCATCCAGGACAGATGACCATATTTGAAACACCATTGAAAAAGATGGGAAATACCCTGTTCCATCCCCACTTCGCCCCCCAAACAGTTGATGCCTGTAAGGTAACAAAGAGCCTTGTGGCACCTTAAAGACAAATAAAATAGATACCATTCTAAATGTGTTCATCTTTAGAATACCACAAGACCACATTGCACCACCCCCCCATTTTTCTTAATGTTTTAGTTACCAACCTCATCTTTTATGTCTTTGAATTCAGGCGCCAAAGTAATGCTCAGTTGGTTCTTCTCCACATACATTGGAAAGCAGGTATAAAATTGCACCATGGAGTCTGCAGTTTTGCAACTCATTTCTAGGTATGCCTTTTGAAAAAGAAGGAAAAAATCTATATCAGCCACCTGAAACCAGATAATCGCCTCCTCCAAAGTTACAATATGCAGAAATTTTATGTGGTTTTCCATGAATGTTCATGTAAATACTGCTTTATGGAGCATTTCTGCTCTTTATTTGGATGTCCAGTGAAAAATGGCTTCTCAATACCTTTTTATGTGAAGATACAATTAACACATCTTTCAGTTTTCCAAAGGGCTTGGTTAAATTAGAAACCTCATCTGGAGTTAATCCTGAAGCAGGCAGGTTAGAAATCAAAACCACACACATCTCTTCTGCTTCCTAGAAAAGCAAAACAAAAACAAGAAAATTAGAATTATTATCGACGAATTTTCACATAACATTATCCTACTGTTTCTTATTTTTTTCCAAACCCAGCCCAAATTTCTGCTGCCTATTCTAATCAATCCGTATTCCTTTATTTCTCCGTTTCGTCACTCTAATCCTGCTAACATCTTAATTTGTTTACAATAGTTTTCAAATATTCTACAAATCTTTTCCAATTTTCTTTAAAAACTCTGTCTTCCTGATCTCTTATTCTACTAGTTAATTTAGCCATTTCTGCATATTCCATCAATTTCATCTGCCATTCCTCCTTTGCTGCTATTAAACCCTCCTTCCATTTTTGAGCATATACCATTCAGGCTTCTATAGTTCCGTACATGAACAGGTTTTTTTCCTGATTGCTTGGTATATCTAAAATTACTCCTAAAAGAAAAGCTTCTGGTCTTTTTACAAAGGACCTTTTAAACATGTTTTTCAGTTCTTTATAGATCATCTCCCAAAAGTCCTTAGCCATTTTGCATGTCCACCACATAGGATAAAAAGGTACCTTCCTTCTCTTTACATTTCCAACAGATATCAGATTCTGACTTATATAACATTTTCATGAAATTCTCTTTTAGTGTGCTGCATGCTGTAAATTGTAAATCTTTCTTCCATAGTTTCTCCCTTGTTTGCAAAGCATTTCGAGGACAAAATTGCTTGCATCCACCGGGATCTTGGCTCACCTTGGTGACCGATTCACTTGCTTCAATGTTCTTTGCAGCTTCTGTCACATCTGTGTTTAAAAAATAATTTTGTTAAAAGATGAAAAAGTAATGTGGCTGTCACTGATGAAGAGTTCATTTGGGGAGTTGAAAGCCCAAACCCCAGAACAAGGAAACGCCAATTTTAAACTGAACCAATCCTTTTGTTCCAGACTATTGTCTTATATGGAACAGGTAAAAATTTGCCTCAATGAAAGCAACACTTTTAAGGCTGCAATCCTATACTCCAGTGGTTCTCAACCTGTGGGTTCCCAGATGTTGTTGGACTACAACTCTATCTTCCTCCTCTCTTCACAACAATCACTACAGGAGCCTCTTGACGTTTTTTATAGTCTGTATTTACAGTATTTACAACCGGTCATTAGCACATCCTTATCCATCAGAGTCACTCAGTTCAGATCTCTGCTGAGGCCTGCGTTTGCCCCTCCAGCAACTCATAATCCCTTGCTAGCTAGGGATGATGGGAGTTGTAGTTCAACAACATCTGGGGACCCACAGGTTGAGAAAGGCTGCTATAGTCCCTTTTCTGGGAATAAACCCAATGAACTCGTTCTGCCTGGACACTGAGGTCCAGCACCAAGGGCCTTCTGGCGGTTCCCTCGCTGCAAGAAGCCAAGTTACAGGGAACCAGGCAGAGGGCCTTCTCGGTAGTGGCGCCCGCCCTGTGGAATGCCCTCCCACCAGATGTCAAAGAGAAAAATAACTACCAAACTTTTAGAAGACTTCTGAAGGCAGCCCTGTTTAGGGAAGCTTTTAATGTCTAACAGGTTATTGTATTTTAGTGTTTTGTTGGAAGCCGCCCAGAGTGGCTGGGGAAACCCAGCCAGATGGGTGGGGTATAAATTATTATTATTATTATTATGGCTGACTTCTGAGTAGGATGGCAGAAGTGAGTCTCCAAAGATACCTGGCACTTCTGCAGGTGGGCTCGTTTCTTTGGCTTTGGATTTTAGAGCTTCCTTGGGTTCTGACGTCTTCTCACTCTCTACAGCTTTTGTGGCTTCCTCAGGCTTCCTGGAACCACTGTGAGGCTTCTTCTGTTTCACAGCAGCCTTTGTCCCTCCAGTCTCGTTTGCCTTGGACTTCACAGCTGTCTTGGGTTCTGCTGTCTCCTTCCTTCCTGCAGCTTTCAGGACCCCCTCAGGCTTCTTGGGATCTGTAGGCTTCTTTTGCTTCACACCTGTTTTTGCTCCTGCGGTCTTTTTGACATCTCCAGCCTTTTTTGGTTTTACAGCCACTTTTGTCTCTCCAGCCTTTCGAGAGTCTCCAGACTTTTTGTCATCATTTGCTGTGATCAGACAAAACATTCATCTGGTTAGAAGGGGGTTGCTGTTTAAGTTATTAACCTTAAAAAACACAGTGACTACAGTGGCCCCGAGACTATGTTCAGACAACTTAAGAAGGTTCAGAAATGCACAAAACAGGAACTCAGTTCTGGTAACAGAATTATAGAATAAAGGAATCATTAAAATGAACAAATATTTGAAAAGAACCCAGGACTTCCAACGAGAAGTATATTAAAAAGATAACTCTCCTCTGCACCGTTAACAAAAATACAGCCCAAGAGATTAGTAAGAAGGATTTCAGTTTGACATATTTTGGTGGGAAAGTATTTCTTAAAAATGAATAGGCTTCAGTGATCCAAAAATGTAATTGTTCAAGGCCTCATTTTGCTGAACTTGCCACCCCTGAAAAACATTACCCCCTTCTCCATGCAGCTACCACATTCTTCAACACATTTCCATCTGACAGGGAACCAAATATATCAGTAAGCCTGCATGATGGGAAGACTAGGCAAGATTCTTCTTCAATTTTTTTCACCCACATTCAGCACACAATGCACCAAACTGCAGGAGATGGAGCATAAAGGAAGGAAAAGCAACCAGAACTCACAGACAGCTGCCGAGGACGTTTTTGCAGCAGTTTGATCTTTCCTGAAAAAAGGAACAAAATTGTGGATTAATTGCTGGACACAATCCCATTAAAATAAATCACAAGTTGGAAAGTAAAACAATTAAAAAGCTGATTTAAGGAATGTGATAGGCCATCATACTTACGTTGCACTTGCAAGTGACTTCTTGACATTATGTGAGCTTGAAGGAGCTTTCTTAACATTGTGGGAGGTTGTGGGAGGCTTCTTCCCATCCTGTGAACCTGGGGCTTTCTTGACGTTCTGGGAGGTTGAGGGAGCTTTCTTGACATTTTGTGAGCTTAGAGCTTTCTTGACATTCTGGGCGCCTTGAGAAGGTTTCTTGACATTCTGTGTGCCTGATGGAACTTTCTTGACATTCTGTGTGCCTGAAGGAGCTTTCTTGACATTCTTTGGGCTTGGGGGAGCTTTCTTGGCATTCTGAGTGTCTGGGGGAGGTTTAACAACCTGTGTACCTGGGGGAGTTTTCTTGATACTCTGTGATGGCTTCTTTTCATTTCCTTTGGTCTGAAAAAGATAATACTCTATATTCTCTTTTATGAATATACCCATGCACAATCTGTGCAAAAAACCCTTAAGCTACAGAAATACCTTTCCCCAATGACTGAGCAGAAAGTCACATTGCTGTCCTAACAGAGATAAATGGGCCACTGTTATAACTGCTGGGGAGGGGGCAGGGAGAAGGAGAGAGATCAAACCTTCCCTCCACATGTGGTGTAGTCCCAATGAAAACCGGCCTCCTTGTGCCCAGTATTAGATGAGAACCACAACAACTCCTCCTCCTCCTCCTCCTCACAATGCAATTGCTAACAACACACTCTGTGTTGGGGTCTACTTTGATTCTCTGGCATACATTACTCGACTTAATGGCCTTTTCAATACCTATCTACCCTTTTCAGTTCCTTCATGCACGTTTTCTGTTTCAACAAGGTCACAGTTCTTCCACACAGACTCAGCAGGCTGACACACAGTTTCTGAACCTTTTCCAGCTCTACAATTTCCCCTTTCCAGCTCTACAACCTTTTCCAGCTCTACAATTTCCACTACGCTGGTACCCATCAGTGCAACTGCTCCACCACTAAACTAGCATATTCTGCATTTCTTGCAGCTTCTGGATCACCTTCAAGTGCAGCCTGACATACCGTGCTTTAGAATTAATTCACTCAGGAGGTTCCCAGAGCATGCTGTAGGAAAAGTATACCTGTCCAGGAATGGCTGTAGCTGGTGAACCAAAAGGTGTTCAGAGCCACTGAGGTTGCCTGGGTCTCTAGAAAATGGATCAATGAGCACCCCAAGAATATGTATCTCATTTTTCAATGGGACTGTCATCCTGTTCATAGCTGGCTACCTTACTAACTGCTAGACTTGAGGAAACACCAACCCCCAGGGTTTCCCCCTGGTCCTGAGTCAGTTTTGTTACTGGCCAGCCCATCACTGTGTTCAGGGCCTGCTCCAGAACCCACCCAGCTCTCCCAGTAGCTTCATATAGGCATTAAAGAGCATCGGGGACAAAATGGAACAGTTCTGGTCACCTCACTTGAAAAAGGGTATTGTAGAGTTGGAAAAGGTTCAGAAAAGGACAACCCAAATGATCAAGGAGATGGAGCGACTGCTCTAGGACGAAACGTTGCAGCATTTGGGATTTTTACATTTAGCGAATAGGTGAGTAAGAAGTGACATGGCAACAATTTATAACATTAAGCATAGAATCATAGAATTGAAGAGTTGGAAGGGACCCCGAGGGTCTTCTAGTCCAACCCCCTGCAATGCAGGAATCTCATGGCATGGAGAGAGGTTTCCCCTCACCCTCTCTTCCAACACTACTAGACAAAAGAAGATCCTTCTTCATGCCGCACACATTGTGGAACTCACTGCAACAAGGGGCAGTGATAGCCACCAACTGGATTGGCTTTAAAAGACGATTAGATAAATTCACAAAGGACAAGGCCATCAATGGTCATTAGCCATGATGGCTTCATGATCTGCCTTCATGGCAGGAGGCAGTAACTCACGATTGCAAGAGACAGCAAACTAATAAAAAAGGCTATACTTCAAGCAAGAGGAAGGACAAAAAAGTAGTGGGAAAGTAGACGGAAAAATGCTATTGGGTGACAGACACCTACTTTGCCTCTGTCTTCACCCAAAAGTAAAGCAGTGCCCAACCTGGTGATAACAGAATGAACAATGCAACAGCCAGTCTCCTAAGAAGACATGCCTGGCACCTAACACCGCTATCACTTAAATGTCATTATTTTAAAGTTTTTTTAACATTATTTTTGTTCATTATTTTTATTCAGTTAGATGTTTTTGATTTTATTAGTATTTTGATAAAAAAAAACCCCTGCTGCTGTTATTATTATTTTGGTTGTCCTGAACTCTTATACAGCTGTAAAATGTTCTGAATCGTAAGCAGGGCAACCTAGTCAGATGGCCAGGGTACAAATAATAATAATAATAATAAAAGGATGATAATGAAGGGCGGATATAAATGCTTCAAGTAAGTAAGCAGCATATACACCATCTTGGGGTGGGGAAAGAAACCTTGTCAGATGCTGTGGAAATAAGGCACCTTAAATTACACAAACTTACCAGGCTGGGATCCACTTTGGACTTTTCTGCAACACTTATTTTCACACGCCTGCCATTAACCAAGACTGGAGATGTTTCACCATATTTGACAGCTGCTGTTACCGCCTCCTTATAATTCATTTCAAGAAAGGCCTAACAAAAAGGAAAAGTCTCATCATTTACATCTTGCTCTAACCTTTTACATTGTGGTTTTCAGATTTGAGTGAAGGAGCATCAGGAGAATTGAGAATGGGAGCCAAGTGGCCAAAGTTCACAGAAAACTTTTAAAGTGGTTTTGCAAAACAGCTGTAGCTAAACAGTCTAAAGTTTCTAAAGTGAGGTTTAAAATAGGTTTTTCCATTACTACTATCAGAAATTTGAGACTGTTTAGCTACAGCTCACCTCAGAACACCTCCAAGGGATGTCTTCAAAATTCTAGCCTTACTCCAGCAATCAGTCAATAATCTATCAATAAGCACATTGCTTATAGATTAAAGAATGCACAGTGTGCCATGCTTACTACTAGCAGTTGTGCAGAGCTGCTGTGAACCACACCAGAGGCTATACGTAGGACCGCTGGGGTCAGCATACTGGGTGCTAGGATTACCCCCAGCTAATGTGACTTACAGAAAAGATGGGGTATTTTGCAGAAACTCTATGTTAGGCATTTAAGGTACTTACCTCATTTCTAGCACGAAGCACCAAGATATCACTAACTTTTCCAAAGGGCTGAACAATTTTTTTAATATCGTTATCTGTATAGCCATCATCTGGTAAATCAAATATTCGAAGAATCGTACCACAACTCAAGGCTTTGTCTGTCAAAAACTGAAAATGAAACAGTATTTCAAGCAAATTTCAAACCAGTTACTGATTTGTGTGCTTGCTCTCTCGCTCTCATGTATGCAGGCAGAGAGACACAAAGAGACACATAGAAACAGTTAAAGTATAGTGCACTTAAAGGAGCATTGCGGGAAATGCAAGAATGGATTAAAAAACCTGCATATTACATCTCTTGAAAAAGCACTGAAATGACTTCACAAACTATCTAAATAAAAGTCATTTCTCAATATTTCATCGTGATTTAGTATGGGGTATGAAAGATGATGGGATGTGGCTGCAAACCCAGGGGCAGGCATGATTGTTAATGACTGGATCAGAGGCAGGAAGCTCTCTCCCATATAAGCAAAAAGCTCCCGTTTGGTCCCACAGAGAAAAGCCCATCTACATCTAGGGACCAGAGAGCCAAGGACACCAGAACTCTGACCCTGCATAAATCCAGATCCAGACCTCACGTTAAGCCTAAACACCTTCACAGAAGACTTACTGACCTGACTGCAGGGAATGGGTTGAGAAACATTTGTTTCCTCAGCTACGACTCCGTCTTTGTTTGGGACATCAATATCTGATGAGCCATCTTTCTTGGAAGACTTTGGAGGAGCCGTAGGATGACTTGGGGTCTTCTTCACACTTCCAGTAGTCTTCTCTGGCTCAAGCGGTATCCTCTTTAAAGCCGACCCTCGGGTGAGCGCTTGGAGTGATTTCTGTTTGTTGTACTCTTCAACAAAACTTGGACCCAAACATCTCACCGCTTCTTCCAAGTCCTTACCTGAATGGAGGGGGAGAGATACTGAACGCACTGTTTTGCCAGTGTACGTGGAAAAAGCATGCCATTACTTGTTGATCCTGGACAAAGAAGGCAAGGGCACACACAGCAGCTGCAGCGAATGAAATAAGGAGCTGAGCACTATTTATACCAGGGGTTGTCAACCTGGTCCCTACCACCCACTAGTGGGTGTTTCAGGATTCTAGGTGGGTGGTAGGGGGTTCTATGGCACAAGCTGAATCCTCCTTCCGTCGAGCACTGGTGGGCGGTAAGGAAATTTTACCATCAAGAAAGGTGCATCAGTGGGAGGTAGGTATAAAAAGGTTGACTACCCCGATTCATAACTTTCCTATAGCTTTGTATATAGACCTGCCCCCCATACAGTTCTAAAGCACAAATTTAATAGTAACAACAAAAGCACCCCATAAAATCCATTATAAGTAACGACTATGCATTTTTCAACTCACAAATTACAATCCAATGGGGAACCCCGATATTTTAAAAATCTTGTCCTTTTACGTAAATGGTTTGGGCAACCCAGCTAAGTGACGTAGGGTTGAAACTCCAAAATCTCATGGCACCATGGGCACCATCTTCTTGGACTAAAATACAGGACTATGATCTAAGTCTCATGAACAGCAAGGTTGGTATGTTGTGGTGTTGTACATGCAACATAAAATTTGAAAAAAATAAATAATTTAAAGCCCTGTTTCTCCCACCAAAAGGAATACAGTGGTACCTTGGCTTACGAACTTAATCCGTTCCGGAAGTCTGTTCTTAAACTAAGGCGTGCTTTCCCATAGCAGCGGGGGACTCAATTTACAAATGGAACACACTCAACAGAAAGCGGAATATGTTCTGCTTCCAAGGCAAAGTTCACAAACCAAAACACCTACTTCCGGGTTTGCAGCGTTCTTAATCCAAGTTGCTCACAAACGAAGCTGTTCTTAAGCCAAGGTACCACTGTGGCAATTTAGTCACCCCTGAGCTCGAGTGAATGAATGGAAGGCATAACCAATGACACAATACAGTGGTACCTCTGGTTACATACGCTTCAGGTTACAGACTCTGCTAACCCAGAAATAGTACCTCGGGTTAAGAACTTTGCTTCAGGATGAGAACAGAAATCGTGCTCCGGCGGCATGGCAGCAGCAGGAAGCCCCATTAGCTAAAGTGGTGCTTCAGGTTAAGAACAGTTTCAGGTTAAGAACGAACCTCCAGAACGAATTAAGTACTTAACCCGAGGTACCACTGTATTCTCCTTCCCTTAACACCAGACCAGACATGATGGGGCCACCCTCTATGTATCTGTATCTGTGTCGCCTGTGTCTGCTTTTCTCTCTCACACACCTGTCCAGGAACAATCGGAAGCACATTTCAAAAACTGTTCTTTTGCAGCTGCATCTTTATCTGCCTCCCACCTAACATCATATCTGGGTGTGCCTTGATGGAAATGGCTTTGCAGATCAGATCAGGACCACTGCAAGGCTTAAGAAGGCCCACAGGCTGGAGCCTCCATTTTACCTGGAGATCTGGTGGATCTTCTTGATCTTCTTTCTCTTTCTCTGCTGTAAGATCTTCGATAGCGTGAAGAAAAGAAATGAGGGCGCCGTGGAGACCTTGACCTATACCGGGGACGAGGCAGATATCTTGGGCTTCGACTTCTGGGTCTACGGCGCCCAGGGCTCCTAGAGCGCGAGCGATAGCGGCGCCAGGCATGGCCAGAGCTTGAGCGTCTTGAGCGTCTGGGACTAGAACTGCAAGAGCGCCGCCTCGGTGTATGGTTTTCCTTTCGGTCACTTTCATGTCTGTAAAAACAGAAAAGGTTGTTCTTCCCCAACATACTGTATTTAATATGAAATAAGTAATCCAATCTAACTGGACAGTTTTTAAAATGTTTTAATTTTTAAAAAATACTTTATTCCTTATAAGAAATAAAACTACAGGGCAGTATTAAATAGGATAAGTGTGCATTCAGATGTTATTTGGCTTCGTAGATTCCACGACCAGGAGTGAGCCTCAGAACAAGACTCCTACGTCCCCCAAGTAGTACAGAGTGAAAATAAAGGTGGATTTGAAAAACAGGGCTGCATCAAGACAACTGGAATGCCAAAGAAATGTCAACAATCTACCCTGATTTATTACACCTATACAGTGGTACCTTGGTTCTCAAACTTAATCCGTCCTGGGAGTCCATTCGACTCCCGAAACCATTAGAAAACCAAGGCACAGCTGCCGATTGGCTGCAGGAGCTTCCGGCACTCAAGTGGAAGCTGTGTCAGACGTTTGGCTTCGGAAAAATGTTCACAAACCGGAACACTTACTTCCGGGTTTGCAGTGTTCAGGAGCCGATTTGTACGTCAACCAAGCCATTCAAGAACCAAGGTACCCACTATAAAGGAGAAAGGGGGACATCCTGCAAGCAAGGAAAAGCTGGAGTGAAAGAAGCCAAGCAATGAAGCTTTCACACAAAGTGCTGTATCCAACTCAGAGTAAATTCACCAAAATTAATAAACCTATGATAGTCACATCCATTAATTTCAACCGATTTACACTGAGTAAACTGCATGGGATACAACCCAGTTTGATGTTATGACAGACACTGACTTGCACTGTGGTACCATTTCAGTCATGGTGAGAGAACTCTCGCAAAGCATCAGCACCTACAGAACATTTTGGTATCTGCACTGGTAACGCTCCTTGGGCTCAGGAGAAACTCATGCAAGCCTTCAAGTGCCAAACAGGTAGGCAATGCTCTATAACCATGATAAGCTCTGTAACTATGATAACTCTCATATATAGTTTTATATAGTTGGTTGTTCCTCCACCCTCAGAAGCTCAGGGTGGTGACGGTCCGGGAGAGGGCATTCTCTGGGGCAGCCCCTACACTGTGGAACTCCATCTCCACAGAGAAGCATCTGGTATCTTCATTACACAGCTGGCAATGAACACTGAAGATGCATGTCTTTACCTTACCTTTTGACATTTGAGATATGTATTTTCAGGACCCATCTTATTCCAGTGATTGTGAGTTGTTTTAAACTGTTCTTAATATTGTGTTTTAGTTGTTGCAACCTGCCCCGGGACATCAGTGTGAAAGGTGGGTGGTGAAGAAGCAGAAGCAGAAGAAGCAGCTGCAAAATCTCCCTGGGACAACATGCAAAGCGACATCCACAATTCCAAGATTTAAACAACGTTCTCCCAACCACAGAGAACTCAATCCATTATAATATCTTTAGGAAAAAGGGAGATGAAATATTACTGCACCTTATCAGTACTATGGGAAGTAGTCGTATTTGAAAAATTACCTTTTTGAGTGGGCTTCTGGATTCCAGTCAGGAAATCTGTTTCAAGAATAAAACTATCAATGCAAGAAGTTTTTTTGAATTATTTTCATTGTTATCTATTGCTAAGAAGCACCTCCTTCCCTTTCCTGTGCTGCAGAGAGTGAGATTTGCATGTCTGCCAGGTACTGGCAGAGGTGTGTCAATTTCCCAAGTTAGCCTCTGTGTTAAAAAATATTCTAAGAGGTTGTCCTAATCTGCTTGGGAGCTTTTAAGGTGAACATGTAACACAGCAATTGAATTAAGTGAAAGACCACATTACAGAATTAAAAAATAGTCACATTATTAGTCAGGTCCAACCCCAGAAGTACCTGAGAGCAAGACCTACGTCTGGATCCCAGCTCAAGCACCCACCCTCTCGCTCTCTCTGTGCATCTCATCCTCGTGTTGCTTACCACCCGCTCTGCTTCCTAGAGAACTGCCGCCCTCCTTGCTCTTTCTCTCTTTTCATCCTTCCACGTAATTGCCCTCACTGAAACTTGGCTCACCCCCTCCCACACCGCCCCAATGGTGGGCCTCTCCCTTGGAGTCCTTGGCTTGTTCTATGCTCCTCACCCTTCCTGAACATGGTGGTGTTGACCCTGTGCCCACCCACTGGTTCGTCTACCTTTTATGCACTACCCTGCTTAAAGTTGTGTGGCTATATTCCGTCTCAGATCAACCCTAATTCCCTAGTATTGAAAAACCATTCATCTCATTTCAGAATGGCGCATGGCATTTAGAGCTTTTCAGTGTAGAACAAACAGATCAACATACAGATTAAGCAGAACATACTGCTTAAAAGTATTATGGTTGAAATTCACATCCCACTGAAATCATTTTATTGACTATTAGTATCCCTTTAGGAAAGTACAAGAATCAAGTCCGTCTTCGTATAATTAATGTACAAATTAAATGGGCATTCTTACTGTTGGCGTAGCTGACGACAGTTCTCAATGTGGGCAGTAGTATTCTGATGCTGAATCCAGTCCTACAGAAGGAAAAGCCATAAATCATAGTTACAAGTATTTTATTATTGTTATTAGAATGACATTTACACCCCCGCTTTCCTCCATGCAGCTCATGGTAGTATACATGGATTTCTCACGCCCTCTGCCACCATTTGCCCTTATAACCATGTTGTGTTATATACTCAGGTTGTCCAAAACTCATAAGACAAGCCTAAGATTTCTTCTTTCAAGATGATCTACAGTATAGTGTCGTCTGATGTCAAGATATGCAATATGTTGCTGTTCTGAGTTAATTCAAACCTGCCAAATTAATGGCCTCTGAATTGCATACAGAACAGAATTAGGGTATTTTGGTCTTCCAAGTACTGCTTTACATTGGCCCAGAAGGATCCAAATATGGACAGAAACGCCATAATTCTCAGAGAGGGGAAAGAAGAGAGAGAAAAGCAAACCCAAATACAGCTGCCATGGCGTTGTGATGCATTCTCCTGGAAAAAAGAGCAATGCGGAACTATTCTGCCCACTTGTCCCAGCATGAGTCACCATACAGACAACTGGGATAGCACTACATGGGCAAGTCAGCAGCAGCGACTTGGGAAGAACAATGGGGGACATCACAACCTATATAGCTTGACTACAATCGGTATCTTTATAATAGAGGTAAAAGAAAAGTGTTTCAACATAAAGAGCTGCAAAGACACAACCCCCCCTTTTAAACTACATACTTGCAGATATAGGGTGGTATACAAATAAAAATAATAATAAATAATAAAAATAATGGTCTATGCATTTGAAGGTTTGCAGTGCTGCGCAATAAAAGTATTCTGTGCTGCTACATTACAGTGGTCTGCGGACATCTGTAAGGCTTATATTTTTCTGGGAGCCGTGAAGTCCCCCCCAAAATATAAGCCTAAAAACGTAAACAGCAACCAGTCATCTTAGTAACAGCAGCACCTGAAAGTGTGGTGTTCACATGGAAACATTATTTTGGGCTCTCGCATCTGTTAAGCTCCCTTCTCTGAATGTTTTTAAAACCCAAACTTTTGTCTCAGGAACCACAAAACCTCCTGCTTCAGAAGTCCTTTGCTGCCCATAGAACATTATTATATTATTCCATTAAATATTAAAAAGAGGCTAAAATTCATGTTCTGCACCAAAAAATTATGAATGGGTGGGGAAAGGAACCTAAACAATTCAGTAAACAACTAACTTGTATGCAGAATGCAAGAGAACAGAAAAACATTGAATAAATTACACTCACGTTCTGCTTAGTGTGTAGAGTAAGCAACAGGCAACAAAATTATTTATTTCGTACAAAGTTTTTCTGTCCCAAACCAATTCCCATATTGCAGTATTTATTCTGTTTTTAGGCATCTGCAAAGACTGATCCAGAGTCAATAGAGCAGGAGACTCTTAATCTCAGGGTCATGGGTTCGAGCCCCACGTTGGACAAAAAGATTACTGCCCTGCAGTGGGTTGGACTAGATGGTGGTCCCTCATGGTCCCTTCCCATTCTACAATTTTATGATTGTATGACTTATTTTCCGCACTCTCACGCCCTTAAAAGGATTTTGAGTAAGTAAGAAATATAAACTTGGAGACATGAACATCTGCAATGCATATAATTCAGAACCCCACCATTGTGCAGTTAAACACAATTTACAAAACTCAATTTATTAGACAGCCTGAGCTAATGGATTAAGATTCTATGAACAAAAATCTAGAATTGGTTGGGATAGTAACACACAGTTTGAGGTGGACACGAAGCACATTAAGAGAAACAGAAATTTGATACAGAAGAAAAGTTTAAAAACTCTGTAACTGAGTAATCCCCTAAGGACAAAATTATAATCACACTAACAGTACATTCCTTCTTAACTCAGTGGGACATATTTTTGAGTAACTGCACATCGGTAAATTACCTATGGCCGGCCTTCAATCCTTTGGAATTTGAAAACGCAAAACACTGCACTAAGTACTTATAGCCTTCTTATGATTGTTGGGAGGGACAAATGAATGCAACCCATGCTATGCCCTTGAGATGCTTAGGGCAAGAGGGGAAGAGCCAGAGAAATACACTGAATTTTGTGATAATGTCTAGTGCAATCTATTTCAGGATTAAGCGAAATAAAAAAGATGTTTGGAAATCAAAGTCAAATCAATACTGTACATATCTCACTTTGTCTGAATAATACTTCTCTGTGTTGTGGGGTGATCCCCCGCCCACAAAGAAACTATTGTCAGAATCCCATACTTGTAAATGATATTTGGCTCTCCTCTCCCATCCTGTCATTTGGTTCTCTGTCAGGAAAAGAGACTATCAGACAGTCATGATAGTATCTTCTTTGGTATGGAGGATAATATTTCATACAGAGATTATGGTCACTGAAATTCTCAAAGCTGCAGGAAATCCCTGGGATGGATCCAGAGCAAGGAAGTCTCACTTAGGTCCAGTGAAATCAATCTGTAGCATTATTAATAACTTAAGACTTTTGATTTCAATGAGACAGAAAGGAACTTGCTCTGAATCCCATCGTCTTCTTTTTCTAAATCTAGCTGGGCTTTCCTTCTCGCAGTGAACGATTCCTCATCGGCCATGTGTAGTCAACTCAGGAGCTCTGCCCATACTGCTAGATTCCTCTTTAAACTTTTATCCAGGCCTATTCAAGAACAATTTGTGCCAAGTTAATTGGGAGATAATCTCAGGTAAGCATGTACAGGACTGCAGCCCAAGACAACTTAAATGTAGTTGTGTTAACCTGAAGCTTTCAAACCTTACTTGAACTTAAGGTATCAAGGGTCAAATAAGTAGTTAGATGCATCAGCTAAGAAAATTTAACTAATGCTTCTGTATAACTTATTTTGTTCTATCATCCTTATGCTACATTCTAAGACTATAATAAATGCTTTCTTTACCAATGTTTCTGACTGGGCTGCAACCTTAATCCACTGTCTACTTCAAGCCCAACTTCCTTTGATCCCAGAAGCTACAAAAGCAAGTTTAATTATAGACAGAGGAAGCAGTAGAGGGAACAGGGAATCCAAAGCCAAATGAGAACATGTCTATCATAAGGCAGCTTTTACAGTTGAAACCTGCAGAAATAGCCAGTCACATTGTGCAAATCAGACACACGCAGTATTTATTCCCAAGCTTCTTGATTGTTGGACATCTTACGGGAATAAAATCTACAGATATCCAGAAGTCAATTAAACCCAGTACATAGAACACATTGTGTACAAAGGTATGTAATGGGGGGGGGAGTGACTCACCTTCAAATGTCTACATTCTACATTACACAGAGAACACACATGTGGAAATATTCTTGGAGATGCAGCATAGTAATCGTTCATCATCGACGGAGTTGGCAATCTCTTCAGCTTCTGGGCATCTGCCTGTGAAAAAACTGGAAGCCAAGAGGCTTTCACCATGCCAAAAGCAGACTCAATAGGATGCTGAGGTTTCTTGTGGATTTTTGCCTGGCCACTGGCAGGTCCAGGTGGAACATCAGAAGGATGAGCCCCGGATTCATGGTGAATCCTATCATGCCGGTTTACACCCTCAAGCATGTCAGGTGCAAAAGGGGGTGGCGGCTGGTTCATAGTTGGAGGTGGTTGGTTCACAGGCGGCATCATGGGCTGAGGAACAGTTGGCGGAGGCAAAGTCTGCGGGGCAACAGGAGGCATCCCAGGCAACGCTGGCATCCCAGACATGGATGGCACCACGGGAGGCATCATGGGCGGGGCTGCTGGAGGCATCCCGGCTCCTGCTGGAGGGAGGCCTAGCCCTGGCCCCTTGTTGGAAGCATCCATGGGGAAAAAGGACTGCGTACTTGATGTGCTTCTCTGGAATCCCATCTTTCGTATCAGCTCTTCTACCGCATTCATTTGACTACTGGTTACACCAGAGGGCGCCGAAGACATGAGAGTCGTCTGCTGTGCTGGAAATCCTTTCATGTTCCCCTCAGTTGATGCATCAGAATTGTAGACTTTGACATCAAGAGGAGTTTCAGTATATTCATACTTGCTTTCATGCCCGTAATCAATTACCTTGCTCTTCACCATGGTACCATGACCATCGTCACTGTGAAACATTTCCTTTTCTCTGCTCTGAGAAGGTAAACTTGGTAACTGATGAGTCATTTTGCGCATTCGGATGTCCCTCAAAATTAAAGGCATGTTTTCTGGTGTCAGCTGATCATCCGGATACCGACTAAGTTCCTCCAAGTCTTCATTAGATAAGCCAAAGCTTGCTAAGATGCTGGAAGCACTCTCGGTTGTATAACGGTTCTGGATACGTGTGGCTTGTTGTGAAAACTTTCCTGAAGTGATCTGGCCACTATTTACAGGCGGAAATGGACTGTCCCAGTGAGTAGCACATCCCTCTTCCCTCTGGTGCCGCTCTTGTCTAGGATCCATTCCATGTTGCGTGACCTGAACATTTGGCCTTGGGAATCTTGCCCTCATTTCTGGTTCCATGACCCTTTGAGGCATTCTGGGAGGAGCAGACGGGCGTTGCCTTTGAAGACCATCCGGTCCAGGTCCCGGTCCTGGCCCCAGAAAAGGGCCACGCGGCATTGGACCAGGTGCATTGGGTCCCCTTGGCCTTGGAGGTATGTTTCCTCTAGGGTTAAACATGGCAATTTTCAGAAATGCTTCATTTAACAAAGCATAAGATGCTATAGAATGGGTTGAAGCTACCGAGTTCAACTGGTGAAAAGCCAACTGTGTCTTAATCTGAGCAAGCTGCAAAGGAGGAGGAGGGCCCAACAAAAGTGGGCTGGCAATGCCAAGGTTCAGAGAATTCACAAAAGGTGCAAAATTTTCCAAGAACACCACAAAGCTGAAAGTTAAACACACAAAAATTAGATTACATTTATTTTTAATCTACTTTCTAAAATGGTTCTACTGCCTGTAAGTAAATTGTTTGAAAAACACAACAGTTTCGTTTTTTTCTCAGTAACAACTTGTTTTAGCAAAGGGATTGGGGGTTTTACTCACTTGTCAACTAAAAGTCATTTCATATGTGTTTCAACGCACTACAACCTTTGAATTTAAAAGGCTTTATATCCCACTCTAAACCAACCATGCAAACAAGCATTTTCAATTGAAAACCCATGTGATTTTAATGCATTCTAGCCACATATCAAGTGTAATTTAAACAGGCCATTAGAAAGATAATAATTTACACTACAACGATATGCAGAGTTACTAGACAGCAAGTTCCATTCAATTCAATGTGGCTTACTTCCAAGTAATTAGGTAAAGGATTGTCCTATAAAACAATGTATTTGACAATGAAGATGTGCTACAACCACTATTTATGTGACCTCATCAACTAACAAAACTAGAGGATGTTTGAAACTTTGTGGCAAGAGCTACATACAATTTCCCAACTAAATGGCTTCAACCATTTCAACACAGAAATTACTTAAAGATACTATGTGGGCAGGGGAAAATCACAGAAGAGTAACACAGAAAGGGCATTAACAGACCACCTGGTCCATTCCCCTGGCAGGACCCATAGCAAGTAAGTTGTCAAACTGCCACCAGTCTCAGTAATCTATATTAGTGACATATCAGTCTTTAGAAAATTCTTCTGAAGGTTTACGTACCACTGATATCCAGTAAAATTTCATAGCCTTCCATCAGGAGAGTCTAGCCTTAATATGTCCCAAAACCTTTTCTTTCTTAGACCAGACATGTTACACACCAAAGGTGTCAACCTGTGCCCAAGATCGAGGTGGCCCAGCGTGTGTGTGACATCGTGCGCTCAGAACGCATCGTGCTCATGTGAGGTCATGCACGTGACACGTGTTACACATGCAAAGTCGCGTTGCCAGGAGGGGCCCAGTGGGAAGCCCAGCGCAGCGCGGCTTCAGTGGCTAGCAATTCCTCCTCTCTCTCGCTCAGGAGGAGCCTGCCACTGAAGCCACACCCCATTTGGCTTCGCGCTTTGCCTCCTCCACCCCAACATTCAGGAGGCCTGGCCCCCTCCCAACAGATTTCGAGGGAGCCAAAGACACCTCAGCCCCATAGAGTTGCTGCGCATGTTACAAGAAGTTAATGTTTTCAAACAGGCATTAAACAGAAATGTGAAGGCCCATAAAAATCACTGTTCGACAGTGGAATTTGCTGCCAAGGAGTGTGGTGGAGTCTCCTTCTTTGGAGGTCTTTAAGCAGAGGCTTGACAACCATATGTCAGGAGTGCTCTGATGGTGTTTCCTGCTTGGCAGGGGGTTGGACTCGATGGCCCTTGTGGTCTCTTCCAACTCTATGATTCTATGAAAAATCCATGAGAAAACTGTTTTCTTCACACACAATATTCTTCCAGCTTCTGCATCTAATGAAAGAAACTGATGAATCGGAAAATACACCAACACAATTGAAGAACAAACATGTAAAAGTTGACAAACCCATTTCTATTTGTGCAAAGTTAATAAATACTGCATACATTCTCTGGGGAAAGGAAACAAAATTTTCTAGTTTTCTGTGAAGCAAAAGTAGTTGTCGCTCCAAATGTTCAGCCCCTGCAGCATTTTCACTCATTCATACCATATTAAAGCAAAACAAATAACCACCTAGCTGAGAGCAGTGCAACATCCCCCAGCAATGTGTGCTTATTTATCTAAGGAATCAAGTGCTGCACCTCTATCTGGCACTTCCTATAAGGAGCTCAAAGTGGCCTCCTTTGTTTTTCCCCTTCACTTCTCCTCGAAGAAAGCTGGTGAGGAGGGTTAAGAAGCGAGAGAGACACTGGCCCAGTACCACCTGTTGCGCTTCATGGAGGAACAGCAGCGCTAATCTCAGTCCCCGCATCCTAGCCCAACACAATAACCACTAAACCACACTATTCCTGAATATTATCACAAAATAGTCGAAAGTATTTTACCTCAACATATGCATTTCTAAACATATTTTACATTTTTCAATGTGTTCTAAGATGCTTGGAGAACTTTGGGTAATACCAATGAATAATACTAATACTATCCCAAACTATTATTATATGTGTTTTAGTATTTTAAGCCAAGTACTGCACCATAAAATTCAGATAAAAGCAAAATCTGAAGTATATAAGTATGTTTCAATCTGTGTTTCAGTCAGGGACGTGAGAATTGGGTTAGTCTGCTTAAGAATGCAGAGCAGGGGCAAATTCACCTCTAGACCTGTGCAGTATTGTGATGAGAGCGGCACAATTTTGCTTCCACCTCGTGGCCTAAATTAGCAGTACTATTCAGTTTAATGAAGTCCACCATAAATTCATGGCTTAGAAGATCTTCAAATATCCACTATAGTTGCAGCATCAGCCCCAGCTCAGAAACAAGACTTTTTAAAGAAACATGTAGCAGTTACTTGTTGGATTTTCCAAGGGGACACACAATAAAACACTGCAGTGCTTTCTGTTCAGTGTTCTAACCCAGTTTTAGGATACTCCATTCCCACACACAGCACAGAATCATAGAATTGTAGAGTTGGAAGGGACATTCGAGGGTCATCTAGTCCAACCCCCTGCAATGCAGTAATCTCAATTAAAGAATCCCCGATAGGTGCCCAATCAACCTATGCTTAGAAACCTCCAAGAAAGGAGTCCACTATTTTCTGAGGAATTCCATTCCACAACGCTTACCGTCAGAAAGTTCTTCCTGATGTTAATTCAGAATCTCCTCTCTTGTAACTTGAATCAATTGTTTTGGGTTCTACTATCCAGAGCAGCAAAAAGCAAGCTTGCTCCATTTTCCATGTGAAAGCCCTTTAGATATTGGAAGATGGAGATCAAATCCTATGAATTACTCTCTCCTCTGAAGCGGGCCAAATGCCTTTTAAGACAAGATTTTTTTGTTTAAAAGTCTTCAAAGGCCATTTAAAGCATTAGGGCCATTTAAAGACATACAAAACAATCAAATCAAAGATGCATTTCTGCTTCTTCACTGAGAAGAGCATACAGGTCTTTTTGTTGCCTGTGAATGACCTCTTGCCTCTTTTATCTAGCGATGTCTATTTTCAACTTTTAAGACCAGAAGAGGCACAGCATCATTTAGCAGAGTTCCAGGGAAAGAAGGGAACTCATTTTCTGCCTTTCCCTGCTGCCTTTAAAAGCCTGTTGCTAGCATTCAGTTGCCGCAAGGCCACCACTTCCACCTACTGAACTATGAATAGCATGACTGGTATTAGGCAGGTGCCTTCACTGCATCCCGTTGGGTGCCTGCTTTTGTTTAGACAAGCCTGTCCCAATATTTACAGTGATGCTGAAACATGTTTTAATATGTTTTTAGTTTTAGGGTGATTTTAATTTTCTGAATGTTTTACATGATTGGTTTTTTAATAAACAATTTTATTGTTTTATATTTTTTGTAAACCACTTTGCGGCTTTCTCTCACAATCAAGCAGCGTATACATTTTATGAAATGAACCAATGAAATTAAGTGTGGGAAGTTGCAGTCAAATATAACTAGCAAGTTTAAGACTAGATAATGCACGAAAGGGTTGAGAACACAGCATTGTATTCCGAGACTCAGTTGGCCACCTGGAAGGAAGTTAATTTTCCTCCTTTGTTCATTCTTTCACCCCGTGTGAACTCACCGAGAGAGGACATGCTCAGACCGCACACGCAGAAATATCTTTCTTTATTCTGTAAACCCAAGATTTCTACCTGTATTATATCCCACTACGGCACTAGAAATCTGGGAAGGTATCTGTATGAATGTAACACGGCTAGGGAAGGGATCACAGGTGCTCAAGGCAAAACCAAGTTACCGCAAGGATCAAATGTTGACCAATTCTAAAGAAGTTCAATTCAGTAAGTTACATTGACAATGAACGTCGTTTGACAATTTGGACCACCTCCGTCACAGTGAGAGGTCAGCCAGGATCTGGCAAGCAAAGAAAGCCCAAGGTTTCCTCCAGGCTCAAGATCTGCCGAAGAGGGCATGAACTCTGGCTTCCTGTCCAGCCTCAAGTTCACCAGGTGACTAACATTTTGTTTTGCTCTGCACGTCTCAGATGCAGAGCCATGGTAAGGCTCCTTCTCCTGGTCTACACGGAAGGCAAAAGCACATGTGCTTCAGGAACATATAACCAGGCAGGTGTGGAAGTAGCACTGGAGGATGCCATTTTTTGAAGTCATACCTGGCTCAAAGCATCCAAGTGACGAGAGAAACCCCTTGAGCGCCACAGCCTCAACCCAGAAGCAGCCAGCCAGCAGCTCCCACACCAAACAAGTCCACCCTCCAGCCTCCCTCACCTCAGCTCCGTGCATGAGATGCTGCCACCATGATAATAAAATTTCAACATATTGAAAAGCAACCCGGGGGGGGGGGGAAGCATGTGAGACCCATTTCCACTAGCGAATGAGGTTTTGATCTGGGGAGTGCAAACCACATGCCAAGAACTGAAACATTCAGTTACACCCTAGAAGCCACAGGAAATTTCTTCACAGAATTTATGGGCTCTTAACTTAGCTTGGCAGATTTTGCAAGACTGTACTATGAACATAGTAAATTATACGGAGTCAAGAGAGCTGATCCATCTAGCGCAGTATTGCCTATAATAACTAGCAATGGCTCGCCAGGGCTGCCTTCCTGCCCTATCTTGAAATACCAGGGATATACAAGGCAGATGCTATATTCCTAAGCTATGGCCTTTCTGTACAGTGCAAACCTTGCAGCTTCCTTAATGTAAGAAACTAAGACAGCTTATAAGTTTGCTGTAAAATGTCATGCATATTGAAGGTACTACAGAAAAACCACCAAAGCTCACTAGCGTTTCCTGTGTTTAAGATCAGCCTAGGCCAAAGAAGCAGTAAAGCAGCTCTTGTCACTTCAGATAAGAGTCCTGATTTGTGAAAGCTGGCCTGGGAGCTGTTTTGGCAGAAGGGTGAGGGCTAAATACCTGGGGGGGGGGGGAGTTACAAGCACCGTCCAGTTTGTGCAGCATATCAGCATGTAGGGTGAGTGGACTCTAGACTCGTCCCTGGAAATACCAGCGTGATGGGAATTAGGGACACAACAAAAGCTGAACAAACTGCCCCGTGATCTTTGGACGGAGGCCGGTACATAAATTTAATGAAAAGCAGCCAAAGGGGCCCCATCTCGGTCAGCCTCACGCTCTCCACTAGATGCCCCAGTGGGAAGAAACCCACAGGCAGGACCTGGAAGAAGAAGCAAAGGCAACTCCCCCCCCCCCCAATTCCCAGGTAGGCAACATATGGAAGGAATGACCAAGAAGCCCAGAGATTTCCCTCTCCCGCCCGGCTTCGTTCTCCCCAAGCTGCCTTTCCCCAGCTGCCACCTTCCCCCAGGTGCCTTAGGCGAAAGGCAACTTTCACGAGGGGCAAGAGTCATAGTTTTCTCTTTGTCTTTTCTGCAAGATATGCATGGATCCTGGCTAGGGAGTTCATGTCGCACGTGACACGGGTGCCCAAAACAAAGTCTGCAAAGGGGAAGTGGATTGGGGATGTGACAGTGTGAGAATAATGCAGAACCAGAGGAAGCTGCAATGGCGAGGCAAGGATGGAAACCAATAATAATAATAATAATAATAATAATAACAACAACGTAGTGTTGTTCACAGGGCAGCTAGGAGATGTAACATCGCACGAGGCACTCACTTGCCCCCCCCCCCACAAGAGGGGAGGGTTTCGGTGGAGACTTATTATTATTATTATTAATCAGTGCTTTTTTCTAAAAAAAATGTTTAGGGGGTACTCTCATTTTCCCACTCACATTGAAACACTGCCCCTCAATGAAGCCCAACTTAGATTCGCAAAATGTTTAGAGGCAGTGCTGGATTTACATATAAGCTAAACAAGCTGTAACTTAGGGTCCCACTCTCTTGGGGGGCCCCCAAAAAAATTAAAGGGGGGGGACTGGATGTACATTTCCAAAATATAAGATAAAACCAAATAAAGTAAAACCTACATACAGTAACAGCGTGTTGTGTTGTGTAGGCTCCTATTTGTTCTGTACAAACGGCTTTAGATCCCTATGAGGTCCACAAATTACCATATTGCATCTATTCAAAACACAAAATGGTGACAATTTGTTTTTGACAAAGGACAGCCGGACATAGAAAGGGTAAATAAAATAAAATAAATAAAATAAAACCTCCCTGCAGCAACAGTGTTTTGCGTTGTGTAGGCTCCTATTAAATGGCTTTAGATACCTACCAGGTCTATAAATTACCATAAAGCATCTATTAAACACAAAAAACGGCGACAATTTGTTGCTGACAAAGGAGGGCTGGACACAGAAGGGGCCCCGTTACCTTCAGGAACTGAGGGCCCCCCCAACCTCAAGGCGGCCCTCTTTAGCGGCATGCGGAGCCCCCCCCCCAATCACTGTGTTGTTACTGGTTATTATTGATTCCCACGAATAATATTCTTCCCTTCCCCCCTCACGGCTTCCCCTCACGCATTGGCGGCGGAGCCTGAGGCCCGAGGGACTCTGAGAAGCGGCTTCGCGGGCGCCGAGGCCTCCCTCCCCTTCCTCCTCCCCCGCCGGGACCCCGCTCCTCCTGCCCCCCGCCGCCGCTTCACCTTCGTCGGCACCGCGCTGGGCCTCGGGTCCCGCCTGCGCGGAGGGAGAAGAAGACTCAAGCCAAGGCCGCGGGCGCCGCGCTGCTCCTTCCTCTCCCGCCTCGCCGCCGACGCGGCCGCCGCTCTGAGGGGAACAAGCGACACGGAGGGCGGCGCGGCTCTGCGCATGCGCGCCCGGGGGTTCCCGGATGGGGACGAGGGAAAAGGGCCGCTGCGCATGCGCGAAGGGCGAAAGGAGCCGCCGCGCAGAGGCGGGAAAGGGACGGAGCATGCGCGGGAAAAAGCCACGCACGCGCATGCGGAGAGGCCGGAAGGAGGCCCGCGGAGGCTTCCGGATCCCGCAGGTCTCTTCGTCAGGGGCTAAAACCGGGGGTCAAGATGCAACAAGGCCGGCTACTAACTTCATAGGGGTTTTTGCTGCGAGGATTGGTGCTGCTCTGATATATGTTTCTTATGGCTCAGCCATATGCAAAGCAATATATATATATATATATATATATACACACACACACACACACACACACACACAGTGGTACCTCGGGTTACATACGCTTCAGGTTACAGACTCCGCTAACCCAGAAATAGTATCTCGGGTTAAGAACTTTGCTTCAGGACGAGAACAGAAATCATGCTCCGGTGGCGCGGCGGCAGCGGGAGGCCCCATTAGCTAAAGTGGTGCTTCAGGTTAAGAATAGTTTCAGGTTAAGAACGGACCTCCAAAACAAATTAAGTACTTAACCTAAGGTACATCAGAATGTATATGCTATGAATGGTATGAGGTATATCAAAACCTAGACAGTATCTTAAAAAGCAGAGACATCACCTTGCCGACAAAGGTCCGTATAGTTAAAGCTATGGTTTTCCCAGTAGTGATGTATGGAAGTGAGAGCTGGACCATAAAGAAGGCTGATATCCGAAGGATGGATGCTTTTGAATTCTGGTGCTGGAGGAGACTCTTGAGAGTCCCATGGACTGCAAGAAGATCCAACCTCTCCATTCTGAAGGAAATGAGCCCTGAGTGCTCACTGGAAGGACAGATCGTGAAGCTGAGGCTCCAAGACTTTGTGTTTTTTTTAAAATGATATTTATTAAGGTTTCAAAAGAAGGATACATAAATAAGAAAGAAAAAAATAGAAAAAAGAAAAATACAAAATACAAAAAAAAAAACCCAATTAAAAACAATTCCATCTTTTCATTACTTCTCTTACATTTACTTGTTTCCCGGACCTCCTCATACCTCCCTTTTTTGTATTGCAATTCAATTTATTAGTCCAGAAATTCCTTTCCCTCCTTTTTAATCCTGATCTTTAATCTTAATATATTATAGCATTAGGTTTTTACGTATTGAAAATCCAATTTTTCCATATTCTTTTATACCATTACAGCTAGAAACCACTTGACTTCAATCCAACATCATTCTAACATTCATTAATTTTACAATATTTCTGTAAGTAGTCTTTAAATTTCTTCCAATCTTCTTCCACCGACTCTTCTCCCTGGTCTCGGATTCTGCCAGTCATTTCCGCCAATTCCATGTAGTCCATCATTTTCATCTGCCATTCCTCCAGTGTGGGTAGATCTTGTGTCTTCCAATGCTTTGCAATAAGTATTCTTGCTGCTGTTGCAGCATACATAAAGAAAGTTCTGTCCTTCTTTAACACCGATTGGCTGACTATGCCCAGGAGGAAGGCCTCTGGTTTCTTCAAGAAGGTATATTTAAATACCTTTTAATTCATTATAAATCATCTCCCAGAAAACCTTAATCCTTGGGCACGTCCACCAAAGGTGAAAGAATGTACCTTCAGTTTCTTTACATTTCCAACATTTATTATCGGGCAAATGGTAGATTTTTGCAAGCTTGACTGGGGTTATGTACCACCTGTATATCATTTTCATAATATTCTCTCTTAAGGCATTACATGCCGTAAACTTCATACCTGTGGTCCACAACTGTTCCCAGTCAGCCTTCATTATGTTATGTCCAACATCTTGTGCCCATTTAATCATAGCAGATTTCACCGTTTCATCCGAGGCTCCAAGACTTTGGCCACCTCATGAGAAGAGAAGACTCCCTGGAAAAGACCCTGATGCTGGGATAGATGGAGGGCACGAGGAGAAGGGGACGACAGAGGACAAGATGGTGGGACAGTGTTCTCGAAGCTACCAGCATGAGTTTGACCAAACTGTGGGAGGCAGTGGAAGACAGGAGTGCCTGGTGTGCTCTGGTCCATGGGGTCACGAAGAGTCGGACACGACTAAACAACAACTATATAAATATATTGTCCAGTAACACCTTAGAGACCAACTAAACTTATTCTTGGTATGAGCTTTCGTGTGCATGCTCACTTCTTCAGATACCTGTCAGGGTACAGTGGTACCTCTGGATCAAACGGGATCCGTTCTGGAGCCCTGTTCACATCCTGAAGCGAACATAACCTGCACGGGTCATGATTCGCCACTTCCGGGCATCTGTGTGACGTCATTTTGAGCGTCTTGCGCATGCACGAGCGGCGAAACCCGGAAGTAATGCATTCCGTTACTTCCAGGTCGCTGTGGAGCGGAACCTGGAAACGCTCAACCTGAAGCATATTTAACCCAAGGTAGGACTGTATTTCATACCAAGAACAAACTTAGTTGGTCTCTAAGGTGCTACTGGACAATTTATATATATATATATATATTTCTATTGCGTCAGACCAACACGGCTTCCCACCTGAATCTAGGTTTGCAAAGGTTTCTCTTCTAAAGGCATGAAAATAAGCAAAGCCCCTGCCCAGCTCCCAACTGAGCCTCGTGCAAATCCCCTGCAACAGCCTCCTCCTGCTTTTCAGCAGGAGATGAAAGGCAGACTCCATCTGTCCTCACCCAAGATATTGCGGGGCGGGGGGTGGTGGCATTCTTTTCTTAACATGACAAGAAAAAGATGTTCCCTGCATGGTCAAGGTGACACGATTCATACGTGGAAATAAACACCCACAATCTAAACCAGGCATAGGCAAACTTGGCCCTCCAGATGTTTTGGGACTACAACTCCCATCATCCCTAGCTAAAAGGACCAGTGGTCAGGGATGGTGGGAATTGTAATCCCAAAACATCTGGAGGGCCAAGTTGTCTATGCCTGATCTAAACATGTAAATGAGGGGTCAAAGGCCAGCTGCACAAAGAAGACTCTATCTATTAAACAAAGGGGTTTCAATTGATCAGCCAATTATACGTGCATCTATTTGCACAAGACCTTTAAGAAATACTGTATGTTGCTTTTAGATGGTGCAGCTTTAAAGAGCTTTCAGTAACATCGCTGAAAGGCAGGCTATTGCTTTCTATAGGAGCTTTGGGAGCCGTCAGATTCTGGGAAAATCAGCTTCATCCAACCAACATGCTTAAGTCTAATTAATGCACAAAGGGGTTAATGCCAGAGAGTCAACTGTTCTGCCAGGCTTAGCTCACCTCAGGAGGGATTAGTTAATCCAAGCTTTTGTTCCTTTTCAGTCTACCAGAGCAGCTCAACATGTAAAGTGATTTTGAGCTGCTTATTGCAGCTCAGACTGCATGGCTCCTACAAGTCATTCTTGTGTCCCTATACCAATAATTTAGGAACTTTCATCACTAAGCCAAGTTTTACTGCCTTGTGTTTTCTGAATGCTGTATGGAAAAGCACATGAATCTGATCTTTGTAGAGTCTGGAAGTAAACCATTTCTAACTCAACAAACATGCTAAGGGAGGTGGGAAGTTGTGGAACTCACAAAGCCAAATTTAAAAGATCCAGCAGCCTATATTTCCATGCTTTATTTTGCTGCGTGTTTTGTGATTTTAAATTGCTGTTCTCTTACCAAAGAGTGTCATGAATTCTACTCAGTATTGATCCAAAGCAGAACTCCAACGTATAGTTAGCAGAGTAAAAATTTAAACATGTTGCAGGATTCCCCCAAAACAGACCAGAGGCAATTAATATTTCATCCAAGAGAGCTTTACTGTTACTGAAGGCAAATGAGCATAATGATCACAAATCCCATACATTCAGGATTGGCCGTGTTCATAAAAAATCCAGTTGCAGCAGACTTAACTTAAATTTATAATAAGACAAAAACCGTAACACTATATAAAGAACACCACACCAGAAAGAAAGATAGAAAAGAGAACAAAACCCAGGCTCCTTCTGGCCTATTATTATAGTCAGCATTGCACTGAAGAAGAGATAACAGGCCCAGTTTAAGCCAGCTGTACTCAGCTTCTCTGAAGCAATAACCCAAATATCAGGAACCTTCTGCTTGTTTCTTTCACACAGAGAAGCTTCCAGAACCCTCTTGAATTAATTAGAATAGGAAAGATCTCTACACATCAGATCAATACTTTCTGTACCAAGAAATGCAAACTGACCAAGAGCACTTGCCCCAAACTTGGATCTTGGCATCCAGGGAATTCTCCTTTCTAGATACCTACCGTATTTTGCGCTCCATAGGACACACTTTTTCCCTCCTAAAAAGCAAGGGAAAATGTGTGTGTGTCTTATGGAGCGAATGCAGGGGGGAGGCAGGCGGGAAAATCCCCCAAGAGCCGCACACAAGCTCCATGCTGCTCTTGCGGGCTTTTCCCCAGGAGGGAGAAGGGACTGACTGGCTGCATCGGTCCCTTCTCCCACCTCGTAGAAAAGCCCCAGGAGCCACGCACCTTTTAAAGAGCGTGCGGCTTCTCCCCCGCCAGCCCCAATAAGCTCCTGAGCAGCTCTGGGGTAGCCCGCGAAGCCTCCACAGGGCAGCAGCAAGCCTTCATCCCGCTGCCCTGCGGAGGCTTCACATGGCTATCCCTGGCTTTTGCGGGAGGTGGGGGAAGGGCAGCCCATCTCCCTCCTCGGGGAAAAGCCCCCAAGAGCCACACACACGCCACACAGCTTGTGAAAGGGAGCGCTGAGCAAAGCCTGGGATGCACACAGGCTCTGCTCAGCGCTCCCTTTAAATATTTTTTTTCTTGAATTCCCCCTCTAGAAACTAGGTGCGCCTTATCATCAGGTGCGCCCTATGGAGCGAAAAATACGGTATTTGGTCCTTGCCCCCAACACAGATCCCAAAAGCCACTGAGGAAGATCACCCATGATCAAAATGCATCTGATTGTTTATTTTACATAAAGTGATCTGCCCTGCCTTTTTGCTTCAGAGGGGCCAATAGCAGCTGTAGCCTTCTGCTGTTTTCTAATGAAATTATACCTGCAAAATTTTGAGTAACCAGCACCCCGTTTTTAGTGTTATAAAGCGCATCTGCCACAACAGATTACAAAAGTTAAAATCTGTTAAGGCGCTGTCCTAGTTTGTAACGTTCAACCTTTTGAATATTATGCATACCAAATTGCTGGGTGCTTCCTTAGGGTCAAAGTGCTAGCTGTGCAAAACTTGCATTGGCTAGAAACTAAAGAGGGAGAGTCTCAGAGCGTGTTTGCATCTTGGATATGTTAAGCTGGCTTTGCTCCGCCTGCGCAGCTCACCTTTTCTCCCCAGCGTGATTCAGTGAAGTCGGCACAACAGCACTTTCTAGCATTTTTTTAGTTTTGCCAGCCTGGTGCTAAAGGGAGTCAGCCTCGGCTTATTCCCAAACAATGAGGTCCCTTTTCCTTTCATGACTCCTTTTGCTTCTTTCTTGGCTACAGGAATCAGAATGCAGAACTCTTGAAAACTCATTGGATTTGTGTGCAATCCTAGTGACAAAAGTGTACAGTGGTACCTCGGGTTACAGACATTTCAGGTTACAGTCGCTTCAGGTTACAGACTCCGCTAACCCAGAAACAGTACCTCGGGTTAAGAACTTTGCTTCAGGATAAAAACAGAAATTGGCTGTGGTGCAGCAGCAGGAGGAGGCCTCTTTAGCCAAAGTGGTGCTTCAGTTTAAGATCAGTTTCAGGTTAAGAACGGACCTCCAGAACGAATTAAGTTCTTAACCAGAGGTACCACCGTACCAGCAAGCCTGCTCCTTCAGAGGGAGTGTGACCGCATCCCAAACAGGTCACTTGCCTATTTCCAAAACGTAGGAGTGCCATAGCATCTGGTGGGCGACCATGCCTTTGTCATGCTCCTTGACAGGGATGGGCGCTTAGCTAAAGCCCCTCACCCCACCTTTGTTTCCATGCAAGACACCTTGCAGCAAAGTCAGGGAATTTGTAAGCAGCAGGTGGTCTGGGGACCTGGAGAGCCGATGCCAAGGGAGCCCAAGTTCTCCTTCAGAATGCTCAAGCCAGCAGAATGAAAAACCCGCTTGGCAGGCCAGACCTCTGGGAGACCAATTCCAAACGGATTGCTTTATTTTTTAAAAAGCCTTCCATTTTACTCATTGGTTTATTTGTAGCCTAACCTGCTGCTTTTATAGCTTCAGGCATGTATGCATGTATTTTTAAATGGAGAAAGGGAGGCTTTGTGAACTGCAACGTAAAATGTTCCTAAAATATAAACTGCGCCAAGGTTATATCCCCTCAGTTGTTTTCTCGCTGCCTGCTAAATGCCAAGGTTAAGAGGCTTAGCTCAGCAGCTGCTGAATATGGAGATAGGCAGGCACGATAACGTCAGGCTCACCTTAGATGAAGGAACACTATGAATCCTCACAGCTCACACTCTTCCTCGGTCCCCTTCCCACCTTCCACATCAGGATTTGTCCCCCCTGAGCTTCAGTCATAGTTATTGGCATCCTTCTGTCTCAAGAGACAATGGAGTGTGCCTCTGGGGGTGAAGACACTGCTGGGTCAGGTCAATGGGCCATTTAGTTCAGCATCCTGTTCTTGCAGGGGCCAACCAGATGCTTGGGGAAAACCAGCAAACGGGGTGTGAAGGCAAGAGCCCTCTCTCCTCCTGCGGCTTCCAGCAACCGGCATTCAGAAGCTTTGCTGCCTCCAACCATCCTGGCGAGGAGCCATCTCCTTCGTCCGTTCCTCCAGTCGTCTTTTAAAGCCATCGAGGTTGTCAACTTGCCCAACGAGGATCATTGCTGTGTCTGCTGCGCATCCAAAGTGCCTACATTTCTCCTGCGTGGGGGATTTGAAATAACTATAAAAAGTGGCACTCCTTTCTCCACTTGTTGGTACTTTCGAGAAGGTCCAAAGCAGGTGTCTGGAGACACATTTCACAATATGTATCAAAGCAGATATCTGATTTTTAATATCCCTTTTAAAAAGTGTTTTAGTATGCAGCATGCCTCCCCAAGCTCCGAGCTGTGTGAGGTTCCAAGTGCTTCCCCAGGGTTCGCTTTTCCTTTTGGAAATGAGGCACAGCAGAGACTGTGGTGTCTTTAGGATATACGGTTTATTTACACATACACACACACACACCGATCCTACAATGGAGTGGCGCACAGCATCAGCGCCCAGAAGGCCTTGCTTCTCTCATTGTCGTAAAATCACAGAATTGAATAGTTGAAAGGGACCCAAGGGTCATCCAGTCCAACCCCCGGACATACAGGAATGACGACGTCACCATGAAGGCCCTCACGGTGCCTCACCAAAGGGTGGAGATGAGTGCAGAAGGTGGAGAAACCAGCAGCTGAGCAAGGGCTAAGCCCAGGAAGCCCTCCTGCATTGAGCAGCGGCAGCAGAGACAGCCCCACAGTGCTCTTTGGCTGTAGCTTCTCCCCCTTCCTGACCTCCATGTATCAGCTGAGGCTCCCTCCGCAAGCCATCCCACCCCACCCCCCCAAGGCCATGAAGAGAAGAGGAGCTCTTCCAGGTGACACGGTGCTTCACCAAGCCAAATGAAAACCACCCACCTTCAAAAATAACAACTAATAATAATAATAATAATTTAATAATTTATTATTTATACCCCACCCATCTGGCTGGGTTTCCCCAGCCAATCTGAGCGGCTTCCAACAAAGTATTAAAATACAGTAGTCTGTTAAACATTAAAAAGCTTCCCTAAACAGGGCTGCCTTCAGATGTCTTCTTAAAGTCTGGTAGTTGTTCTTCTCTTTGACATCTGGTGGGAGGGCATTCCACAGGGCGGGTGCCACTACAGAGAAGGCCCTCTGCCTGGTTCCCTGTAACTTGGCTTCTCGCAGTGAGGGAACCGCCAGAAGGCCCTCGGCGCTGGACCTCAGTGTGAAGTCCATCCCCACTTAAAAAACCCCAAACAACATTGCAAAGGAAAGAGAGTCCTGTAACACTCCCAGAAAAGTCCTGAGTGGGAAGGGGCCTCGGCTGTCCCAGCTCATCCTCCAGGTGGTGGTGGGAGCAGCAGGATTGTCAGGGCTGAGTCAGTATGTTCGAGTTCCCCAGATGTGGGAGAGAACTTCAGGGTAGAGAAGAGGACACTGTGCCTGAGGGAGAGGGAGCTGGAGGAGCAGGCGAAGGAAGGGCAGTGTCTTCAGGCGTAGAGGACCAGGAAGAGACTGCTAGCAAGCCAACAGCTCCACAGGGACAAGGGTTAAGTTCTGGATCAGAGACTGGCAAGAGATTTATCTCGTGAGGTGCTGGACAAGAGGAAACTTGAAAGGCGGGGTGATAAATTCACACATTTTATGAGGTGTTGGAGGCGTAAGCAGAGGTATCTGAACTGAGTGACTCTGATGAATGATAATGAACTCTTGATGACCATTGTAAATATTGTAAATAAAGACCATTAAAGCACTAGAAGTCTCCGGAGGTGTTTGTTTGTGGAGAGAGGAACACACCGCCCTGACAAGGATGAAGTGGCTTTCCCCACGGACAAGAGGTACCCCACAGCCTAGGGGCTACTGCCTACCATGCTCTTGGATTCAAACAGAAATCACGCCTGGTCTCACTGCGTGTCGAGACCACGGGCCCTGCAGCCCTCTTAGATAATAAAAACACAGACACAAATATTTAGGTCAATGGGATAAAATGGGCCACAACTTTATTGGTTACACACGTGAGCGGTTTGTCTTAGGCATTGGGTGAAAGAAGACTATATCATGACTCCTGCCCATCTGCAGGGAGCCTCCTAAGAATAAACCACCGGTAGAGGGAGCCCTATGATATACATCAAATCGTGGCACCCCCAGGGTCCCCGATGGGGTTGTGGCATGGCCCTAGCCCACGCCCAGGCTTTGGACAGGCACCACACACCCGGATCCCTTTAACTGGATACCCTTAACGAGGAGGAGCAGGCGGAGGCTACCATCTCCCCTCCCATAAACAAGACTTACCCAATGCCTAACCGCCACTCAAGCCCCAAAGGATCGCTGCCAACACCCTCACACCTGCAACCAATCCTTAATGCCCTTGATGAGATCAGCCAGCCAAACATCATTTCCCAAATCAGAAAGGTGAACGCCGTCATTATGAAACAAGGCCTCCTGCCTGTAAGTAATGTTGGGGTGTCGTATCACCCGTCCATTCAAGAGCTGCACCTTCTCTGCCATCCTACGATTAATAGTTCTCCTGGTCTTGTTAAGTCCCCGCGGGCGGGAGAAATCTTGCCAATGCCGCCTCACCAGCATTTCAGACCAGATTAAGGTCAGGCCTGGGAACAAAGCAGCCAGCTTATCAAAGTCCTTCATCATGCTTATGGTTAGGTCCTTGCCTTTCCTTTGACCCAGGTCGTTGTCTCCAAGGTGAACAATCAGAGCTTTGGGGGGGCCATGCAAGGCAGCTCTGGCCATCACGATTGGCATAAACTCCTCCCATTTCATGTCACACTTTGTGACCCAGGAGACACTGAAGCTTTCAGGAAGCCCCAGGCAGCTACCCAAGCCAGTATTGATGGCACGCACAAAGGCCCAGTGGGTGATATAGTGTCCCACGATCCATATGTTAATCACGGGGTAACCTGAAAATAAAGGAGTGACAGAGCGTGATTACCATGGGTTTTTGCAGATATACCTTCTGTATGCATTAGATCTCCAGCGTCCCATATTCCCCGATTCCATCGGTTGGCAGACCCCAATGGGCAGATCCTAAAGGAATGCACAGCGTAATCCACAGCCGGGAGACCACAGGCCTGAAGAGCTTTCCGTTTGTCGAAAGCCTCCCTTGGTATGTGTCTCCACTACCCTGCATTAAATTAGCTGCACTAGATTTCGCCAGTTGTCATTTAGCAAGCTTTGAGGGTTCATGTCCAACCCTTGTGGACAGCCCTCTGTGGCTTTTTCAGAAGAAATATCCGCCTGGAGATCACGGACAATCCAGGACACTTAGCTCTGCTCCAGGGCCAATCACCACCACAAACTTGTCTAATCCCTAATCCATTTGCGAGGCAGAAGCTGACACAGGCAGTCCACTTCCTGAGCAATTAAAAAAATATCCCTGCATGTAGAAAGCAAGTATGTCAGATACAGGGGTTGAAGCCTTGCCGTCACCCCAATGTGCTCATTTTCTCTCTGTAGGAAATGGAAAAGCTTTCGACCATGTGAACCCTGACATATGATGCAATCTGACACGGCACAAGACTATTACCCATTTAAACCATAGCAAAATAATAGCACGTCAGATCTTGCATTGTGTCCTGGTGTCAAGGCATAAGACAGGATAGAGTGCTTCCCAGTTTGAGAGAGGGGATGCAGCAGAAAAAGACAAACTTGTTTTTCTAACTTCAGCCTTCAAATTCCTGATTACGCTGCAGGCCCTTATCCTCCTAAGGATCTCAAAACCAAAACACTGAACTCTCCTTCACTGCATAAATTCCCTGCTGCTCCTGAAGAGGTGCCAGGCTTGCTGAAGTTATCACCTTCCCCTCCTCGCCTCTGCACTGAAGCTCAGGTTATGGAAAACCTCTCTTCTGATTTTCCACACAATCTGGTAAGATCTGATTCAGCACATAAGATTGAGCTTTTGCAAGGCACGGAGAGAAACTCTCGGACCCCCGGGAGAATTAATCAGTGGGGGTGAGCCCTAACTTCCGACTCGCCCTGCAGCAAACGCCATGCCCTCCCGCTTTTTCAGAAATCCCCACCCCAAAGAACATCCTATAATAACAAGGAAGTGGCTGTTAAGGCAAGCCAGGGGCCTTGGTTATACAGTGGTGCCTCGCAAGACGAAATTAATCCGTTCCGCGAGAGTCTTCGTCTAGCGGTTTTTTCGTCTTGTGAAGCAAGCCCATTGACGGATTAGCGCTATTAGCGCTATTAGCGGTTTAGCGGCTATTAAAGGCTTAAAGGCTTAGGGGATTAGCTGCTAAAAGGCTATTAAAGGCTATTAAAGGCTTAGCAGATTAGATAAAGGGGGAAGCGAAAAAAAATCTCAAGACTCGCAAGATATTTTCGTCTTGCGAAGCAAGCCCATAGGGGAATTCGTCCTGCGAAGCAACTTCAAAACGGAAAACCCTTTCGTCTAGCGGTTTTTCCGTCTTGCGAGGCATTCGTCTTGCGGGGCACCACTGTATGCCCAGGGACCAAGCGGCAAGGATCCACTTCCTGGACAGCAAGCTCAACCCAAGGACATCCTTTGGAGAGCCAGTGTGGTGTAGTGGTTAAGAGCGGTAGTCTCGTAATCTGGGGAACCGGGTTTGAGTCTCCGCTCCTCCACATGCAGCTGCTGGGTGACCTTGGGCCAGTCACACTTCTCTGAAGTCTCTCAGCCCCACTCACCTCACAGAGTGTTTGTTGTGGGGGAGGAAGGGAAAGGAGAATGTTAGCCGCTTTGAGACTCCTTAAAGGGAGTGAAAGGCGGGATATCAAATCCAAACTCTTCTTCCTCTTCTTCTTTACTGCCCACAAAGTGACCCAATGGGTCTCCCTCATCGGATTGTTCATGGTGGAGGAAGTGCCGGTGCTCAATGGCGCGGACTTAGGTGCCCATGCATCCCCCTGTCCTACGGAACACCACCCCTTAAATTCAATGAATAAAGAGAAATGGCAACTAGTATTTGGGTCAAATCAGGTCACGACTTTATTGACTACTGGTGGAAAGACTTAATTTGGGTTCGACTGGAAATGAGCGAGTTCTTGACCTGCATCAAAGAGTAGTCCCTTGCTGGATTGCACCTGGGGAGTGCTGTGGCCCTAGCCCCCACCTGGGCCTCTAGATTTGAGGGGAAGCCCAGGCTGCTGCCCCACTTGGATGAAACTATGCGGACTTTGGCCCAATACACAACCCTGTGCTCACAAATCCATACCTTCTTGGTGGCCAATCCTCAAAAAACCAAGAAAATAAACAAGACAGTGTACGTTCAGGGGCGCAGGTGTGCCCTGGAATGCCATCTCCTAAGGGACTTAATTCTATCTGCTGTTAAGTCCCAATTTGTGGTGATGGGGGGGGGGGTTGGATGATGAGCAGTGGTGGGAAGCACCAGCCGGGCAGAGGAGGAAGGCTCAGAGCCTGGGGAGTGGTGGTGGGGCAGAGAGGAGGAGGAGAGGAATGGTGGGGTGCTGAAGAGGCAGCAGGCTTTCTCGAGCCGGAAGAGCCAGGTGCAGAAAGTGGTTCAGACTCAGCAAATGTTGCAGAGGAGGAGAGGACAGAGGCTGCAGAAGCATCTCAGGAGCTTGCCCTTCTTACTGGACTAAGTGTCCTGAAGTGAATGGACGCCGTTAGGCTTTTGTCTGTACAAAGCGTGTAAATAAATAGTAGATTAGCTCCACGATATCTTACACTTCTTGCTGTGTTTTGCCAGAAGATCAGTGTGCATATATCATTATGATGTCGCTAGAAGAGCACTGGAAGAGAAAAGAGATGCCTTTTCCAGAGCTGCGCGTACCAGAGGATGTTCGGAGTTCCGGGGACTTGCTGGCACCCCCAGAGCATTTTCCAACACTAAGCTCCCCAACCCCCTTATCTACAAGGACACAGAGGGCTTGCAGAACAAAGAACAGATTCCTCACCTCCCCGATTCCCACCCACCCACCAGGAGGAAGCCGTTGGAGTTCCTTGAGTTACCACCATCAGAGATACAACTGCAGTGACTGGAGACAGGCAGTAGTGTATCCAAAGCAGTGATCAGAGGAGGAATGACTGCCGGGAGGAGCAGAGAGAGAAGAAACACCCTGTTGCACCTGCCAGATGCCTTCACCTGCCCCAGCTGCAACAAAACATGTCTCTCCTGCATCGGCTTCTACAGCCACAGCAGACGCTGCAACCTGCCAACAGTTTGACCTCACCCCCTCCATTGTCTCCCGGATGCCAACCTAACATGCAATTTACCTAGCTGCCTGCAGAGGGGTTCAAAAACTGCAGATGAAGAATGCCTTGTTCTGCTTTAGTTTCAGCTGAAAACCAAAAACCTAAAAGGCAGCTTTGCAGAAGAACTCAGCATTGTGACCAACTTGGGAGTCTCCAGGCCGTCTCAGTTTCTTTGATGGTGCTGCCTGCTTGGCTATGCCTTAGTAAAGAAAAATAACCCAGCAGGGGCCAGACGCCTCATCCTATTGCAAACCCTTCCCTCTAAATGGTTTTCCCGGGTCTTGAACCGAGGGGCGCTCAGCGCCTTGGCAGAATACCCTGGCATTTCATGCAATGAGCAATTACAATTTCATCACCGCCAGCCCCTGGCTATTTTTAGCTGTCTGTTTTGCAGAGCCATAAATGAAGGTGGCAGGAGGGCGGCAGGACTAGCTAATACATCTCCAGGGTACTGAATTACAAGCATTTGGAGATCGTGGGCAGGCTGGCAACTCCTGAAGAACGTCACCTCCAAGTAAGAGCATAACTGCGCTCAACGCACGCTGGCAGTGGTCCAGCACTTTCTGGCCAAGGCGGTGACCATTATGTGGATCTCAGGGGGTGGCTCTCTAAAATGCGGCAAAGCACGTCGCCCCCTCACCCATCAATGTCTCCAAACCATCCTGGTCCCCTCTCCCCAGCCTCTGCTCCCCGCCCATGGTTCCCAGCAGGAGCAGGGAGATTATGTTGTTTTTCGCCTTCAAGGCAGCTGGTGTGCGGCAGACACATGATGCCAAAGGTCAGCTGTGCAAGAAGTGACCGAACTGTTGTGACAGCAACCCCGGTTTCAGATGTCTTCATTTGCTCCTTTACAAAAAAGCAGTCCAGTGTCCCAGCCGCATCCGACACTGAGCGCACTCAAGACGTGTTGTTTGCTTCAAAACATACCATGTGATCCTCGCCATGTGGAGGCATAAATAAGCCCTGCCGAGTGCTGTGAGGATTACAGCCTTAGCCTCACACCATAAAGAGAGTCTTGAGGGGTCAGGTGGAAGGCTTCCCTCTTGGGGAGGAGAGGGCTGTTGACAGCTACTAACCAAGATGGCTCTGCCTCCATGGCTGGAGGCAGAAATGCTTCCGAATGCCAGTTGCTGGAAATACGCTTTTCCACTCACCACCAAGACCATTTTCCCAGACTCCCTCTGGCTCATAATTAACTTCATTGAATCACTTTCAGGTACTTCCTCCCAAAAATGATGGAAAACAGGAGTTTTTTGTGACTCAAAAGCAAAGCAAGGGGAATAGTTTTTGCTCAACTTTCCTTACAATCTTTTTTAAGTTGCAGGACAATAGGGTTTTAAATGTACAAAATTTATAAGTGCCACCTACCTGTTTTAATGATCTGCCAGGAAAAAAACATTGATCCATACGAGCTGTTGATCCGTATGTTATGTGTCCACACAAAATCTTCAAAATGGTGCTGATTGTATTTACAAAGTGACATTCATAAACTTTCCACAAAACCTGGCTTACAGAGTACTGATACAATTTAAAGCCCTTGTTTCATTTTGCCAGCACAGCACATGAAAGATTCAGTCTGAGGGCAAATGCTGGTTAAACACATGAATGGAAGATCAAGTATGAATTTCTGAGGACCTTGTTAACAAGAGCAGGTGGAAGGACACTGTACATCATCTCAGATAGTAGTGGATAGCCTAACTTTACAATCTGTTAGCTCTAAATTTCACATAAAATTGTTGCAGTGGGAGTTTGAATACAGGTTGAAAGTATAAAGAAATCAGCACAGTCTAGTGGAAGAATGGTCTAATGAGCTGAAGTCCAGGGAAAGGTACATTAGTTTGCCATTACCCTGAAATAAGTGCTGTCCAACTCGGGCGTCTAACTGAAGCACAGTGTAATGAAAGGAAGTTGAGGGAAAGTTGTAATTATTTCACCAGGTTCTTAACATACTGCAAATAAAGTATTTGAAAATCTTGAGTGCACTGGACATGGAATCATTTGCATATGGAGCCAAAATGTGGAGCTTGAAATATAACTGAATTTGCTACACTTTTAGGTCCCATTACACAACTCCTTCTAAGAATAGTAGCTACTACTTGCTCAAGAGGCAAGCTGTAGCTATAATCAAGAGAGCAAGTCAAGTGAAGGCTGATGGTTTATGCATAGGAGGCTCATGCTAAATATCAGTTAGCAGAATTCTCCATATGTTCTACCCTCTCACACGTCTGACTTTGCTCTAGGTAGTAGTAGCAGCTAGGGATGGTGTTTTCCCATCTCACTCTTTAGTGCGAAATTGGAACAAACAGCAATCCACCAAAAACCCGATTGCTATTTGTTCCAATTCATCGCTAAAGAATGGGCTTCCCTGTAGGGAAGAAACAGGGCAAATGGAAGTGTGAATAAGCCCTGAGTGGTAATGTAGCACCATTTGCTGCAAATAGTACCCCTGGAGCTAAATAGAAGCTTCAGAGGCGAATTTTCAGTAGAAAAACAATGCAAGGTTAATGCCACTCTACTGCCCTTGGTATCATTCCAGACTGGGGGCACCTAGCTACTTTTTATTAAGGAGGAATAAATAGTCCATCATAAGTACATTGTTAAACTTGTAGTTTGGCTTTCACATAGCATCTGCCAACAACTCATCTCCCCAGTCTATTTATTGCCTATTTAGGAAACATCCACAGGTACTAATACAGAAGCACTAACATCCTTTTGTCAAATCCTGGATTCTCATATCAAGGTCACATTATATAAAACTTTAAACCCTTTTCAGATAAACAATCCAGCAACGTTAAATGCGTGAGTGGATGAAGCCATACTCTGTTATCAAATTAGCTCACTTGAGAATAGCAATATTCTTGTTCCCGGGGGGGAAAAGGCTAGCTCCCTTGACACACAGATTTGTATGAGTGTACACTCTGTTCTCCCATTCAAATGAATGTGTGCAGATTTGACATGGATAATGCATGTGATCTCTCTTCTCATTGCCAACGTACATTCAATATCCATTGACTGACTGTGAATGGGGTTATAAGCAGTTCCTGTTTTTATCTGTACACCGCCTTAGGTTCCATCAGGGAAGAAGGTGCAATATAGAGAGAGAGAGAGAGAGAGAGAGAGAGAGAGAAAGAAAGAAAGAAAGACCCATTCATCAGCAAACTTGAAATACCATGTTGTTTGAAGCTGATAAAATGACATTTTTAAAATAATGTGTAAGTATAATAATCAACCAACGAACCAATCAATCAATGACTATGAATGTCCTGGCCAATAGTTATCTTGTTGCCAATGGGTATCTCAGTGCTGAAGAGGCACTCACGATTATCTGATGGCTTGGTAGGCATCTGAATGTATTTGTTTAAAGCAGCAGAAAAACTAGAAATAGAAGACCAAATTTCTGTGCTAAAATGGGTATATCTGCCAAACCACTCACACCTGCAACCAACCCATCAACCCCACTGACACCTCGCTCAGCCAAACATCATTTCCAGCATTGGAAAGATTCACACCATCTGGCCTGTACAAGGCAGCATTCTTGAAGTTAATGTCCTCATGGCGGATAACAGCGCCTCCCAGAGCAACAACCTTCTTGGACACGGCACTATTCGTGCGCTTCCTGGCCTTTTCGATGGCAGTTGGGCCAAAGCTACCAAGCCACGCACGTCGCCGTAGCAATTGTGACCAAAATATTTTGAGTCCAGGGAGAGCGGCCGCCAGCTCTTCCAAGTCCTCTTGCATGCGGGAACGCAAACTTAAGCTGTGTACCAACACCAAATCATTCTCGCCCAGCTGCACCACCATCGCTGTGGGAGGTCCTTCACAGGACACCTTTGCCCGCACCACTGGGAGTAATTCATCCCATCGCATTCCACATCTGGACACCCAGGATACGCTCACGTGGTTGGGAAGGCCAAGACAGTGCCCCAGTTCAGACTCCGCAGCCCGCAGACTGGCCCAGTGCACAATGCTGTGGCCAACAATCCAAATGCGCACGGCTGCTAGACCTGAGAAGAAGGGAATAGCAAGCAGGCATCAGAACACACACTGCTGGTGACGCTTCCTGGCATAACCCTTGTAAGCGTCAGACTTCCAGCATCCCATATTTTTTATCCTGTCATCTGACAGGCCCCAAGGTGCTGCTGTTGTGGCAGCGCCTGTGCGAAAAGAATGAGGCGCATATTCAGTGGGGGACAAGCCACAGGCTGAAATAGCTTTACCCATCACCCGCGTAAACTGATGCCTAGCTAATGGGGTGCCGTTCTCATGCACTAAGAATGGGCTAGCCCCAGGGGGACGAAGAGCCATATATTTCCTGTTATCCTTAACTGGGCAAGGGCCTTCCCTACCAGTGGCAGGCAGCCTAACCGTGGCGCCTCTGCCCAACTGGTCAGTCTTGGGGTTCCTGACAGTAATGACGAGTTCCGCTGCTGATAAGGATACATCCTGCAGCAAGAGACCTCTGGTAACTCGACCCTGGGCAGATTCCAGCACCACCTCACCAACCTGCAGTGCAGCTCCGAAAAATGCAATGGAATATGCAGCTGAAAAAACTCTAGCCTCATATTTTGTCCTGCAGATAAGTCTTAACTTACTGCGAATGCGGCACAGAAGGTCAAATGTGACAGGCTTCCTCCCTAATGCTCTGGGAGGTGGAAGCTTACTCCAGCCCTCCAAGGCTTTGCACACGATAAACTTAGCGCAAGGGTCTTTAGAAAATAGTGATTTGCTAAACAACGAAATTGCAGCCGACTGAATCCTGATAGTCTTAGTGGCACGACCAAGCTGCAACAGGTGCGCCAAATACTGCAGCACCTGCTCAGTAGATGGAGACAAACTCCTATCAATAGCCAAGAACTGCGAGCGAAAGGCTAAGAAGTCAGTCCAGGCCTTCTTATAAGACCTAAGTGTAGAAGGGGAAGGGGAAGCCGCTACTCCCTGTAAACCTAAATGCTGCCAAGGTTCCATAGATGATCCGGGAAAAAACTCAGGCAGCTGCTGTGCATCTGGAGCCAGGGACCTGAAGCACTCCAGATGAAAGCAGGACAGAGCACCAGCAATGTCGTCAGAAGCTCCTGGAATTAACCAGGCAGAAAACACAATATTGAACCTTAAGCAGTGCAGAACGAAAGGGTGTAAGAGGGCCGAGACTCTGCTGGAACGTGAAGACTGCTTTGCCAAAACGCTCACCGCTGCCTGGTTATCGGACCAGAAACAGACCCGATGGTCTCTGAACACCTTGGTCCAAATGTGCAATGCTACTACAATAGGAACACAACAGAAGAGTCACACTGGGCTACAGTTCAGGGTTGTCATTCACAACTCTGACTCCGTCCCCCTCAGCTCAGCAACACATCTGCCCACGGCAATTTTTGGGTGGCATAAAACCTCCTCACCAACTAACTTTGCTGCTGCTTTTTGGTCAGACACACTACTCCCCAGTTACAGCTACCACACAATCTTTTTATTATCTGTTTGTTTCATAAAAATTACACATTGTCTGATTGTATGAACCAATAAACAAACCGGAAAGCAGTTTACGGAAAAAGGTATAATGATAAAATGATCAGTAAGAAGAATTACTAACAATTTAAGGCTTTGAGAAAGCTCAAACAGAAATGAATTAAAACTCGCACCATCTTTATGAACATCCAGGTAGGCTTGCCTATATACAAAGATGATTTTAGCAGACTGGGGGGGAAAGCACAGCGAAGGCGTCTGCTTAATATCACTACGCAGGGAGTTCCAAAGTGGAGGTGCTGAGGGTTGCACTTCAGACTCTCCATGACAATTTACAAGAAATACTTGGATTGTGAAAGGATCCCTCCCCTTCATCCATGAGTAGGCAATCTAAGGCCTGGGGGCTGGATCTGACCCAATCACCTTCTAAATCCGGCCTGCGGACGGTCCAGGAATCAGCGTGTTTTTGCATGAGTAGAATGTGTGCTTTTATTTAAAATGCATCTCTGGGTTATTTGTGGTGAAGCACGTGAACGTAAGCAGGTACTCGCTTGGCGTTAATAAGGATCAGGCAGACGCAGAAGGTGAAGTTTATTGCCAGGCAATAAGGACCCAGTTTGGAATCTCTTCCAAAAGGAACTGGGACCCCGATTGACAGAAATCCAGAGGTCTTTATACCTGAGCAGATCACAGCAAATCATAGATCATGAGACAACCATGAGGCAGTCACGATATTGCCAGTGAAAATTAACCAATTAGCAAGCTTCTTGCCAAGCTTCCAGCTCCTGGTCAAGCACTGGTCAATCACGGAGTTCTAGTTCTGTTTTCCGCTGCTTGCAGTGACGCTCTGTCTAACCTCTCCCCTAGTTATGACAGGACAGGGAGTATTGGAGATTTTGTGGTTTGCTCTGCCTGTTCTGTGGATTAATTTAGCCTGTATCTGAGGGGATTTTGTACCAGTATCTCTGATTCACGTCTTCCCCTTGTCCAGGGTACACGGATGTTTGTAGGGGAAAGGTCGGCTCCTAATTCTGCTGTTTCAAGCAGTATGCGGTTAGCTAAGGCACAGCTTCCCTTTGATTCAAAATGGATTATAAAATACTGTAAGCCCTGATTATGTGTGAGCATATATGAATATATTGATTACTGATAACTGATTATATGAATAGCATAGGGGTAGCCCGTCTTCCTTGCCTCAGTGGGGCATAGGAATTCGCCCCACCCAATATATACTCCTGCCCTCCCGAAGGTCTGAGGGACAGTGGACCAACCCCCTGCTAAAAAAGTTTGCTGACCACTGCGCTTAATCCATACCAACCAGCTTTCTCCTGGACCTCCCTTGCCACCCTCCATCATAGCAAAATACTATGCCATGAAACCAACAGCATCTTAATCCATTAGAAAAAGATTGCCTTAAGAACTGTCAGGGAACTGACATCGGAGCGAGAGGCGAAGGGGAGGCTCCTAGATGATGCTGGCGAAGGACCCAGCAGCAGGGGGAGAAACAGCTCAGTAGAGGGGGAAGCATTTAAGCGCAACACCAGGGATAAAGGGGGCAGATGGGGAATCGGAGAGAGGGCTCCAGGACTCTTCACTGGACCTCAGTGAGGAGGGCACAGGTCCTCCGCTACCCACGCCCTCCCTGCGCAGAAGACTCCCGCGCAGTGAGAGGAGGAGGAGACTGGGTGTCAAACAACTTTTATGTTGGAAGAGGTTCAAGAAACGCCCACTGACGGATTCTGCCAGCGACTGAGGCAGTCACGATGAGAAAGGGCTGTGCAGTCAGAAAGGTTTAACAAGGCAAATTAGCCTAGAGAGGCACCAGTTTACGCACGAGTAACTCATTCTCATTACAAGAACCTACCATGAAATTTAGAGTACAGTCACCATTTCAGTTAACAAATCCCTTAATACTTATCCTCTGCCATATCTCACCTTGGGTCTTTTCAAATAAATTCCTTCACTTGTTTTACAATTGGTATATTTTGGTTTCTTTTTCTAATGTATGTTATTGCTGAGTGGTTGGTAAAATGTCAGGCCATGGGGAACCAGCCCCGGGCTAAGGCATTTATTTATCAAAAGTACCTTAATTCATAAGGCATGGTATTCAGAGGCATGGTGCATCTGACAGTGGATCAGCTCCACGGTGGCCAGTAGCTGAAAATAGGGTTGCCATACGTCCAGAATTTCCTAGACATGGATGGAATACGGAAGTCAAGAGCAGTATTTGGGCAGAAATCATGGAAATGTCAGGGGAAATCCAGACGCATGGCAACCCATGTTGGAAGTCTAGATTTCGCCAAATTTACTTAAAATCTCATTTTGAGATTTTTGCAAGAAAAGCTCAATAACTTTGGGCAAAACTAAAAAAAGTTCAATAACTTTGCCCAAGAAAGTTGTCCATATTTTCACCTTTTAAAATATGGCAACTCTCCTCCTGCCTGGTCCTCTTTGAAAGCTGTTCAAAAATTGGAGAATGCACTGAGCTTTGAGAAGTGAGGGCAACAAAACCCTGCGCATGACCTCAAGGGAGGATCTCATATCAGTGTCTTCTCAATCTCACAGCAGAATCCTGCGGAGTCATCTCCCTCCTATGGTATCACAGAGGGAACAGCTGCCCTCCTAAACCTGCTCTTTCTTGTTCCCTTCCTTTCTAGTGCCCAAGAAACAGGGTCCAATGCATGTCCTGGTGAAATACCCAAGCCCATTTCAGCGGGGCTTTTGCAGGAGCAGCTCCTTGTGTTTTATGCTCAGTGGGCTTTGACTGTAGGAAGCCAGGCTTAGGCCACAGGACCCCAATGAAATGCCCGCATCTGTAGTTGCCTGAGCTATAGCTCGCCATGCAACCACTGGCTTAGACTTCACAGTCAAGACGGCTGAGAGGACACAATCAACACAGGGTTTTTTGCAGTCTCTTGTCTGGCCTGCAACTGGCCTTTTCACTGCAGCCCAAGCAGGACAAAACAGTTCATCCATCCATACCCCCCATCGACCCCCATCAGCCGCTGAGCAGGCTCAGCAATGCACCTGGAGTCATTGAGACCAAAGATGCATCCTCTTCAGCGCTATGACCAACTTCAGCTCACTGTTTAAAGGGGGGGAAATATTAAATTTATATACCACCCTTCATTCGAGGATTACAGGGCCATTTATAGTATCGAAACACATTTCTGCTGTGCATTTTGCCAGAAAGGCCTGCAACAACTACAATAAAATCAGAAGTGTAGAGTTGGAAGGAATCACCATGGACCACCTAGTCCAACCCCCTGCAATGCAGGAATCACAGCTCAAGAATTGCTGAGAGGCGGCCATAAGAGCTGGCACAGAATTATACAGAAGCACATACCTCAATCCGCTCTCTTAATTGACTTCCATTAAGGAACGTATATCAATGCCGTGCCGAGTCTGTCCGCTGATCAGCCTGCCCAGTGCTACCTACTCAGAGTGCCAAAAGTTCTCTAGGGACTTCAGCAGAGGGAGAAGCCCTTCCCAGCAGGGCTTTTCATCTTTAAGGGAAATGGCAGTGATGAGAACTGGGACCTTCCATGCGCAAAGCTTGCCTTCTGCCACTGAGCAACGACAGAAAGAGGACCCCTGTGTGCAAGGAGAGGCACAAGCAGAACTGGGGGAAGGCAGCTCTTTTGGAAGGATAAGTTTGAGATGGGCTCCACTTCACAATCCTTGCTCAACCCTTCGGAAAGCTTCAGAGGATACTCCACACACTTCCTACGTTAGCAATCTGTTCTATTAAAAATCTGATAAACAACAACAAGAGTTTGGATTTGATATCCCGCTTTATCACTACCCTAAGGAGTCTCAAAGCAGCTAACAATCTCTTTTCCCTTCCTCCCCCACAACAAACACTCTGTGAGGTGAGTGGGGCTGAGAGACTTCAGAGAAGTGTGAGTAGCCCAAGGTCACCAGAGGAGCGGAGAATCGAACCCAGTTCACCAGATTACGAGTCCACTGCTCTTAACCACTACACCACACTGGCTCTCAACACAAACATCCTTTCCATTATGCAGTCATTACTCAATTTTTACTTGGGTATTATAGATAACTTATTCACGGTCCTGCTTCAATTCTCCCAAAGTGGAGTGTGTGTATACTCTCTCTCTCTCCGGCTCATGTATATGTATGCGTGTATTTAACCTAGAAAGACTTCACTTCACCTCTTCCTTCATATTTAAATCTACCTCTGGTGGTTTAAAATCATTGCTTCATTCCAACTTTCTTTCTTTTCCTGCACAGCCGAAAGCCATTGCTCTTTGTGCTTTACTATACCTAGATCCTTCCATTCTTCTTTACAGAGCACATCCGCTGGAGGCCTGTCAACTTGAAAGCCCTTGCATACCCAGGTAAGAGAACCAACCAGTCCTTTCACAAAAGCATGAATTAACAAGGGATCAAAGCGTCCCAGAAACAGGGAGGGTCTCTGTCCCTGAAACCAAGAAATGTTGGACCAGCATACAGGCATTACAGTCATGGTATTATGAGCTTGAACGAGATGACCCTCGAAAACCTTTAAGAATCCTGACAATGGATGGGCAGAAAGCTTATCTCTGGGCTACTAACAGTGACTCCAGGCTAGACCGCCTTGGTCCAGCATGGACTTACCGTCTCAGTGGATCTAGAGGGTGCTGAGCAGCCGCTTCACCGGACGGAGCCCTGCTCCCTTTGGTGCTTGCTGCTTTCTTCCCGTCTTGCATCTTCCCATCAGCGAGATCGGCAGGAACCCAGGCAAAAACTTCCTCCCCCCAGGGCTTCTTGGGAGAAGTGCAAAAGGGTGAAGGCTAAGCATGAGGTATTTGGCTCAAGGGTATCCAATCCAAGCCAATTCTTCGGTCAACATTGGCCTCTGCTCCTCTATCAACTGAGGAGAGAAACTCCTTGGCCAAAGGGTAGCTTATGCTGAAAACAGGTCCTCCTTCTAAGATGCTGGAAGACGGGAGAGGACACAGGAGACTCTCCTTTCACAAGGGTGCAGGGAACACCAGGTCCTTCTCCCCCCACAACTCCTTAGAGGTCCGGGTCACCCTTGGACCTTGCCTGCCTCTTGCTGTCTCCCATCCTTCTCCTCTTTATGCTGCTGGCTGGGACCATCCACCGGAGAAAGTGTCCCACGTTCTCCGCATGGCAGGAAGGGAAAACGACAGCTCAGCCACCTCTGGGCAAGGGACACGCTGTACTCAGCCGTCTGCCTGTGCCAAGAGGGTCTCATTAGCTGTCCCTGGAATGCGCTATCCAAAGGCAGAGCTGCCTGTCACTCAAGTCCAGCTGGCTGGACATGAGGCCTAGAATCTTGGGGGAGGATCGCTGGCACACACAGGGTCAGGTTTGTTTTCTTAGCGTTGGGATCAGTCACATCCAAGAGGCAAGGTCAGGACTTCAGCCTGCTTGTCTGACCTAAATGCAAACTATATGTAGGGCATGAGCAACCTTTCCTGCAGTTCCAGGCAGCAAACAATGGCAAACTAAAATAAATTCATCAACGATGCTCTTCTAGGCTGCATCAACAGAAGTCTAGTGTCCAGATCAAGGGAAGGAATAGTCCTGCTTTATTCTGCCTTGGTCAGATCACACCCAGAATACTTCAATTCCCAACAGCCCTGGCCAGCAAGGCTAAGAGGTGAGAATGATGGGAGTTGCAACTGAGCATCATCTAGGGAGACCAGATTAGCCAGCCAGCCACCCTGCCCAAATACCGTATTTATCGCTCTATAGAGCGCACCGGACCATAGGGCGCACCTAGTTTTTTTTGGGGGGGGGGGGAAATAAAGGGGAAAAAATTATTTTACCCCCCCCCCCAGGCCCAAAGAGCAAAGAAGCCAAGAAAGCAAGCGTGATCCATCCCGCTGGCTGTCTTGGCTTCCTCTTTAGCCACACACAACCTCTCCAGCCGAACTCCCGCCAGGCTCCCAAGGCTTGCGGATAGCTTCCTGAAGCCTGGAGAGTGAGAGGGGTCGGTGCGTACTGACCCCTCTCGCTCTCCAGGCTTCAGCGAAAGCCTGCATTCGCTCCATAGGACGCACACACATTTCCCCTTCATTTTTGGAGGTGAAAAAGTGCGTCCTATAGAGCGAAAAATACGGTAACTTAGGTCACCGATAGTCAAGAAATCTGCTCCTTTCCTTTCAGAAAGAAAGTCTTGTGCTCTCAAAATCTGTGCCACCTGAATTCAAGTCCCTACAGCAGTTGCATACAGATCTCCACAGCAGCCTGCTGGATTTGCTGTGCCTTTCCCTGCTCCTTTTACGGCTGACGTAGGAAATCTCCAGCCAACAAGCTTAATTCTGTCCCAGCACAGGCCTCAGTTTGACCTGTGACACTGTTTTCCCCAAGTCTCACCCACCAACCTCACACCTGAAGTCACATGCCATGGAGTGGCAGATCACCTGGTTTGTGTGCAGAACTTCCCAGGTTCAATCCCCAGCAGCATCTCCAGATGATAATAATATAAATAAATAAATAAATAGATTTATATACTGCCTTTTAACAAATGATCTCAGGATGGTTCACAAGATAAAAGGACAAATAAGTAATTAAAACAAAAACAACGAAACAACAATTTATTTATTCTACCCTGCCCATCTGACTGGGTTGCCCCAGCCACTCAGTGCAGCTTTAACAAAAATACAGTGTCAAACATTAAAAGCTTCCCGATACAGGGCTGCCTTCAGAATTCGTCTCTCTTTGACAAGCGACAGAAAGGTGTTCCACAGGGCAGGCACCACTACCGGGAAGTCCCTCTCCCTGTTTCCCTGTAACTTCACTTCCAGCAATGAGTGGACTGCCAGAAGGCCCTCGGAACTGGACCTGTGTCCAGGCCGAGCAACAGGGGTGAAGCCACTCCTTCAGGTAAACAGGGCTGGCGGCATTCCATGCCTGAAACCCTGGAGAGCTTCTGCCAGTCAATGAGGCAATATTACGCTAAATGAACCAGTGGTCTGACTCAGGATGATGCAGCTTCCAGCACCAAAAGGCCCCAGGTTCAGTTCGCAGCATCTACAAAAAGGGCTGGGAAAGACTCCCTGCCTGAAGCCACCAGTCCGTGCAGACCATTTTTTCTCAAACTTGAATTCCCAGCTGCTGTTGGACTACTGAAGGAATGGGTTTCCCAAACCCAAAACTGACTGTGAAGGCAGTTTGAAAACTGCACCAAAATCCCTATTTTTCCTTAGCTAAAATCCATTAACTTGAGCTCTGAGTCAATGTATAAACAAAAACCCGGCTGTGCTTGAAGCTCTCTCCCTTATCAGTCCGTGGCGGCAATGAGTGACCTTGCCAAGTTCCAGTAGAGCAGGGATGATGCGTGTGTGCCTTATCTTATGTGCTGACCACAAAAGACGCACAGACCCAATCTGGGAACAGCACCAGAGCGTGTTCCCGGAGATGATGACCTATTCCTCCCGGATAAGAGTAGGAAGAGGAAGATCCTTTTATGGTCAGAAGTACAGGAAGGAATTTCCTTTTATGGTTAAGAATACCAGAGCAAGAACATATGTGATGTCAACCTGCGTACATAGGCTGACGTGGTTGGATTTATATGGGAAGGAGGGAGAGGGTGCCTGGAGGATATATATACTGCATGAAACTTGTCATTTCTTTGGACTTGCTGTGGACTTGATCACGCAAGTGCCTTCTGCTATCCGGAGAGCAGAATAAACTCTTTCTTGGAATCAACCTCGGTGTCATTTGACTTCCTTCCTCCTGTCCCGGAGCAACGCAGACCCAATCGGTGAACTCCAATAAGGCTACACTACAACCCCCACCATCCATGATCACTGGTCCTGCTAGCTATGGATGATGGGAGTTACAGTCCAACAACAGCTGAGAATTCAAGTTTGAGGAACACGGGTATAGAAAATATTCTCCAAGGAGAAAGTACTCTCCAAGGAGACAGCATGTTCTCCTGCACTTTGCCATCCTGTGAATTTTCTGTTCTGATGGCTTCAGTTTTTGCAACCGTTCACACCAACTTCAGGAATCCACGCACACAGCTGAGTTGGAACAGGCCATGTTTTCCCCGTTGGCAGCTTCCTAGACATAGTTGGCAGGGGCAGCCCAAATATTAGCTCCATTTGTATTCCCACAAGATCAGACTTCAGAGATTCAGAATTCTCTGTGATGCCCTCACTGCGGCTGTTCATTTTCCCAACGCATGGAAGTGCAGCAGGGCAGTAAGAGGATGCAACGGAGGAAGGGAGGCTAGCACACAAATCCCAGCTCTTCCTCACGTGATGACAATTAGATGAGGGAACCGAAAGTCCAGAGACGGCTGCTGGCATGAGAGAAAAATGACTGATGGATAACCTGAGGAGTAGCTCAAAGCAGCAGACAATGTGGACTGTTCAATGTGCCTGCAGCCACCAAGCTAAGGCTCCAGTGCTGACCAGCTGAGGACTCAAAGTGCCACGGCTCCTTAAGGAAGCATCCCTCTCCCTTGGCATCTTCAGGTACCCTATGCACAATACCCAGAAGCACCACTACAGTTCTTGCCAATGTCCAAGCTGGACTGACGCCTCACTGATGGAAACTACACCAGCTCCAAAAGACCAGAACAGATGTTCTTCAGCCATTTGTCAATGCCCTTGTCTGAGAGATTTATAGCCATCTTCCGTGTAGTTCTGAGCGATCAAAATAAATGCCTGGCTGCTGAATGACACCCCAGCCACGGGACTTCACAAAGAACATGATCGCCCTGTTGATTTCCCCCCGTGCGCAATTAATCTTTGCAGGCGCACTGATGTCTTTCCAACAAAGCCTCTGCAACAGATCAGACCAGATGATCTCGGCTGCTGGGAACTGCTCGGTGCACCAGACCAAGTTCCTCTGCATGTTCCAGTTGAGCTCTATGCCTTTCTGTGAGCCCAAGTTATTCTCGCCCAGCTGCTGGATAACATCTGGAGGCACCAGCCGCTCCCAAATCATGCATGTCCTCCTAACCCAGCCACACGACATGCAGCCGGTGACCCAGCCCAAGGTGAGATTCTCTCCCGGACGCCAGCATGCGCTTCCTTGCACACAACTGTGTCCAGAAAACCTTATGGGCAGGGGCTGCAACTAAACAGAAACAAAGTCAATGTGATGACTGACTCCCATATGACCGGACCCCAGCCGTCCCGGTAATTCAGGGCTGATATGGGGGTAATTAGCCCTGGCAGCCTCCCCAGGTTGGAGGAGGACTGTCTCGTAGACCCGCAGATTGTCCGAGATTGCCAACTTGCATCAAGGTGCAAGCGGCAGGACACTGGGTCGCAGAGCAAGGGAAGGTTGGCACTCTCCGATGTCATTCTCATAGCTGGGAATATCTGTTTGAAGAAATGATTAGATTTGGACAATAAACAGACATGGTCTGGAACGAAGAAGCTTAAGAAAAAACCTGCAGAATTGTATAGTCTCTGGTGAACAAGCTTGGACTTCAAAGAGATTCTCACCATGGTGTGTGGATTGTGGAGGTGTTTGGTATGTTCTTTTTTCTCTCTTCTTAACATCTACAATTGGCTTTCCATGCCAAGCCTCATTAAGAACTTAATTTTTTTTTAAAAAGAAAAAAAAGAAAAAAGAGTACAAATGGACTTCTATTTAAAATTGGGGATTCAACTGCACAGCTTTACTTAAGACTTGAAATGCTTCCTAAAGATAGAAGAAAAAATAAGATGGCGCCTGTCAGTACTATGCAGCATGGGAAAATGTGAAATCCTCCTTTCTTTGAGAGAAACAGGAACTATTTACTGGCTGATTACAATGATTTGAGACAATATTTTGGATAACATACAGTGCAGCTGTTTGCAGAAGGTTTTTTCATTATGAGCGAGAGCGAAGGCTAGATGGATGCCTAGCAGCCCCCCTCTAGGGCCCGGAGGGGGACTGTGTCTCCAGGAAGGCTGATCGATCGCCAGATGACTAATATTTGTGGAATACAGTTTATTTATCTTACAATATTGCAAACAGTCTGCTCAACAATTATTAAGAATAACTCAATAATGTGGAAGGTACCGCGTTATTAAATTTCAAAAGGAAGGTTTGGACAACAGCCCGGACTGGAAGGATTAACAATTTGGGAGTTGCTACATCATTAAATTTCAGAAACTTCAGATAACAGATTTGGAAAACAGCTTAGATTGGAATGGAATCTGGAATCAGAGAAAGCTGCGTGGGCAAAAAGACAGTTGAAAATATATATATATATACAAATAAAGCTGTATTTGATGGATGCAAGGATATATGATGTCTGACATGACTGAGAATCACAGAGCCAGAGAAGGAGAACTTTAAAGCGTTAAAATCGAGATGTGGAAAATATTGAAACAACGAGGAGAAGCAGGACTGAGATTTGGACATGCTTCAAGGTCCAGACTATGAGAAGCCCCAAAAAATTAATAACAATAATTTGGATGGTAATTTGGTCTTTTTATATTTTAGTTTTTTATTTTAATTGTATTATGATTTGATATGTTAATTGGATGTTTTTTATTGGGAAATTAATAAAAATGATTTAAACCCCCCCCCAAAAAAAGTGATACCGCCACTAATGCCTCCAAGTACCCCATTGAGTGCAGCCTTTGTAGCTCAGGTGGTAGACCATGAGGCTTTGGATCACAGGGACATGGGTTCAAGTCCCACGTTAGGCATAAGATTCCTGCATTGCAGCAGGTTAGACTAGATGACTCTTGTGGTCTTTTCCAACTCTACAATTCTATGATTCTACGATTGTAGGGAAATGACTAGCACCTCCCTGGCACTGTGCTACTGGCTTTTGGGAGCCCCACCCCAGGCAGCTGATGAGGCAACCCCATGAGACCTATACAGCATCCATGCAAGTCCTGCATTGCAGGGGGTTGTACTAGACGACGCTTTGGGTCCCTTCCAACTCCACAATTCAAAGGTTCTGTGATTCTGTTAAATAACGTTCACCCCACCCTAAATGACTGAATAAAGAGAATACAATCCTCTTCAATCACCCAGACTGGTGACCTGCAAGCAAATCTCTGACTCCCCTCTTGTCCATGGCAGTGTTGGACTATGTCAAGAATAGAGGATCCTGGTGCCATCCAGGTGCTGTTAATGGAATCATAGAATTGTAGAGTTGGAGAAGTCCCCAAGAGTCCTGTATTCCAACCCCTGCAATGCAGGACTCCCAGCTCCCATCAACCCTGACCCTTAGCAAAATATCTAGATTTGATACTATCCACAAACTATGTGCTAAAGAGAACTGGAGGATTAATAAATTCTCACAGGCCTTTCATACTCAGTTAACATACTTGGAACACATGTAGCTTGCTGTTCGGCAAAACCTCAAACCACAATATAAGCAACATGTGCTCTGACACAACCCTGATCTGACTTCATTACTTCCGTTTCCTTGAGAATCGCTTGCTTCTCCATCAAGCTGTATTTGAAGCACAAGAGATCCATCCACAGCAATGAGAACACCTAAACAGCAATGCGCCAGCTCTCCTAGCACAGCTCTTGAAGCCTCAACTAGCATTTTTCCTCACTGGCCCAAGTGCCAGCGTAGTGAAGTGGTGAGAGTGCTGGACTAGGGCCAGGGAGACCCGAGTTCAAATCCCCACTCAGCTTTAAACTCAGTGGGTGATGTTGAAGAAGAAGAAGAGTCTCAAAGCGGCCAACATTCTCCTTTCCCTTCCTCTCCCACAACAAACACTCTGTGAAGTGAGTGAGGCTGAGAGACTTCAGAGAAGTGTGACTAGCCCAAGGTTACCCAGCAGCTGCATGTGGAGGAGCGGGGAATCAAACCCGGTTCACCAGATTACGAGTCCACTGCTCTTAGCCACTACACCACACTGGCTCTCAGGGTTGTTGTGGGGTGAAATAAGGAGGGGGAGAATCATGTATGCCACGTTCTCTCATCGGAGGATAGAAATGTAGCCATAAAGCAGTAAAATCACATATCATTGTGTATTCGGTATGCCACAAAAGGAACCAGTCGCCCGGACCAACGGATTGCAGAAGAGATCCCTGCACCCTAGAAGCAACAGCAGAGGTGTGTTCACCACTACCAGAGAAGCCGGCTGGATCTCAGGGCAGTCCTGAACCTGAGCAGGGACTGTGCAAGTCTTGACGGATATCTCCAACACAGAACAACCTTCCTCTACAGCCAGACCCACCCTCAGCCCCCTTCCCGACAACTCCTCACCTGAGCAAGGAGGAACGACTCCTGGCACCACTTCCTGACTGCTCTCCTGCTTCTTTTCTTCGCTTCCTGCAGGAATACTTAACTGGGGGCTTGAGCCAGCCACACTTGGGCTTTCCTGCACACTTAAGGCAGCTTGCAACACCTGTGTTGCAACCAGCTGCATCATGGAGACAAGGGATAGGGATGCTGCTTCGATCTGCAAAGCAGGAAGTGGGGGCAAGCTTGTTCCTTGGGTGAGTCCAGCACCCACTGTGCCTCCAGACTGCAGCAGCGACAGGGCGTGCATGACACTTTGTTCTACAAATGGTGTCAATGAGAAGTGCAACTGATCTTCACGTTGGCGGTACCCTTGTCCCTGCGTTGCTGCCTCATTCTTGGGCAGCTCCTGATGGCCAGGGTTTGTCTGCAGTGGATAGTCTGACTTGTTGGGTAGTTGTTCTGCCGCATCAGATTTGGCTGGAGGTTGCCGGTCTGCTTGTTCCTCCATTGCTGCTTCCTTCTTGGGCAACTCCTGATGGCTGGGATTTGTCTGCAGTGGATGGTCTGACTTGTTGGGTGGTTGTTTTGCCACATCAGATTTGGATGGAGGTTGCTGGTCTCCTTGTTCCCGCATTGCGGCCTCCTTCTTGGACGGCTCCTGGTGGCCAGGATTTGTCTGCAGTGGATGCTCCGACTTCTTGGGTGGTTGTTCCGCCACATCAGATTTGGCTGGAGGTTTCCTGGAGCTTCCTGCTTCTGCAGACGATGCTAAAGAGGGGGAGAAAAAGCAAGTGGCTCGTTATTATTATTAGTAGTAGTAGTAATATTTATTAAATTGGTATACAGTGCTACCTCTGGATGCAAACAGGATCTGTTCCTGAGCCCTGTTTGCATCCTGAAGCGAATGCAACCCGCGTCCGCACGTGCGCGGGTCGCGATTTGGCGCTTCCGCGCATAAGCGACATCATTTTGAGCATCTGTGCATGCGGCGAAACCTTGAAATGTTTAACCTTAAAATGTTTAACATGAGGTACGACTGTACCGCCCTCCATCCATCCATCTCAGGGCGGTTCACGACATAAAAATACAAAATTAAAAAACCCAAAAGATACAAAATGGAACCAATAACCCCACCCCCCCACCCCCGCAATTCATCAACACTCTATTGCAAATACTTCAGGTCTACCTTTGGCAACAATACTGCAGGGAAACAGCAGAATATCTCCCCTGAACCTCGGTCACAGCTGAATTTGCAACAAAGTTCTACCCTGCATAGCATGAGTGCAAAAAGGTCATTGTACTAAGCAACTGTAAAAACTACAAAGTGGGTGGGGAAAACTCCAGAGGAGTGAAATGGCTGAGATCAACCAACATCCCCTTTTGAAATGAGTTGCAGAGTCATTCACACAATCCAATATAGGAACAAGCTTGGTCTCCTTGGCAGGCATTATACTGACACAATGACAAAGCCAGGAAAAAACCCCCAGAACAGAACAAACTATTCACTGAGCCACAGCCACTGCAACACGCCTGCCAATATCACACACATAATCCTGCTTACAAAAAACCAAAGACCAGTTACTGAAGCATCTGTAACATCCACCTTACCTGGAGATCTAGTTGATTTTCTCAGTTCTCTCTTCTGGCTAGAAGAGGTTTGAGAACTCGAGCTGGGGGAGCTTGGTTGCTTTGCAGAACTGGACCTATGTCTGCGGCTCCTAGATCGTGACCGTTTTCTGCTGTGGGGCCCAGGGCTCCTAGATCGTGACCGTTTTCTGCTGTGGGGCCCAGGGCTCCTAGATCGTGACCGTTTTCTGCTGTGGGGCCCAGGGCTCCTAGATCGTGACCGTTTTCTGCTGTGGGGCCCAGGGCTCCTAGATCGTGACCGTTTTCTGCTGTGGGGCCCAGGGCTCCTAGATCGTGACCGAATTTGACTCGAGGCATGGCCAGGGATTGAGTGTTGTGAAGTGTTCGGGTTAGAACTGGTAGAGCATGGCATTGGAATATGTTTTTCCTTCTTCTCACCTTCATGTCTGCAAAAGGCAGAAAAAACAGGATTTGAATGACTTCTCTTTCCCAAATGTAAAAGGAAAAATCAGATCTGTCAAAATGTTATTTTTGCAAACGGAAATCAACTAGAAGTAGGAATTCTCAGGGTTAAAGCTAACAGCATCAAAAGCCTACAAAATACAGCTGATGGGACTGCAGCATCCAATAACTTAAAGAACCCAAATGCTGGGAACAGAATGCCCAGCTTCATACCAGAAAATTATGGCTGCACTGGGAATGGCTACCTGCCTGCTAGTGGCTGAGCTGCAGTGCAACCCACAGCTGCTCAGCCAGCTGGCCCCTAGAGCCTTAGAATGAAGACACGAGGGCCTGCAGTCTGAGTTAAGCAGCTCCTACATGTACTGCTCAGTGACAACCTGTAACCTTGGGGGGGGGAATATTATCCTGGGGGGTTACTGTCAGGGGACTTACATTGGAACAGGGGAGGGAGGCAGGGTGGCCCGTTGGAATACAGAAAGCTTCCGAAATTCCTGAGGAGCAGTTCCTCTTCCAGCAGTGAGAAAAGCCACATCTCCAGTGGAGAAGTGAGGAAAGGGCTCGAGGATGCTGCAGAGAGCCCCGGCGCCTCACCTTGCCGGGCTGGCCAGGAGAGACGCACGCCACTTCCATCGCCCAGCTTGTGCACAGCGGTGAAATGCAAGGAGTGGAGGCGGAGGCTTGGGGTGTCAAAGTTCTTATGTTGGGGGAGAAACCAGAAGGGGCCACTCCTGGATTCTGTAAGTGCCTAAGATGGACATGAACTTTGGAGATTTGCACTGTAAATAGTTTGCACAATAAAACCTGTAAAAGACAGGTTTGGAATCCTGCCTGGTTACTCGCGAGCAACCAGCAGCAGCATCTGACAGCAATCCGGGAGTCTTTGCGGTTGTTCACGTGTAGCAGTGAAGAGCAGCATGATGAGTAAAAATAATAAAGGGAGGTCAGAGGAGCAAGGAGCTGCAGGCGGAGGTGCTGAGGAAGAGGAGGCGTGGAATATAGCGGCCCTGGTGCAGAGGAACGTGGAGCTGGAAGCATATGTCGCTGACTTCACAACAAGGCTGGAGGAGCGCAGGTCGCAGGAGCAGCACATCAAAGCAACTCCGGTGGGGAGAAAGGTACCGGGGCTGGTGAGCAAATTTAGCGGGAACTCTCAAGAGTACCTTGCCTTTAAGACTGAAATTAAATACACCCTGGACTTGCAAAAGAAGGAATTTGCCGATGCTGAGGAAAGGGTGGCATTTGCAATTTCCCACTTAGAAAGCGCAGCCCGGGAATGGGTGAGACCCCTGATAGTGGCAGGAAACAATGCCCTCCAGGACTTGCGGAAATTTTACGAGGCAATGGACGCAATGTTTACCAGCGAAATTCAAGGGGATGTCACGCAGTAGGAGCTCCTGACATCCAAACAGGGATCCCTGTTTGTAGCTACTGGTCCCAGTTCGCAATGCTGGTGCATAAACTGGGCTGTGATTTGTTGTCCGAACCCATGCAGGCACTTTTAAAGATGGGCTTAAATTCGGACATTAAGGATGTGCTCTCCAGGGGACCCCGGCCGAGATCGATGTATGAGCTGACCAAAGCAGTATTAGGTATTAGTGTACAGCAAGAGGCACACGCACAGACAAGGCGGGAGGCCAGAGGGGAGCATTTCTATAGCAACCACATTCCTGAGACACCAGCTGGGACTACACACAGGCTGCCCCAGGCGGAGCCAATGGAAATTGACGAAGCCTGGGCGCAGGAAACTTCAAACGCTGCGGTTCCAAGCAAAAAGGAGGGAACGGGATGGAAGTCAGCCAATAAGTGCTTCCTCTGCCAACAACCGGGACACTGTGCCAAGGTTTGCCCGCAGCGCAAAGACTGGCAACAAATGGTGGGGGGATCGGCTATGGAGGAAGGAGAGGAGCCCAAAGAGTACAGAAACGACCGTGCCTGGCTGCAGGAAAACAGGGGCAGCAGCCAGCCAGGCAGAAGAAGGGCCCCGACCATGTCCCCCCAAGGCGGGCATACTGGTCACAGTGCTACTGGAGCTCCCTAATGGCTACCCAGTGGAAATGCAGGGCTTGGTTGATTCAGGAGCCAGTGCAAACTTCTTCCGCAGAGACTTAGCCTTGGAGCACCAGTTGCACCTACTCCCACTAGACTTTCCATTGCAAGTCACCCCCATTGATGGGAGAGAGTTGTTGGGAGGGATGAAGTCTCTCACCAGACACCACCGCCATGAGAATGAGGGTCTCCAAACACACTGAGACCATTGCTTTGCATGTGACCACCTTGGCAGGACCTCCCATCATTCTGGGGATGAGTTGGCTGCCTCTCCATGATCCGGTGGTGTCGTGGCTCCAGCAATCCCTCACCTTTGGGTTGGCCCACTGTGTGGAACACTTTCTGGGGAGGAAGGAGCCATGGGAGCGACTACTGCGAGTCTGGGGGAGAAGAGAATTCCTCAGCAATATGTGGATTTTGAGAAAGTCTTCAGCGAGTGGGAGGCTGACAAGTTACCTCCCCACAGGCCATATGACTGTCAGATCAATTTGGTCCCAGGGGCCAGGTTGACGGCGGGTAAGCGGTACTGGATGTCGGACCAAGAGATACAGGATCTGAATTTTACTGACAAGAACTTAAGAAGAGAGAGATACTTGAGACTTCCGGGGTGGCGCCATTGGCAATGGCGGACTCCCTCTGAATTGGAGGGACTAGCTCCGCGGGAAACGGGTCTTCTCCGCTACGGCGAAGCGGGGACCCTTTTAAAAATCACAGGCGGATGAAGCCTGTGACCATGGGACTCGGCAGGCACCCTTAGCGCCCCCCCCCAACCCGCAAAGGAACCCACTAACGGGCTCCGAAGCGAAGAGGGGGAAGTGGCGCGGTGCTGTGAGTCAACCGCTATTTTCGTGGAGCGAAGCCGCACAGCTGTTGCCGGAGAGCGCTGCCTTTTTCCTGGGACAAATTGGCTTCTAAAATAAGCACCCGTGAGTACTTAAACTTTGAACAATTGGACTTTAAATAAGGACTTGCGAGCAGAAAGGAATTGGACTTAAAAATTTTACTTCAATTTGGTACTGAAACGGGAAGATCTAAACAGGAAGTCAGCCTTCCGTTTCTTTGTAGACAGAATAAAGCAAAGACAACGTAAACTAGAGCTCAGAAAATCGCCTCTAAAGGATTGGCTTTCATCATTTAAAATTGTTGAACCCCCCTTCGGCAGCAGGAGAAGAAGGGGGATCTTTTCTGGACTGTTTAAACCTGCAGAAGTGAGTTTAAAGTAAGTAACTTTCCACCGTCCTGATCCTGGAGCGGGGTGTCAGGACTGACGTTTGAAGCTCATTGACCAGAAACAAGCGCTTTTGACAGATAGCTAAAAGAAGAGGAACATAGTGATTCCATTGTTTCCTTTCGCACCTTAAAGGAACAAATATTGACAAAATATCTGAAAAAAGGAAACTCTGTTGCTAGACTTGTCTTTAAAAGAAAGATTAAACAGAAGTTTTCCCCCTAGAGGGAGACTGTGAAACTGTAACCAACTCCTGGGAGCTGGCAACTGTTACAGATTACAATCGTGGGGATAGACATCTGACCTTCAGGACAATGTACTCAGAAGCTCTGTTGTGTGCTTTCTATAAAACAAATGCCCTACTGGAACAGTTACATGAGAAGACGAATTTGATGGCTGATTCGATTAGAAATTTTGAACAGGCAGTGGGAAATTTTGAACAGGCAGTGGGAAAATATGTGGAGCCTACCCAGGAATTAAATCAGGAGTGTGTCTTGACAGAACAGGCCCTACAGGAATATGAGCTTTCGGATTTGACAAATGAACTTGGAAAAAGCCAGATTTGGAAAGAAAAAGTTTGGTTTGGTTTGGAAATGGGTTGGATAGACCCTCCTATGAAATTGGACTTTTCAAGTCTGGCAATGGGCCGTGAGATGTTTGGGATTGTGGGGGCTCTCAATTTTGGAGGGATTCTGAAACATGTTTTTAAATACCACATGGAATTTAGTGTCGATTATGGAAAAGGGGCTGATCTGTCGAGAAGGGTTAAAAATATTGCCAAGTTGGAGTTCCCACGAGTGAAAGGAGGAGGAGACAAAGGAAAATACAGTTATAAATATGAAGAAGAGCCGTGGAAGGGACATGGAATGGACTTAAGGGCCTCGGATATAAGATTACCAGGTTAATGCGCCAGATTGATGGGATAATAAGGACTGACAAAACCCAGGACCAGGAGGAAGGGACGCTGGATGAAGATTGGATTTGTTTTTATTTCTTTTTTTCACTACTAGGACTGTTTTATAAAATTGATGAATGTTAGAAGAATGTTGGAATGAAATTACTTGGCTTTAGTAAAAATGTTTAAAGAATTATGCAAGAATATTATGGTTATGAGAAGTTGATAAAAATAAGATTTAAGTTTTAAGTCTCAAGGTGTTTTTTTATAGTAAGATAAGATTAAAATAAGTTTAAGGTAATGTAATGACAGAATATTATGAAATATGGAAAGGATTTGCTGTGACAATTAACAAACAGGATACAAGGAAGGGGAGGAGGAGGAGGTCAAGGAAAGAGGATAATGACAGTTGAGGAGTTGAGAATAATGGATTTGTTTTTAAATGTTTTTAAATGTTTGTGGTGTATTTTTGTTTTCTTTTTTTTCTTTTTAATAATATTTATTGAGATTTCCAAAAAATACAAAAATTACACAAAAAATAAAAAATAGAAAACACAAAAACTTACACACAAAAAGAAAAAGATACAGAAGTAATAAAATAAAAATATAAAAAAGTGAAAAATACAGAAGAAAAATAATAATAAAGAAGAAAAAAACATTAGACCTCCTCCTCCTCCCTTCCTTTGTATTCCAGTTATTAATTATCCCAGCAAATCCTTTCCATCTTTCTATTATAAAATAAACCTTAAAATTTAAAATTTAGATCTTAACTTTACCAGCTTCTTATATTCATAATGTTCTTTCATAATTCTTTAATAGTTATTAATTATCCCAACAAATCCTTTCCATCTTTCTATTATAAAATAAATCTTAAAATTTAAAATTTAGATCTTAACCTTACCAGCTTCTTATATTCATAATGTTCTTTCATAATTCTTTATACATCTTTACTAAAGCCAGGTAATTTCTTCCAACATTTTTCTATCATTCATTTTTCTATCATTCTATCATTCATCAACTTTATAAAACATTCTGTTAGTTAAAAAACAAAAAAAAGAGAAAAAAGCATATAAACAAGTCTGATCTTAATCCAACGTCCCTTCCTCCTGGTTTCGGGATTTGTCAGTCCTTATTCCTCAATCTAACCCGGTGACCTTATGTCCGAGGCCCTCAGATCACTTCCATGGCCCTTCCGCAGCTTTTCTTCATATTTGTGGCTGTAGTCACTTGCTCGTAGTAACTCCATCTTAATAGTGTTTTTAACCCTTCTCATCAGATCAGATCCTTTTCCCTGTTCATCGCTGCATTCCATGTAGTATTTAAGAACATACTTCAAGGGCCCTCCGAAGTTGTGGGCCCCCACAATTCCAAACATGTTGCAGCCTGTTACTGTATTTAAAAAGTCCAGATATCCCAACATAGGGGGGTCAATCCAGCCCCCGATTTCAAAACCACATCGAACTTTCCCTTCCCATATCTGGTTTTTTCCAAGTTCCATTATCAAATCCGAAGGATCAAGCTCCTGTTGAGACTGTTCTGTCAAGCCACACTCCTGATTTAATGCCACAAACCCCTGTTCTGTCAAGACACACTCCTGGTTTGAGTCCTGGATAGACTCCACATATATTCCCACAGTTTGATCAAAGCCTTCCACTGCCTGTCCATGATTTCCAGTTGACTTGGCCATCTGGTTCACCTTATCATGTAGTTCTTCCAATAGATTCTTTGTTTTATTAAGCAGGCAAACCACAACTTCTGAAAACATTGTTGCACTCTCCCACGATTATTTGTAACAGCTGTCAAGTCCTTGGCATTAGTTACAGTCTCTAAGGCTCCCCCTAGGGAGAAGACTTATATTTGTTCTTGTTACATTTCCATGTTACTTGAGATACTTTATCCATATATATTCCTTTAAAATGCGAAAGGGAACAGTAGAGTCACAAAAATTCTCTTCTTTTAACTATCTGTCTCACACAGATATCTTGATTGATTCACGTCAGTCCTGACTTCCCCACTCCAGGATCAGGACGAAAATAACTTCCTTTTACTGCTTCAAATAGTCCCCAAAAAAATATTCCCAATTTAAAATGTTGGAATCCACTCTTTTAAAAGCAATTTTCAAAGCTCTAGTATAAGTTGCCTTTGCTTTGTTGTATTTACAAAAGAACGGAAGGGTGACTTCCTGTTTAGCCCTTCCCGCTCCGTACCAAATTCAATCGATTTTTCTTTCTTTCTTTTTTTTTATAGTCCAATTCTGTCCTTTTCACTAATCTTCATTTACTGTCCCAATTTGTTCAAATTCTGGGTACTCACGGATGTTTGTTTTAAAGTCCGAATTGTCCAGGAAAAAAGGCAGCGCTCTCCGGCAACAGCTACGCGGCTTCACTCCACAAAAGAAGCAGACGACTCGCAGCACAGCGCCACTTCCCCGCTCTGTTCCGGAGCCCGTTGCTGGGTTCCTTTACAGATTGGGGGGGGGCGCAAACAGTGCCCGCCGAGTCCCAGGGTCACAGGCTTCACCCGCCTGTGGTTTAAAGGGTCCCCGCTGCGCCGAAGCGGTATAGACCCGATTTCTGTGGAGCGGTCTCCCTCCGAATTAGAGGGATTCCGCCATTGCCGTTGGCGCCACCTCCTTGTTTTTGTTTTCTTTCCTATTTTGAATTTGTATATGTATGGTTGGAAGTGGTTTGTTTTTCTCTTTTTCTACTTTGTTTTTCTTTTGTAACTTTAAAAAAAAAATTTTTTTTCAATAAATATCATTCAAAAAAGAACTTAAGAAAAGGTTTCGTCTGAGAATCAAAGACGGTGTGAGGAAGTCCAGTGTTCTTCGTGGACAAGAAGGGGACCAAGGAGTGCCGTCTGGTGGTGAATTTCAGGGTTGTCAACTCCTTGCATTTCCCATGCCTCGCATCGACGACGTGCTGGCGAGAGTACGCAAGGTCAGAATTTTTACCAAACTTGACCTCAGAGGAGCTTACAACCTGATCAGAGTACGGAAGGGAGATGAATGGAAGATGACAATGTTTACTAGGGGCATTTGAATACCTCATTATGCCCTTCGGATTACAAAGCGGAAGTCCCTACTTAGTTAGGTGGGATTTCTGGTGGCCCAAGGTAAGGGAGGATGTGCGGGAACATGTCTGAGGGTGCGACATGTGTCAGTGAGCAAAGAGGGAAAGGGCGGCCCCAGCGGGGCTGCTAGAACCCTTACCAACACTGGGGAGACCATGGGAAGTGGTGTCCATAGACTTCACGACGGACCTGCCCATGTCCCGAGGTAAGACGGCAGTCCTGGTAGTGGTGGACCTGCTGACCAAGATATGCCACTTTGTGGCATCCTCCCATGTGGTGTCACCTTAGGAAACTGCCAAGCTGTTCCTGGATCACATCTTTCGGCTGCATGGGACCCCTTCTAGGGTAATTTCTGACCACGGAAGACAGTTCACTTCGCGTTTCTGGCGCAAGCTCATGAGTTTGTTGCAGGTAGAGGTGAGTTTTTCCACAGCCTGGCACCCACAGACTAATGGACAGGCAGAGAGAGCAAATGCCATTTTGCATCAGTACTTGCACTGCTACGTCAATCAGCGGCAGAACAATTGGGTGGAGAAGGAAGCACTGGCAGTTTGCGTACAATAATGCTGAACACGTGTCCACAGGGATGAGTCCCTTTCTTGCCAATTACGGGTGTCATCCCAGGGCCTTTCCAGGGCAGAAGGAGGAGGAATGGAGTGTACCAGCCGCAAAACATTTCGCAGAAGAGATGTAGGCCATACACCAACAGCTCAAGATGACTCTGGAAAGAGCCAAGGAGGCCTACAAGAAGGCGGCAGACAAACATAAGAGACCGGGGGAGGTTATCAGGGTGGGGGACAAGGTGTGGTTGCCCCTGAGAGGGGGGTGCAAGAAACTGCAGCCTAGGAGGGTTGGTCCCTTTGAGGTGACACAGCAGGTCAACCCAATAGCATTCAGGCTGAAGTTGCCGGATAACATGAGGATACATCCAGAGTTTCACAAGTCTCTGCTGTCGCCTTACAGGGAGGGCCACAGCTTCCCGGGGAGAGAACAGGGGATGCCCACCTCGCCAAACATAGAAGGGAAGTCTGTAATGAAGTGACAGAGACACTTGACTCCAGGTGGAACGGACATCAACTAGAGTACTTAGTTGCCTGGGAGGGGGCTCCTAGTTCGGAAAACGTGTGGATTCCGGCAGGGTGCGTGACCGAGGAGTATCTTGTAGAGGAGTTCCACGCTCTCTTACTGCACAAGCCCAAACCCCCAAAGTTGTTATTTGGGGAAGTGTTTGGACCCACAGAGAATGAGGGGGACTTTGAGGGATTCCTGGGGAGGAAATAGAGGACGAAATTGCCGAGGTCTCTGATGAGGAGGAACCTTCCGGGGACTTCCCGCCAGAGCCGGAATTGTCGGGGGGAGCAGTTTTTGACTTCACAGAGGAGAACGACGATTCCTTCCTCAGGTTCCCCCCCCCCCCGGCGACACCAGTGAGTGGGAAGCAGCTCTGGACCTCACCGACAGGGCGGGAGGTTTTGAGGGGGGTGGATATCAGGGGACTGCTATCGGAACAAGGGAGGGAGGCAGGGGGGCGTTGGAATACAGAGAGCTTCCGAAACTCCTGAGAAGCAGTTCCACTTCCAGCAGTGGGAAAAGCCACACCTCCAGTGGAGAAGAGAGGGAAGGGGCCAGCCAAGTGAGGAATGGGCTCAAGGATGCTGCGGAGAGCCCCAGCGCCTCAACTCGCCAGGTTAGCCAGGAGGGACGCATGCCACTTCCGCCGCCCAGCTTGCACAGAAGGGTGAAACGCAAGGAGGGGAGGGGGGCTTCGGGTGTCGAAGTTCTTATGTTGGGGGAGAAGCCGGAAGGGGCCACTCCCAGATTCTGTAAGTGACTAAGACGGACATGAACTTTGGAGATCTGCACTGTAAATAGTTTGCACAATAAAACCTGTAAAAGACAGGTTTGGAGTCCTGCCTGGTTACTCACGAGCAACCACCAGCAGCATCTGACAGGTTACTTTTTCTGCAGAAGTGTTTTTTGTTATAGTTCCTAAGCAGCAGTGAACAGTGGTCAACTGCAGATAACTTAACAATTTTACAGTTTTGAGTCTTCTCTACTACATACAATGAAAGACCAGAATTAGATCACAGATCACTTTCCTGGGCATCAGAAAATGTCCCAGTGCAGAATGCCCTCACACAAATTTTCCACTCAAAATGTCTCTGAAAACCCATACCATTGGGGAGAACAGGGAATTGAGATTACTGCAGCCTAATTCTCATTACTGAGTATTCATGTTGAGATTGAAAGGTTACCTCTGTAACGAAGAAAATTCTTCTGGATTCCACTCAGGATGCCTGTTTCAAGAAAAGCCAGCAAAACAGCTGTGTTACTCATTTGACACAGTACATGTACTCCATTCCATTATCATTCAGGCAAGTTTCTAAAACTGTCAATTATTTCTCTCTCTTTTGTCCAAATTATTGATCTCTTACTACTGATCTTCTGGGGAAATTTAAAGGTGATTCCATGAGGGTTCCCTGACTCTTTGATCCAGTATTCCAAAAGCTCCCTGGCATGAGATTCAGGTCCCAGCTCCTCCAAGAACTGGTTTGTCCTGAAGCCACCCCTCGTAAAACTCTGCTCATGCTCCACAGGCATCTAAAAGCCACAGAACGCAAGATGAGATGCCTCTGAGCTTCTGCCTTCTTCCCTGGTTCAGCTCCACAATCGGCCTACAGACCACTTATACAAATTCAGGCAAAACACAACCTAGAGCAGGCACCTTTCCTTCAAAGGTGAGCTCCCACAACTTCCTTGGCTGAGGTTTATGGCAAGGCATGTAAGCAATGGCTCTGCTGCTTTTAGCAAAGCCCCGAGGTTGCCGCAAATTCTTCGTAGCGCTTTAGCAGAAATGCTCAGAGTTCCAGGTTCTTCAGTGCAGTAAATTTATTGTGAGATATATATACACAAATATTTACAGGCTATAATACACGAGCAGTTTATACAGTCAGTCAGAGTATCTGGCTGCACCTTAAAGCAAATAGGAAGACCTCTAACTCTATCTGACCACACACCTCTACACCACCACCTTACTGCTGGACAGGTTTCCCTTTTAAACCGATGACAGCCAATCAGCTGACAGCACATTACTGCTGAGTCATTCTGACCCAGCAATTCCATAGAAAGTATTGCAGGCTGGTTGCATCAGCTAGCAAACTCAAGCCTGCAGACTTACTATCTCACACAGTATTCTGTGAATCCTGACAGAGGTATCCAGGCAGTCATTTCCAAACCATTTCAAATCCTCAATCTACTCCCAATAAATTAAAATGAAAGGCCTTACTGTTGGCGTAGCTCATCACATTTCTTGAAGTGTGCAATACTGCCCACGTGCAGATTCCAGCCCTACAAGGAGGGAGGGAAGAAATCAGCATGAGAACACAAAAAAGCCTGGACGCTAGGTGAGAACAAAGTGTCACCTAGTCCAGCATCCCTTCTCCTGCGGCCGTCAGCCAGATGCTTCTGAGAAACCCACAGATGGGCCCTCCTCTGCTGCTGCTGCTGCTTCTCCCAGGAGAAACTATTTTTTTTAAAAAAATCACGGCATATTCATTTTTTTATAAAAATAAAACACTAAGTTCCACTTAGTGATATGCCCAAAACCCACGGATGTGACTTCTGTCTATAAAACTGCAAATCTGGTCATTAAAGGTCATGAGTCTGTGGCAGTGTTCAAAACTAGCCACGTGCCAAGCACATCTTGCACTTCGCTATCAGAAACTTACAACCAAGTGGAGATGCCTGGGTGCCATAGTCCTCATAGCGTAAGATCTGCTTGAAAGCCAGAGTGGAAAATACACTCATCCTGGGCTCAATACAACCGTGTGCACGTTTTTTCTGCAAAAACAAAGAACTCACCATCATACTTGAACATTCTATTTTACACAGAGAACACACGTGTGGAAGTACTGTTGGCGACACAGCATGATAATCATTCATTATTGCTGGAGATGGAGATCCTGAAGACGGAGGCATAAACGAAGCCGCAGGTGTTGTTGAGGGTTGAGCCACTGAAGGTACCACAGGTCCTGCTGAAAAAAGGCATGATTCTGTTATGAAACACAGACGGATGCCAACGAAATTCCTGGAGAGAGGGTGCCAAGGGCAAAGGCCACCTCGGAGCTTGCTCCTACTGGATATCCCCTTCCCGCCCCCCAAAAAGATCATTTCCCATCAACTACTATACACAGTGAGGTGCCCAGTAGAGAGGGGACAGAAAGCAAATAATGCATCAGGGTCTTCTCCAGCTGAGCCCCTCCCATCCTCCAAGGCCATTCTGAAGAGATACTGTGGAGTAGTGTTTAGAGTGTCAGACACAGACCTGGGAGACCAGATTTGGCTGGAGGTTCCCTGGAGCTTCCTGCTTCTGCAGACGACACTAAAGACGGGGAGAAAAAGCAAGCGGCTCATTATTATTATTAACAGTAGTATTAAATTGGTATACCGCCCTCCATCCATCCATCTCAGGGCGGTTCACAACATAAAAATACAAGATTAAAAACTCAAAACATACAAAATAGAAACAAGAACAAAATGGAACCAATACCACCACCCCTTGCAACAAAGGTCTACCCTGCATAGCATGAGTGCAAGAAGATCATTGTACTAAGCAACTGTAAAAACTACAAAGTGGGTAGGGGAAAACTCCAGAGGAGTGAAATGGCTGAGATCAACCAACAACCTATTTTGAAATGGGTTGCAGAGTCACTCACACAATCCTATATAGGAACAAGCTTGATCTCCTTGGCAGGCATTATATTGACACAATGACAAAGCCAGGAGAAAAAACCCCAGAACAGAACAAACTATTCACTGAGCCACAGCCACTGCAACACGCCTACCATTATCACACACATAATCCTGCTTACAAAAAACCAAAGGCCAGTTAATGGAGCATCTGTAACATCCATCTTACCTGGAGATTCAGTTGATTTTCCAAGTTCTCTCTTCTGACTAGAAGAGCTTTGAGAACTTGAGCTGAGGGAGCTTGGTCGCTCTGAAGACCTGGACCTACGTCTGTAGTTCCTAGATCGTGACCGAGTCTGACTTGAGGCATGGCCAGGAATTGAGTGCTGTGGAGCATTCGGGTTAGAACTGGTAGAGCATGGCATTGGAATATGTTCTTCCTTCTTGTCACCTTCATGTCTGCAAGAGGCAGAAAAAACAGGATTTGAATTACTTCTCTTTTTCAAATGTAAAAGGAGAAATCAGATCTGCCAAGATGTTATTGTTGCAAATGGAAATCAACTAGAAATAGGAACTCTCAGGGTTAAAGGTAAAAGCATCAAAAGTCTACAGAATACGGCTGATGGGCCTGCAGCATCCAATAACTAAAGGAACTCAGATGCTGGGAACAGAATGCCCAGCTTCATACCAGAAAATTATGGCTGCACTGGGAATGGCTACCTGCCTGCTAGTGGCTGAGCTGCAGTGCAACCCACAGCTGCTCAGCCAGCTGGCCCCTGGAGCCTTAGAACGAAGACCTGCAGTCTGAGTTAAGCAGCTCCTACATGTACGGGGTCAGTGACAACCAGTAACCTGGGGTGGAAAATATTATCTGGGGGGGTTGGTTACTTTTTCTGCAGAAGTGTTCTTTGTTACATGGTTCCTAAGAAGGAATTAACGGGGGCAAACAGCAGATACTTGCAGTTTTCAGTTTTGAGTTTTCTCTATTAAATACAATGAAAGACCAGAATTAGATCACAGATCACTTTCTTGGGCATCAGAAAATGTCCCAGTGCAGAATGCCCTGATGCAAATTTCCCATTCAAAATGTCTCCAAAAACCCACACCATCGGGGACAACAAGGAAATGAGATTACTGCAGCCTAATTCTTATAACTGAGTATTCATGTTGAGATTAGAAGGTTACCTCTGTAACGAAGAGAATTCTTCTGGATTCCAGCCAGGATACCTGTTTCAAGAAAAGCCAGCAAAACAGCTGTGTTATTCCTTTGACACGGTACATGTACTCCATTCCATTATCATTCAGGCAAGTTTCTAAAACTGTCAAGTATTTCTCTCCCTTTTGTCCAAATTATTGATCTTTTACTACTGCTCTTCTGGGGAAGTTTAAAGGCGATTCCATGAGGATTCCCTGACTCTTGGACCCAGTATTCCAAAAGCTCCCTGGCATGAGACTCAGGTCCCAGCTCCTCCAAGAACTGGTTTGTCCTGAAGCCACCCCTCGTAAAACTCTGCTCATGCTCCACAGGCATCTAAAAGCCACAGAACGCAAGATGAGATGCCTCTGAGCTTCTGCCTTCTTCCCTGGTTCAGCTCCACAATCGGCCTACAGACCACTTATACAAATTCATGCAGAACAGAAACTAGAGCAGGCACCGTTCCTTCAAAGGTGAGCTCCCACAACTTCCTTGGCTGAGGTTTGTGGCAAGGCATGTAAGCAATGGCTCTGCTGCTTTTAGCAAAGCCCTGAGGTATCCAGGAAGTCATTTCCAAACCATTTCAAATCCTCAATCTATTCCCAATAAATTAAAATGAAAGGCCTTACTGTTGGCGTAGCTCATCACATTTCTCGGAGTGTGCAGCAGTGCGCACATGCAGATTCCAGCCCTACAGGGAGAGAGGGAAGAAATCAGCATGAGAACATAAAAAAGCCCGGCTGATAGATGAGAACAAAGTGTCACCTAGTCCAGCATCCCATCTACTGCGGCAGTCAGTCAGTATGCTTCTGAGAGACCCACAGAAGGGCCCTCCTCTGCTGCTGAGCAGCAACTATTAAAAAAAAAAAAAAAACCCTAATGGTATATACGGTATATACTTTTTTGCCAACTGACACCTTGGGTTAAGAAGCCATTTGTCACCTAGCTTATATATCTGAGTTTCTACAGCAGAGTAGAAACACACTCACCTGCCCTTCAGTCCTGTGTATGAGTTTAACACTGGACAATGTTCAATACTGTGCAATGCATTTGATATTAAAATAGACAACAGCAGCTCAGATAAGACAGAGTCTCCAGACATGGTGTCAGGTTTGAATCCCACCAATGTCAAATGGGCGTTCTGGACGTGGGGATTCATGAGGCCCTGAGGTGGCAAAGATGTCTCCTTGGGGATTAGGGGAGGGGAGATATGCTGCAGTGATGCTGTCCAACATTTGGCAGTCACCATGTTGACTTCCCCAGGATAACATCAACCACTCCTCATAGCGTAAGATCTGCTTGAAAGCCAGAGTGGAAAATGCACTCATCCTGGGCTCAATACAACCGTGTGCACTTTTTTCTGCAAAAACAAAGAACTCACCGTCATACTTGAACATTCTATTTTACACAGACAACACACGTGTGGAAGTACTGTTGGCAACACAGCATGATAATCATTCATCATTGACGGAGATGGAGATTCTGAAGACGGAGGCATAAACGAAGCCACTGAAGGTACCATAGGTCCTGCTGAAGGAAGGCATGATTCTGTTATGCAACACAGATGGATGCCAACTAAATTCCAGGAGAGAGGATGCCAAGGGCAAAGGCCACCTTGGAGCTTGCTCCTACTGGATATCCCCTTCCCACCCCCCAAAATGATCATTTCCCATCAATTACTCTACACAGTGAGGTGCCCAGTAGAGAGGGGACAGTAAGCAAATAATGCATCAGGGTCTGCTCCAGCTGAGCCCCTCCCATCCTCCCGGGCCATTATGAAGAGCCACTCCGGTGTAGTGGTTAGAGTGTCAGACACAGACCTGGGAGAGCAGATTTGGCTGGAGGTTTCCTGGAGCTTCCTGCTTCTGCAGACGACGCTAAAGACGGGGAGAAAAAGCAAGCGGCTCATTATTATTATTAACAATAGTATTAAATTGGTATACCGCCCTCCATCCATACATCTCAGGGTGGTTCACAACATAAAAATACAAGATGAAAAACCCAAAAGATACAAAATAAAAAGAAGAACAAAATGTAACTGTCAAGGAACTGCCCTTGGCTCAGGGGCGAGAGGGAAAAAGCCGTATGGATTAGAGATCCCCCAAAGATCGTGGGAAGCAGCACCTCCTCAGCGGAGGAGAGTAACCACGCCTCCAGTGTAGAGGAGCTTCAGGGCTCGGAGGAGGCGAGGCGGTGCCAGGACACCTTGCCTGGCGAAAGCAGGGAGGAGAGAGGTCCTCCGTTACCCACGCCCTCTCTGCACAGTAGGCTTCCGCGCTGAGAGGGGAGGCGCAGATTGGGCGTCAAGAAACTACTCTGCTGGGGAAGGTTTAAGGACCGCCCACTCACAGATTCTGCCAGTGAATGAGCGAGCCATGGAATAGTGGCGCTCTGCATGGTGAAGGGTTTTTGGCACCAATACCGAGGCTTTACATCCGACCAGGGAGGCACTTGCCTGATTGCTCTCGAGTAACCCCCTGATATCCGTACAGGAACCAATACCCGCCCCCCCCCCCCCCGCAGTTCATCAACGCTCTATTGCAACAACTTCAGGTCTACCTTTGGCAACAATACTGCAGGGAAGCAGCAGAATATCTCCCCTGATCCTCGGTCACAGCTGAATTTGCAACAAGGTTCTACCCTGCATAGCATGAGTGCAAGGAGGTCATTGTACTAAGCAACTGTAAAAACTACAAAGTGGGTGGGGAAAACTCCAGAGGAGTGAAATGGCTGAGATCAACCAACATCCCCTTTTGAAATGGGTTGCAGAGTCATTCACACAATCCAATATAGGAACAAGCTTGGTCTCCTTGGCAGGCATTATATTGACACAATGACAAAGCCAGGAGAAAAACCGCAGAACAGAACAAACTATTCACTGAGCCAAAGCCACTGCAACACGCCTGCCAATATCACACACATTATCCTGCTTACAAAAAACCAAAGGCCAGTTACTGAAGCATCTGTAACATCCACCTTACCTGGAGATTTAGTTGATTTTCCCAGTTCTCTCTTCTGGCTAGAAGAGGTTTGAGAACTCGAGCTGGGGGAGCTTGGTCGCTCTGCAGACCTGGACCTACATCTGGGGCTCCTAGATCGTGACCGTTTTCTCCTGCAACGTTCAGAACTCCTAGATCGTGACCGTTTTCTCCTGCAACGTTCAGAACTCCTAGATCGTGACCGTTTACTCCTGCAACGTTCAGAACTCCTAGATCGTGACCGTTTACTCCTGCAACGTTCAGAAGTCCCAGATCGTGACCGTTTTCTCCTGCAACGTTCAGAAGTCCCAGATCGTGATCGTTTTCTCCTGCAACGTTCAGAACTCCTAGATTGTGTCCGTTTTCTCCTGTAACGTTCAGAACTCCTAGATTGTGTCCGTTTTCTCCTGCAACGTTCAGAACTCCTAGATCGTGACCGTTTTCTCCTGCAATGTTCAGAACTCCTAGATCGTGACTGTTTTCTGCTGTGGGGCTCAGAGCTCCTAGATTGTGACCGAGTCTGACTCGAGGCATGGCCAGGGATTGAGTGTTGTGGAGCGTTCGGGTTAGAACTGGTAGAGCATGGCATTGGAATATGTTTTTCCTTCTTGTCGCCTTCATTTCTGCAAAAGGCAGAAAAAACAGGATTTGAATGACTTCTCTTTTTCAAATGTAAAAGCAGAAATCAGATCTCTGACTTCATCAGAAGTCAGAGGCATTAAGGTGGGACGAAAAGAATTTAAATTAAGAGCCTTCGCAGATGATCTAGTCTTAACGTTGGAAGAACCAAGACAAAGTGTGAAAGAGGCAATAAAAAGAATAGAAGAGTTTGGGAAGGTATCAGGGTTTAAACTCAACAAAAACAAGACGAAAATGCTAGCAAAAAATCTGAAGAAAGAAGAGTTACAAGTAGACTCAGGAATCGCGATAGTTAAAAAAATAAAATATTTAGGAATTTGGATGACAACAAAAAATATAAACTTGTACAAGGACAACTATGAGGTGGTATGGAAAGAAACTAAGAAAGATATGGATATATGGAGCAGGCTAAAATTGTCATTATTAGGCAGAATCTCTGTGATAAAAATGAATATACTACCTAGACTGCTTTTCCTATTTCAAGCAATACCAGTGGTAAAAGGGATAAGACAATTTAAGGATTGGCAAAAAATTTTAGCGAAATTTGTCTGGCAGGGGAAAAGGCCAAGGATAAAAATAAAGATACTAATAGATAAGAAAGAGAGAGGAGGTTTTGATTTACCAGACCTGACTTTATATTATGAAGCTTCGTGCTTGGTATGGTTAAAAGATTGGCTGACTTTAGAAAACACTGATCTAGAGGGCCACGACAATAGATACGGTTGGCATTCGTACCTATGGTACAACAAAGTAAAGGTACACAAAGGTTTTCTAAACCATGTGATTAGGAAATCTTTATATGAAGTATGGGATTGGAATAAAAACCTCCTGGAAAGAAAGACACCGTGGTGGATATCACCAACTGAGGTGTTGACAACAAAAAAAGTAAACGTGGAAGGGGAAAGAGTAACATATGAGGATATTATTAGGAAAACAGACCAAGGGATAAAGCTCAAACCATATGACCAAATTGAAAAGATGTTAACAGGGTGGCTGCAATACCACCAGATCAGTGACTTATTAAAGGAAGATAAAAAGAGAAATGGGTTCGAAGATAAAAAATCGAAATTCCAAATCGAGTTAATAGACTGTAAAGATAAAATTTTATCAAGAATGTATAGTTTATTGCTAGAATGGTATACAAAAGACGAAGAAGTAAAGGAATCAATGACAAAATGGGCAATTGATATTGGGCATAACACTGAATTGGATGCGTGGAAAAGATTATGGAAGGAGGGTTTGAGATTTACAGGATGCATGACTTTAAAGGAAAACTTGCTAAAAATGGTGTATAGATGGCATTTGACGCCAGTAAAATTAGCTAAAATGTATAGGAAAAAAGAAAGAAAATGTTGGAAATGTAAAAAGGCAGATGGGGACTATTTCCATATGTGGTGGACCTGTGATAAGGTAAAAAAATTTTGGGAATCAATTTATAATGAACTCAAAAAAATATTTAGATATACTTTCCCCAAAAGACCGGAAACGAGTCTATTAGGCTTAATAGGAACAGAAATTAAAATAGAAGATCAAAATCTGTTCATGTATGCTACAGCTGCCGCGAGGACCCTTCTGGCCCAAAGATGGAAAGTACAAGACATACCAACTATTCAGGAGTGGCAGGCAAAGTTGACAGAATATGCAGAACTTGACAAACTGTCAGGGAGGATCCGGGACCAGGGAGATCAAAGATACCAAAATAACTGGAGTAAATTTATTGAATATTTAAAGAAGAATTGTAAAGAGGTCAATACACTAGCAGGATTGACATAATACCTCCAATGTATAATAGTACTAATATGAGAATGATGTGCGTGATGGAAAGAGGATAAATATACCAGTTGTGGGGAGGGAGGGGGGTCGCGACTCGGCAGAGTCAAAGGGAATGTATGGTGCTATTACAACTTGTTGGAAAAGAATATGTAAGGAAAACAATAAAAATTCACTTGGAACAGAAATCAGATCTACCAAGATGTTATTGTTGCAAATGGAAATCAACTAGAAATAGGAACTCTCGGGGTTAAAGCTAAAAGCATCAAAAGCCTACAAAATACAGCTGATGGGCCTGCAGCATCCAATGACTAAAGGAACTCAGATGCTGAGAACAGAATGCCCAGCTTCATACCAGAAAATTATGGCTGCCACGTGCACTGGGAATGGCTACCTGCCTGCTAGTGGCTGAGCTGCAGTGCAACCCACAGCTGCTCAGCCAGCTGGCCCCTAGAGCCTTAGAACGAAGACACGAGGGCCTGCAGTCTGAGTTAAGCAGCTCCTGAATTCCGGTCTGCTGCGGAGGATGATGGCGGTGTGCTGAGTGTCGTCTGCAACACAGAGCCAGCAGAGAGGCTTGGAGGGCAGCGCTAGAGTTCAGCGCACCCCCCAAAAAAACCCCACAGGAGTGTGGGGACCCAAGGGTTCCAGCAGGATAAAAACTCTCCCCCCCCCATATCTGGGGGGGGGGGAGAATTTTCTCCCAGATATGGAGTTAAATCACGATGCGGTGGGTCTGACCTGGCTAAAGGAATGGATCAAATTAGATGACTCAGATGTATTGGATTTACAGTGGTGCCTCGCAAGACGAAAAGAATCCGTTCCGCGAGTCTCTTCGTCTTGTGGGTTTTTTCGTCTTGCGAAGCAAGCCCATTAGAGGTTTAGCGGCTTAGCGCTACAGTATTAGCGGCTTAGCCGGCTTAAAGATCAGCTGATAAGCGGCTTAACGATCAGCTGATAAGCGGCTTAGCATCAGCTGTTAAGCGGCTTAAAGATCAGCTGATAAGCGGCTTAGCCATCAGCTGATAAGCGGTTTAGCGGCTTGGGGAAAGGGGGGGGAGGAAAAAAAACCCCGCAGGAACTCGCAAGACATTTTCATCTTGCGAAGCAAGCACATAGGAAATTCGTTTTGCGAACCACCTCCAAAACGGAAAACCCTTTCGTCTAGCGGGTTTTCCGTCTTGCGAGGCATTCGTCTTGCGGGGCACCACTGTAGAGGGAGTAGAGACGAGATTTGGATGGCATGCCTATCTAACAGATGAAAAAGTGAGAGTACATAAAGGCTTCCTAGGGCATATAATCAGAAAATCTATATATAAAATATGGGAGAAATATAAAAGACTCCTAGAACCGAAAACTCCCTGGTGGGCATCGCCAGCAGAAATTGTCGCAGTGAAAAATTAAATATGAAAGAAAATTGGGCTACCTATAAAACTGTATTAAAGGAAGAAAACGGAGAATTGGAATTAAAGGATTACACAGAAATTAAAGCTCATATTAGTGATTGGTTCCTGTCAGGGAACTGACATCGGAGCCAGAGGCGGAGGCGAGGCTCTCAAGCGATGCTGGAGAAGGGCCCAGCAGGGGGAGAGGCGGCTCACCAGCTGGGGAAGGAAATCAGCGTAACACCAGGGATAAAGGGGGGCAGATGGGGGAATCGGCGAGGGGGCTCCAGGACTCCTCTCCAGAGATCAGCGAGGAGAGCACGGGTCCTCCGCTACCCACGCCCTCCCTGCGCAGAAGACTTCCGTGCAGGGAGAGTAGGAGGAGACTTGGAGTCAAACAACTTTTATGCTGGAAAAGGTTTAAGAAACGCCCACTGACGGATTCTGCTAGCGACTGAGCAGCCACGAAGTGTAGGGCTGTCCAGACAGAAAAGGTTTAACAAGCCAAACTAGTCAGGAGTGGCACCAACTTGCGCACGAGTAACCCCTACATTTATTACAGTTCCAATATATTCAAATTAAGTATAGATTAGCGAAAGACAAAAAGTTAGGATTTGAAAAAGAAATATCAAAATTCGATAAATACTTAATACAAGAAAAATCAAAAAATATATCTAAATTGTATAATCTGATTTTAGAGTGGGAAACAAAGGATGAATTGGTTAAAGCATCAATGATTAAATGGGCGCAAGATATTGGGAAAAATATTATGTTTGAACAATGGGGAAAATTGTGGAAAGAAGATATGAAATTCACTATGTGTTATATACTGAAAGAAAATTACCTTAAAATGCAACATAGATGGTATTTAACACCTGAAAGAATAGCAAAAATGAATAAAAATTGTAGCGATGTCTGCTGGCGATGCAACACGGGAAAAGGTACTATGATACATATATGGTGGAATTGTTTAAACATCAAACAATTTTGGGAAATAATATATAATGAAATGAAAAAAATGTTTAGATACTCATTTAGGAAAACACCAGAAGGTTTTCTATTGGGAATAGTACCAGGAAGCCTAAAGGAAGAAGATAAGACCTTATATTTATACGCAACAGTAGCAGCAAGGCTATTGATTGCGAAAAACTGGAAAAGTGGTATAATACCGACAAAAACAGAGTGGCTTGCCAAATTATTGGAGTATTACAACATATCCAAAACAATGGAAGAAATTGGAAGCATTTCAAAAGAAAAGATAGATAGGGACTGGAAGGTGTTTAAAAGATACTTGCAAAATCATATCGAAAAATCAGAACTCCTATTAGAATAAACAAGTTCCATTTCAAATACTGAAATATCAAATAAGATGGATAACAATGTGTAATAGAAAAAGAAGTATGAAATTAGGCTAAAGGTGTGTGAAAGAAAGTAATAGAAGTGGAAAGAAATTGTAATTGAGTAGATTGGAAGTCAAACACAAAGGTGGGGTGAGGGGTGGTGGATGGTGATGGGGAAAGGAATTATTTGTGGGATTGAGTGTAAGTATGTTTGAACACTTTTAAGGATTGTATGAAATGTATGTTTGTATGCTTGTATATGTGTATTAATGATGAACTATTTTAACAATAAAAACTTATTAATAATAATAAAAAGAAATTTTATATATATATATAAAAAAGAAAATTCTCCCCCCCGCCCGCCCGATCACTGTTAAGTCTGAGTTAAGCAGCTCCTACATATACTGGTCAGTGACAACCAGTAACCTAGGGCGGAAAATATTATCCCGGGGGTGTGTGAGGTGGGGGGGTTACTGTCAGGGATGAAATTACTGCAGCCTAATTCTCATTACTGAGTATTCATGTTGAGATTGAAAGGTTACCTCTGTAACGAAACAAAGTGCGAGACTGGCTTCATTATTATCAGATAATGGAGGCATACAATTTGGACAAGAAAATTGGCTTCCAGGTGGAAAAATCAAAATTAGAAACAGAACTGTTAGAACCCAAAACTAAGAATTTGTCAAGAATGTATAGCTTGCTGCTGAAATGGAACACTCAGGATGAAACGGTGAAATCTGCTATGATTAAATGGGCACAAGACGTTGGACATAACATTATGTTTGCTGACTGGGAACAGTTGTGGACCACAGGTATGAAATTTACGGCATGTAATGCCTTAAAAAAAATATTATGAAAATGATATACAGGTGGTACATAACCCCAGTCAAGATTGCAAAAATCTACCATTTGCCTGATAATAAATGTTGGAAATGTAAAGAAACTGAAGGTACATTTTTCACCTTTGGTGGACGTGCCCAAAGATTAAGGCTTTCTGGGAGATGATATATAATGAATTAAAAAAGGTATTTAAATATACCTTCTTGAAGAAACCAGAGGCCTTTCTCCTGGGCATAGTCGGCACATCGGTGTTAACAAATGATAGAACTTTCTTTATGTATGCAACAACAGCAGCAAGAATACTCATCGCAAAGTATTGGAAGACAAAAGAGCTACCCACACTGGAGGAATGGCAGATGAAATTGATGGACTATATGGAATTGGCGGAAATGACTGGCAGAATCCGTGACCAGGGAGAAGAGTCGGTGGAAGAAGATTGGAAGAAATTCAAAGATTACTTACAGAAATATTGCAAAATTAAAGAATGTTAGAGTGATGTTGGATTGAAATGAAGTGGCTTCTTGCTGTACAGGCTTTAAAGTTATATACAGATCAAGATTAAGGATTAGGATTAAAAAGGTTAAAAGAATGGAAAATTGGTTTTTAATAGGTAAAAATTAAATGTTATATTATATTAAGATTAAGGATTGGGATTAAAAAGGAGGGAAAGGAATTGCTAGACAAACAAACTGAATTGGAATACAAAAGAGAAGAAGAAGAAGAGTTTGGATTTGATATCCCGCCTTTCACTCCCTTTAAGGAGTCTCAAAGCGGCTAACATTCTCCTTTCCCTTCCTCCCCCACAACAAACACTCTGTGAGGTGAGTGGGGCTGAGAGACTTCAAAGAAGTGTGACTGGCCCAAGGTCACCCAGCAGCTGCATGTGGAGGAGTGGAGACACGAACTCGGTTCCCCAGATTACAAGACTACCGCTCTTAACCACTACACCACACTGGGAGGTATGAGGAGGTCCGGGAAATAAGTAAATGTAAAAGTAGTGATGAAAAGATGGAATTGTTTTTAACTGTTTTTTCTTTTTTCTTTTTGTATTTTGTATTGTGTATTTTTCTTTTTCTTTTTAAATTTTTTTTTATTAATGTGTCTCTTTTCATGTGAAACTTCAATAAATATCATTTTAAAAAAAAAAAGAAAGGTTACCTCTGTAACGAAGAGCATTCTTCTGGATTCCACTCAGGATGCCTGTTTCAAGAAAAGCCAGCAAAACAGCTGTGTTATTCCTTTGACACAGTACATGTACTCCATTCCATTATCATTCAGGCAAGTTTCTAAAACTGTCAAGTATTTCTCTCCCTTTTGTCCAAATTATTGATCTTTTACTACTGATCTTCTGGGGATGTTTAAAGGTGATTCCATGAGGGTAACCTGACTCTTGGACCCAGTATTCCAAAAGCTCTCTGGCATGAGATTCAGGTCCCAGCTCCTCCAAGAACTGGTTTGTCCTGAAGCCACACCTCATAAAACTCTGCTCATGCTCCACAGACATCTAAAAGCCACAGAATGCAAGATGAGATGCCTCTGAGCTTCTGCCTTCTTCCCTGGTTCAGCTCCACAATCGGCCTACAGACCACTTATACAAATTCATGCAGAACAGAAACTAGAGCAGGCACCGTTCCTTCAAAGGTGAGCTCCCACAACTTCCTTGGCTGAGGTTTGTGGCAAGGCATGTAAGCAATGGCTCTGCTGCTTTTAGCAAAGCCCTGAGGTATCCAGGAAGTCATTTTCAAACCATTTCAAATCCTCAATCTATTCCCAATAAATTAAAATGAAAGGCCTTACCGTTGGCGTAGCTCATCACATTTCTCGGAGTGTGCAGCAGTGCGCACATGCAGGTTCCAGCCCTACAGGAGGGAGGGAAGAAATCAGCATGAGAAAACAAAAAAGCCTGGCTGTTGGATGAGAACAATGCATCACCTAGTCCAGCATCCCTTCTCCTGCAGCAGTCCACCAGATGCTTCTGAGAAACCCACAGAAGGGCCCTCCTCTGCTGCTGCTACTCCCAGCAACAACTATTTTTTTTAAAAAAAACATAGCGGTATATACATTTTTTATAAAAATAAAACACTAAGTTCCACTTAGTGATATGCCCAATACCCACTGATGGGGCTTCCATCTATAAAACTGCATAATCTCATCATTTGAGGTCATGAGAGTCCGTGGCAGTGCTCAAAACTAACCAGGGGCCAAGCACATTTTGCACCTGGCTATCAGACACTTACAACCAAGTGGAGATGCCTGGGTGCCAGAATGGCGCCTGACGTCTCCACAACCTGGATGTGCATGCCTGGGGATCCTTGGATCACAATAGTTTTCACACACTAACACCACATCCTGTAGAATTCTATCAGTTATATTTTGGTCCGTGACACCATTCAGAAAAGGAGGTAGGAATAGGCCGGTATATATGTGGAATGTCCCTGCACCAAGTGATTTATCTTCTTTAAGTTCTTAACCTAGCTCAAGGTTGTTACTTGAACTAGCCAGATGTTTAACTGAGAATCAATTAGAGTTAGTCCATCATTTGAAAAATAAGACTTTAGATCCATCTGGCCCCAAAATGGCAACTAGACATTCCATTTTGGCAACTGACACCTTGGTTTAAGAAGCCATTTGTCACCTAGCTTATATATCTGAGTTTCTACAGCAGAGTAGAAACACACTCACCTGCCCTTCAATCCTGTGTATGAGTTTAACACTGGACAATGTTCAATACTGTGCAATGCATTTAATATTCAAACAGACAACAGCAGCTCAAAGTCTTCTATCATCAGATCAAGGCCTGCATTTTAAAATGAGCTTAAAAAATATATTTGTAAATGTTTGTATGTTTTATGCCAGGCATAAAGCAGCTGGCTAAGTACTTTGGCAGTTGTTTATCTCCTTGAACAGGGCCCCCCTGATTTATAGCAGTACCTCAAAGTTGTAAAAGGGAATTACAGGCTGGGAGCAAAGGTCATACTGACCATACTGACAATCAAGCTGCAAAAACACTAATTAAGAGTTGGTAAATAGCAAAATTTATTGTTTATTAGAAAATAATACCAGGTGCCTCCCATTAGACTCGAGCCATATTTTCATAAGGTTAAAGGGCAAGAGCTAATAGGAACAGCAGCTGGCTGGGAAAGGGAGTTGTAAACTGAAGAGGCTTCTCTCTGAAGCTGTTTCCTTTTTACTTTGAAACTGTTCCTTTCCTTCTAAAAATCTATCTATGTTAATGTATGAAATATATTGGCTTAATGTAATTATGCAAAGGATTTAGAAAGTAAGAAATGTTAGATTCTTATGTTAGATTCTTATTTCATTGATGGTGTGTGAGAATGTGAACCCAAGATCTCTGTTTAGACAAAATTTAAAACCATGAGCCATCTGTTTTAGCCATCTGTTTTGGAGTGAATAGGGCAATAGGGCAATAGGGCAAAAGGTGATCTGGTAATTAAGGTGCCTGGTCGAGGCAAATATAAAATATATGGCTACTTGTCTGCCATTTATGGATAGAAGGAAATATAGCTCTTTGTCTCCCATAAAAGGTAATAGGAAATGGGTGTGTCTTTTATGATTGGTTCTAGCAAACAGCCAATAGGAATTTCAACCAGGCTGATTGGACAGAGGCAGCCAAAGGAGGAGCAAGGGGGCTGGGCTGAGGAAATATAAGTGCTGGCCATCAGGGCTGGAATGGGCAGAGCTTTGGTAACCATATACCACTGTGTCTCTCATTTATTTGTCTGACAGATAAATTATTATTTTAATTTCTCTATTGCTGCGTTGAATATTTCATTCCAGCTAAGCGTTAACCACAAGCAGGGTGCTACAGTATGTTACATTCTAACGCTATAATGCTTTCTTTACCAATGTATCTGACTGGACTGCAACCTTAATCCACTGACTACTTTAAGTCCAACTTCCTTTGATCCCAGAAGCTACTAGAGCAAGTTTAATTATAGACAGAGGAAGCAGTAGAGGGAACTGGGAATCCAAAGTCAATTGAGAACTTGTTTATCATAAGGCAGCTTTTACAGGTGAAACCTGCAGAAATAGCCAGTCAGATTGTGCAAATCAGACACACACAGTATTTATTCCCAAGCTTCTTGATTGTTGGACATTTTACGGGAATAAAATCTACAGATATCCAGAAGTCAATTAAACCCAGTACATAGAACACATTGTGTACAAATGTATGTAATTGGGGGGGGGTGACTCACCTTCAACTGTTCACATTCTACATTACACAGAGAACACACATGTGGAAATATTCTTGGAGATGCAGCATAGTAATCATTCATCATCGACGGAGTTGGCAATCTCTTCAGCTTCTGGACATCTGCCTGTGAAAAAACTGGAAGCCAAGAGGCTTTCACCACAACAAAAGGTGACTCAATAGGATGCTGAGGTTTCTCATGGATTTTCTTCTGGCCACTGGCAGGTTCAGGTGGTATCTCGGCTCCTGCTGGAGGGAGGCCTAGCCCTGGCCCCTTGTTGGAAGCATCCAGGGGGGAAAAGGACTGCGTACTTGATGTGCTTCTCTGGAATCCCATCTTTTGTAACAGCTCTTCTACCGCCTTCATTTGACTACTGGTTACACCAGAGGGCGCCGAAGACATAAGAGTCGTCTGCTGTGTTGGAAATCCTTTCATGTTCCCCTCAGTTGATGCATCAGAATTATAGTCTTTGACCTCAGGAAGAGTTTCAGTATATTTATATTTGCTTTTATGCCCGTAGTCAATTACCTTGCACTTCACCATGCTACCACGACCATCGTCACTGTGAAACATTTCCTTTTCTCTGCTCTGAGAAGGTAAACTTGGTAACTGATGAGTCATTTTGCGCATTCGGATGTCCCTCAAAATTAAAGGCATGTTTTCTGGTGTCAGCTGATCATCCGGATACCGACTAAGTTCCTCCAAGTCTTCATTAGATAAGCCAAACCTTGCTAAGATGCTGGAAGCACTCTCGGTTGTGTAACGGTTCTGGATACGTGTGGCTTGTTGTGAAAACTCTCCTGAAGTGATCTGGCTACTACTTACAAGCGGAAAGTGAGTAGCACATCCCTCTTCCCTCTGGTGCCGCTCTAGTCTAGGATCCATTCCATGTTGCGTGACCTGAACATTTGGCCTTGGGAATCTTGCCCTCATTTCTGGTTCCATGACCCTTTGAGGCATTCTGGGAGGAGCAGACGGGTGTTGCCTTTGAAGACCATCCGGTCCAGGTCCCGGTCCTGGCCCCAGAAAAGGGCCACGCGGCATTGGACCAGGTGCATTGGGTCCCCTTGGCCTTGGAGGTATGTTTCCTCTAGGGTTAAACATGGCAATTTTCAGAAATGCTTCATTTAACAAAGCATAAGATGCTATAGAATGGGTTGAAGCTACCGAGTTCAACTGGTGAAAAGCCAACTGTGTCTTAATCTGAGCAAGCTGCAAAGGAGGAGGGCCCAACAAAAGTGGGCTGGCAATGCCAAGGTTCAGAGAATTCACAAAAGGTGCAAAATTTTCCAAGAACACCACAAAGCTGAAAGTTAAACACACAAAAATTAGATTACATTTATTTTTAATCTACTTTCTAAAATGGTTCTACTGCCTGTAAGTAAATTGTTTGAAAAACACAACAGTTTTGTTTTTTTCTCAGTAACATCTTGTTTTAGCAAAGGGGTTGGGGGTTTTACTCACTTGTCAACTGAAAGTCATTTCATATGTGTTTCAATGCACTACAACTTTTGAATTTAAAAGGCTTTATATCCCACTCTAAACCAACCATGCAAACAAGCATTTTCAATTGAAAACCCATGTGATTTTAATGCATTCTAGCCACATATCAAGTGTAATTTAATTAAGCCGTTAGAAAAATAAGATAATAATTTACACTACAACGATATGCAGAGTTAAATTATTATTATTATTACTAGACAGCAGGTTCCATTCAATTCAATGTGACTTACTTCCAAGTAATTAGGTACAGTGGTGCCTCGCAAGACGAAATTAATCTGTTCCGCAAGTCTCTTCGCCTTGCGGTTTTTTCATCTTGCGAAGCACGGCTATTAGCGGCTTAGCGGCTATTAACGGCTTAGCGGCTATTAACGGCTTAGTGGCTTTAAGAAAAAGGAAACAAACTCGCAAGAACTCGCAAGACGTTTCGTCTTGCGAAGCAAGCCCATAGGGAAATTCGTCTTGCGGAACGACTCAAAAAACGGAAAACTCTTTCGTCTTGCGAGGCATTCGTCTTGCGAGGCACCACTGTAAAGGATTGTCCTATAAAACAATGTATTTGACAATGAAGATGTGCTACAACCACTATTTATGTGACCTCATCAAGTAACAAAACTAGAGGATGTTTGAAACTTTGTGGCAAGAGCTACATACAATTTCCCAACTAAATGGCTTCAACAATTTCAACACAGAAATTACTTAAAGATACTATGTGGGCAGGGGAAAATCACAGAAGAGTAGCACGTAAAGTGCATTAACAGACCACCTGGTCCATCCCCCTGGCAGGACCCATAGCAAGTAAGTTGTGAAACTACCACCAGTCTCAGTAATCTATATTAGTGACATATCAGTCTTTAGAAAATTCTTCTGAAGGTTTACGTACCACTGATATCCAATAAAATTTCATAGCCTTCCATCAGGAGAGTCTAGCCTTAATATGTCCCAAAACCTTTTCTTTCTTAGACCAGACATGTTACACACCAGAGGTGTCAACCTGTGCCTAAGATCGAGGTGGCCCAGCGTGTGTATGACATCGTGCACTCAGAACGCATCGTGCTCATGTGAGGTCATGCACGTGACACGCGTTACACATGCAAAGTCGCGTTGCCAGGAGGGGCCCAGTGGGAAGCCCAGCGCAGTGGGGCTTCAGTGGCTAGCAATTCCTCCTCTCTCTCGCTCAGGAGGAGCCTGCCACTGAAGCCGCACCCCATTTGGCTTCGCGCTTTGCCTCCTCCACCCCAACATTCAGGAGGCCTGGCCCCCTCCCAACAGATTTCGAGGGAGCCAAAGACACCGCAGCCCCATAGAGTTGCTGCGCATGTTACAAGCAGTTAATGTTTTCAAACAGGCATTAAACAGAAATGTGAAGGCCCATAAAAATCCATGAGAAAATAGTTTACTTCACACACAATATTCTTCCAGCTTCCACATCTAGTGAATTCCGCAAACTGATGAATCGGAAAATACACCAACACAATCGAGGAACAAACATGTAAAGGTTGATAAACCCATTTCTATTTGTGCAAACTTAATAAATACTTCATACATTTTATGCCCGTGTATAATGATGCACATCTGAAGAGGCCAAGTTTAACTGCATATGCAGAGTTACTGCTGGTACTTAATGACATTATTTTCGGCTGAGATTATCTGAGAATATGTGCAAGCTATTATACTGCACGTTATGCAAAAAGCTTTCCTGCTTTAAGCTCATGAAACATTAAGTTACAGTTTGGTAAATTTTGACAGCTCCAGTAACTTTGCATCTCTAGACTTGCGTGACAGAACCCAAAGGAGGGGGCAATAGGCAGCTAAGTGCTTCTGCTAGAGCAAGGACCCCTTGGGCAGCAGAGCAGAATTTTCCTCTTCTGGTGCATCCCCTAAATCTGTTCCAGGAGTTCCCTTAACCCCACAAAGGAGATTAGAGGAGGCTAGAGGGAAAACAATAGGCTCCAATGTTTAACCCAAAATCCATGCATCTACAAAAATAATTACGCTGGATACCACCAACGTAAGATAGACACACATACTAACCAATGTAGGCCTGGCTGACAAAAAGCAGGCAACTTTTAAGGGAGTTGGGGAAAGGAAACTAAATTTTCTAGTTTGCTGTGAAACAAAAGTAGTTGTCACTCCAAATGTTCAGCCCCTGCAGCATTTTTGCTAAACTCATTCATACCTGTCAGAGCTGCTTCCAGATCCTAGCTCACAGAGGATCACGCTAGCCAGCGATCATTAAACAAAAGTCTTTATTGAGTTACAGTTTCCATTCTCAAGCTGCTGCGTGCAACTCTACGTCTCATGCTTAGACCGGCGAAGC